GATTAACAGAGATTGAGAACGTCTCCGTTCAGCTTAAAAGGTGCCAGGCCTCGTGGACGGCACGGTGACAACAGTATTCAGATTCACACCGGACTAGTGTGGCTATAACTTTCTAACACTTTAACCCAATATGGTTAGAGTGCTGGGAATCAAATAGGAAGTCCACCAAGATAACGTCAGAAGGAAAACAACATGCAAAAAAACAAAAAACAGGAAGGCAGGTGTTGATTTCCTCACAGTACAAGAAGTGAGACGACCTGTGTTGGAGAAGTAGACATAATCACAGTTCCCCTTCTATTCAATGCAAACGATTAGATTTGTTGTGTCAGGCTGACTTCTATTTCAACATGACCTTTACTGCAAGAAATTAAGCTAAAAACAGCCACTCACTGCTAAGTTTAAGTTCTTTCCCTTCATAGAGTCTGTTGTAATGTTGACATACAATGGTATGGTATGGCAGGAGGTAGGGTAAGCCTCTTTCTGTATTACTAATCATATTTACTTAAACCAAATAATAAATCAGCTCAGCTTTAAGCCTAGTAGCATTTCTGTGGAGTTAGCATTGCCATACCACCACTGCAGCCTGAGCCCACACTAGTTATGTAATAGATCAGAGGACCAATGTATGGGTCCAAATCCCTGTCTCTGCTCTAGCCGCACAATTATCTGTGAGAGTGAAGTCATAGCAGGTGTGGTATAGGGTGTGAATAACTGGGTGTTTCCTATAAAACAGGTTCATCATGGAATCTTTTTTTTTTTACCACAATAACCACGTTTCATATAAACCGTAATCTTTAACTACAACACGCATGAGGGGGGATTACATAATGAGCAACACTGTGCTGCCGTACTTCGGCCTGTCTGATTACTCTTTACACCATGCATCATACAAGCTTTCACAGCCACTGTAAGTCTTATATAAAACCTTGACATTATGACTGTAATGGTTTTAGCAAAGACTTCGACGAGTAAGTATTGTACGCACTTTAGCATCTATAATCAAAGGAAGCAACACAATATTTTTAACCTTTTTATCTAAACGCAAGACTAAGATAACATGACATGACGTAGACACCAAAGTGAGAAAATGAGTGATTCTGACTGTGACATCAGTGTATAAGATAGAGATAAAGTTACATTATGAACACTTTAATTAACTGCGGCATGTTTGATGGTGTCATGTATCCATTCAAAAATGGAGTAAAAAACATGTACTTATGGTCAAGAACAATACAAAAGTAATAACCTTATGGTTTTGCATCAGAAAAAAAGACTATAAGGCTTGTTTAGTATTAAAGTGGCTGGCAGATTATAGAAATAGAATAGTTAGTTCTTGATCTGATTGCAGTAGATGCTACCTTTTCAAAAACTAGATATCTCACCTTATAGCAAGGACACACAGTCAAAACAACAAGCTTTCCTGTGGAGAAGGAATTATTTTACCACATAAAACACTTTCTTCCACCTACAATAATAAAAGCATGATTTGCTACTAGTGTAAACATATGAACCTCTACACAATAAGAAACTGTAAACCTCTAAAACCACACACTCCACTGCATCAACAGCACACTAAATGATAGTAGTAAGGTGGCATAGGAATGGGCGGGAACACACACATGCAAAAAGATGCAACACATGCTAAACACAAGCCTCGGCGCTGAAGACACAAATGCTGTGTTAAAATAACATGTTGCAAATACAAAGACACACAAAAAAAGACGAAGAAAGTCATTTATCTTATTGACAAAAACATTCTGTAGAGAGAAAAGTATTCTAATAAGAAAACACAAGCAGATGCAAAATTAACAAAACAACAGCTGGATTGAGCAATTTCAGAATACAATACAGGATACAACTCTACCCCTAAAGAGAGATTTGAAAGTGAAACAAAAAACTGAAGAAAAAGGTCACCACAATCTAACAATCAGAATATATCACATAAAGTATTATACGATGTCTTACTGTGATAAACACAAATGTACCACTCTGTGTCCAGAGTACGCTAAAATAACCACATTAACATAAGCATCCTCATGTTTGTAGTAGCAAAGAAAATCACACACAGGCTACAACTTAACAGGAAAAAACATTCAAAGCAGTTTAGGGCTAGGACCTTCACATTTCATTCTCTGTGTCTTTATGTTTCGACTGAGCAATTAAAAATATGCTCTTTTAGAAAGGCTTGGTGGAAATAGATACACAGATGTTGTGAGGGGAAAAAATCTGAATGTGCAGTGTTTCTGAAATGATGTTACCTAAAACTACTGAGTGGCAGAGGCAAACAATCTTAACTTGTAATGGTTATAAATCCATGTCTATTTCACTCCTTAACAATATCAATTAAGGTACTTTATAATACATTTGTATCATGTAAGAAACCAGGGTGTATATAGATAGATAGATAGATAGATAGATAGATATTCCAAAAGCAAGAATTTGATGTTTTCATGCTGTATTTACCTAGCAGCTGATCATTGAAAGCTGTTTTTCAATGGCATAGTAGTAAACTAGTCAATTCAATTAAGCAGCTTTCTTCAACTAGAATAGCTGCTGGCAGGTTTCAATAATCCATGATTGGGGGTTTTACTCCACCTTTCACACATTTGCAGGATCAAATGCACACAAACACACAGGCCTGAGCATGTTGTCACTAAGAGCTTACTGTATTACTAGCCTACAGCACTACTAGAAGGGCCAGGTTACATGTAATGTGTTTATGAGATAGCTATAGTCATTTATGAGAACACAGAAAAGGAAACACAGTCTGTTGGAGATGTAAATGCTCGTGTACGCAGCAGCACCACAGCGGGGTATCAACAACTGTCAAACAGAGACGTCAAGCCGTTCAGTTAGCCGAGTCAATTCACTGACACACAACCACAGCGAGTAAACATTACTGCTAACACTCACTACTCTGTGTATAGAAAATGCAGTGTATGGCGTTCTTTTAGCAGCAAAGGTCACTGGCATTCACACGACATGAGAGACATGCACAGGGGCAGAGCTTCAGCCGGGGTTTGCTAGCAGAGCACAACAGCGGACAAACACACACAAACGTACGTTAACGTGCGTTACCTTCAACGGATTCCGACGTCTCCACCGAGGCCGCTCAATGCGGGGACAGAAGAACAATATCTCTGCTTTTAGGGGAGCAGACGAGCTGTTATTACCTACATGAGTGTGTCTGTGGTTGTACAATGGTACTGAAACCGTACTGAGGTAGCACCTTGTGTAGCACTGACGCCGATGTTACACCTCCGTGACGTGGAGACTCTTTTCCTCCTTCGTCTCTTCCGCGTTGCGACGGGAGGCCGCGAGCGCGCACAGCGTGACGTCCTCCTCCTCCTCCTCCTCTCACCGTTCAGCATCCTCAGCACGTGAATGGACGGACCTCTGCGTCGAATATGATCAATAAATGCACACTGGGGGGCGTTGCCCACATATATTAAAGGGGATGTATCCAATAGAGGTTTTGGGATTTTTCCAAAGGGAACGTACACGAATATCTCGGATTTGTTGATGTGTATGTGCTGGCTGAAAAAAACAGTGTAGGGGAGAGTGGGGTGAGTTGAGCCAAAGGGTAAGTTGAGCCACCTCCTGTTGCTTGTTATGCAAATGTTAAAAGAAATTGATCATGTGACCAAATATTTAGGAGATGGGCATCAATTCATGTTAGAAGCACATGGGTGAAGGGGTTAGACAGTTATTTAAAAAAAAAAACATTTTTCACTCTTGAAAGTGAATTTAGTCTGTCATAAATTTCATTAGAGTTGTGTTCAGACCAAAAAGATCATTTCAAATTTGTCATTTACATATATATATATATAAATGACAAAAAGTAATTCATGTTCAAAAAGGAGTGGATAGTAGGGATATGGCTCAACCTACTCCGATTCTATGGTCAACTTACCCCATACAGAGGTTAAATTGACCATAGGAGACCACTTTTTTGTGGAATGCTATATTATTGCCTTGATGTATTGATATGAAATATGAAAAATGGCTCATCTTACCCCACACTCCCCTATATCACAAAACAAAGCAGAGCCATAAGTTTGAATTTTTCCCATATACGTGGTTATCATGTTTTCAGTCCTAAAGGATTCAATTAACATATCTCTTTTAAAACATAAAGACATGAAAATGTAAGTAACAGAATTGCAAAGTTTGTCAAAGGTATTAATACATCCCTAAAATAGCTGTTTAAGTTTTGCTTGACATAGCTATCATATTCGTTTGCTATACTATATTTCATGAGAGATAAACTTAACTGGTCAAACAGATTCAAGTTGGATAATCAGTTAATCATTAAAACTGTCCTCGTGGTAGCTGTAATGGTTAAAACTTTTGATGAGCCCGTTAAATTTGTGTTAAGTTTGTAAATTCTATTAACAAATATTTATATTGTAACAATCAGATACAAGGTCCAAATTACATAAATGTGACTGAACGGTAAATGCAAAGTTAAATGAAAAAATAGAGTTAATGGAGAATGATGAAAAGTAATAAGAGGAAACAATATTTTTGCAGAATTTCATGGTGTACTTAATAAGTTCTCACCCTTAGACTAAATCATGATATAAACGTCAGTGTGGCAGTTCAATGAATCATTGTTGTACCTCCATGTTTTAATGTGTACATAAGTACACACCTTCTCCATTTGAAAATATCTAAAAACATTAAATCAGAGTTTAGTATCTTCAGTGCTTTGTATTAGAAGCTCGAAAGGCTCTGTTTCCAATGTGCGGTGTACACACAAGAGCAGTTTTGGAAAGAAAATATGGAGGTAGTCCTTCATATGTGGTTTAAAAGACATAACTGGCATTAAGTTAAGAGGTTGTGAGAACTGGAATAAACCTCTGTAACAAAGTGATCATTTGAATTAAACTTATCCTTTCACAAAGTTCAAGAGTGCATTTAGCATACATTTAATTAATCAAAGTATTTATACTGTAAAACTGCACAATTTTGCAGACAATATCAACATGGAGACATGATGTATTTAAAAACATACTAGTTTATTTATTGAAATCCCCACACAGCAAAAAAAGTGTAGCATTTCCAGGAATCAGAGCAAGAAACAATAATTCCACATCTTTACTGCACATACAGACACCCACCACATACACACCACATCCAAATCCTCAGGAGAAAACACACAGGAACAAATGCACCATCACTTATAAAGAGTTCAGAAACAATGAGTGTTACAATGAAAGAAAAAATACAAATTAATTAGTGTTCAGATTTCACTCAGTATCAGGAAAAGCCCATTTAAATCCACAAAGTAAAGTATAAACAAATAGCAGTGCAAGTCGTCTTTCCAGGCTTGTCTAAACTTTTTCTCTACAGCCTGTTCAATTATATTGCATTCACACATTTATTATACACACCTGCAGAGCCAAACAGTTGCTGACATGCTACAGATTTTAAAGTGCTAGCTTGGAATTAGATTAAGAGCCAGCCTGCAAGAGTATTTGGTTCTAAATTCATGGCTGAAAAGCAGGCTAGGATGGACTTTAATTTGAGTTCTGATGTGATTATGACATTACATGCCTTCTTTCAGGTTTTACGATTATATACAACTGTGCTGTGACCCCAAACAACGAAAGAAAACAAAAGATCCAAGGAAAAACCACCTCAAAAACCGAACAAAAGGAAACATTCAGCTGTTTTTTCTGTAGAAACAGGAATACATTCTAAATGCATAGAGGTGCCTCAAAGATGTTAAAACAGTCAATTCCAGATACAATGGCGTGACCTTTGAAGATAGAAGTGGAAACAACCTACACATGTGAGACAAACATGCAAACCGTCATAGAATCCAACATTAAAAAAATAACAATACAGCTCAGCTAGATGTAAAAGCATGAATTTATAAAATGATTTTAACACCCCTAAAACCCCACAGGTGTCTTTAACTCCATTAGTGAAACATTGAAAGTGTTCAGCAAAAACCAACACCACAAAAAAAAGAGGAAGAAAAGGTTGTTAGAACTGTTTTGAAAAAGCCCTGACAAAAGGCAGCTGAACAGGGTTACATGTTTACAGTAAGTTATTCACCAAGAGTGATACACATCTTTAAATCCACAAGCAAACACCAACTCAACATAAACATTTAAGATGATTTCACTGAAAATATCATACTCTGGATTAATATGCACTGTACAATGGACTAAAATCAAAAATTTGGAAAGATCAGCTTATTAACAGACATTATAAAGAAGGCGGAGATGTTGAACTTGTTTGTTACGGATTAAAAAAAAAACCTGCAACTCAAATAAAAGTCGTTTCTGCAAGGACAGGTACAGTAGTTAAGGTTTTCCAGGCCTGACAGATAGAGGTAGGTAGCATCGGCCCTTATGATAGGACCAGACACCTGAGAAAACACACACCTATGACCCTTACCCTCCAGAAATCAAACAATACATGAATGTACAAACAAGCCCAAGTGCAGGCACATGTACACTTCGGACACAAATGTGGTTGCCTATAGTGTGCTCTCTCCTAGCCTTAGAGAAATGCTCTGCTTTAATCCAATCCAGTCAGTCATCAAGGTGTCTGTCTGATAGCCTGTTCACCTCCGACATGCGATTATGCTACACTTCATGTGTCTGCACTGCAAGTTAACTGTGGTTTAACTAGTAAAAAAGGTACTGAACAGTGTTTTGTGATAGCACTTTTGAAAGGAACCTGAATAGCTGTGTGTGGTTTGTTGTTCAACTGTGTTTACAGGCAGCTCGGCCAGAGAGATGGGTTTTGCACTTGAGTAAGCACCAGAACCAACACACTTTGGCTGTAAGTGACTCTGCAGCTGTCAAACTTATGTTGACCGCAAGTACACGGTGTTGTCGTACCTGGCTGGTTAAACGATGTGGAAAGTCACATTCAGTGCTGTGCAAACAGTGAGAGGCTTTAGAAATGAGTAACATCGCTGGATTCATGAGTAAGTGAGCAAAAGGTGAAAGTGTGAAGGAAAGGACGAGGAATGTGCTGATTTTGTCTCTAAGATTGAAAAGTGAAGCTTACTGGGTTGTGATCAAAATGTGATTGCAAATCCTATCGTGTGCGAGACGTCTTTTATCATAATGTGCAAAAACAGCTGGAATGAACTGAGGAGAAAACGTAGTGCTTGTCTGTGATAAAGTCAAGATTACATGAGTAACAAGTCATTATGAAGACTATAGAACAGTTACCACTCTAACACCAGTGTCTGTGATTATACCTCAACTACAATAAAAACTCACATACAGTATTTATGCTGATAGTTATTTCCGTAATGCTTGTGCAATGACACTAACATCTGCCTGCTAGAGCAAACTAAGTGAGCCATTTTCTTTAAGAAAAAAAAAGGCACAGAGGCGCTAGCTTTAAAATAGCTACAAGGCTCTCAGGTCCACCAAGGTGACATGTCCAACTATGCTGCTACGTCACAGAAAAAGAGTCGAAGAAATAGATAGATCAACTAACTTTTACACACCGAACTATGTCGGAACATTTACCTGGCAAAAGAGGAAGTGTCAGTGAGAGCTGCAAGGCGTTTCATGTTTAAAAAATTAAGATTGTAAGTAGCTGCGGGCAAACTTTGCAGCCATTTCCACTACATGTACAGCTGATAATAGCTGGTAATTAAAAGCAGGTCGATACAATTAACAGATAGAGAGACTTTGGTAGGTAGAGAAGACTTTTCACATACCATGGTCCATCTGCTTTGTATGTAGACACTAATAGTCAGTGTCATGCTCTAGTGAGTGGATTGTACCTTTAACATGCAACTCCACATCCCATTTTTATATTTAGGACCAAGACCCTGATCACACCCGCCTCATCTGACCTCAGAACTAAAGAGCTGTACTCCATTACCCTGTGTTAATGTAAATATGACTAGCTCTTCACAGAACATGCCAACGATTAAATGGACGCGCATCCAACTGCATCATCGCACTCCTTCCCTCCTCAGAAGGTCAGCCTCTTAGCCGTGATGAACTCCTCCAGCTGCACTTTGCCGCTGCCCATGAGGCCGAAAGCTGGATACATTGTTCCCGAGCAATCTACCTGCCTCTCGTAAAGGCATCTCATGGTGTCGGCGTCGTAGAAATACACGCGGCACGCATCGTAATCTAGGCATACGCCCAGGCGCTGAGGCATGGGGAGCACGCGGTTGCCGGGGTCGCTTGATGCTGCGTTTGCTGAGGAAACAGAGGAGGATGAGGAAGCCTTGGGGATGAAGAGTTTTCCCATGCCCAGGGTGAGGAGGGTGAAGGGTTGGGAGAGCTCATAGCACGCATCCTCGCTGCCGCTGTCATGCCCGCTGTCATGGTCATACCTGGGAGAAAGAAAAAGAGGTAGAGAGGATGTTAGTATAGGTACATTTTGACAAAATATACAGAAAAAAACCCCACTATTACCCACGTGTGGTTTGTGGTTTATCCTCCCAAATAAGGACTACTTTTGACACAGCTTTTAATAAGAAGCTAAATGCCGTCAGAGTTAATCAGCTTGCATACATTATCACAGAACTGAGATTTAGTAGTGTAAATAGTATGTTCCTTCGCATGTGTCTACATGAGCTGATCTTGTGACAAAGGCAGGCTTTGTTTACGACTAAGCTCTTCATGAATTCAGACAAGCTCTTACATCACAGGATTAAACCCAATCAAACCCACTTGATGCTGAGTAACAGCTGTGGCTCGGGTGTGTGGGTGGCAGGTAATGTAAAAGTTTCAGTGTCAGCTGAATCTGGCTGGACGGTAGATAACGGCTGTGTGTTTGTGTTATGCTGACATGTGGTTGCAATCACCTGGGGCTGCTGGTGTCTCTGGGGTTGTGGAACCATTCAATCAGCTTCGAGTCAGACGCCACTCCCACTTTGACCATGTAGGAGTATGGTTCCACCTTGAAGGCCCAATAGTGTCTGCAAAACAATCAAATGACAAATTGTCATGAAGTCTTATTTATACTCTTGACAACTGTGAGAACAACATAGCAAATCAGCAACCAATGGCGTTGCAGTATCTGAACTGAGACTGATAGACGCTGATAGCCGCCTTATTTCTTAGCTTAAAACTAGAATTCCATCTTCACTCCATCTCTTACATATTTTATACCCTGTCTGGAAGAGATATTAGTACTCTAATGAGAAAGATGGCACCACCTCTGGCTATATGTCAAAAATTCGACAAAATTCCACCCTTAATGGCTACTGAGTGTGAAGCTCATCCCTCATAGTTTTTAAAGTACATCTCCCTCTTCGCCTTCCTCTCAGACACACCTTTTTTGTACAAGGTCCCAGTGTTTCCAATTTGCTTACCTTCCCTGAGTGATGCCTGTGTCTCCTATAATGTAATCTAGGCCGATGTAGCTGCCCGTCTGCACACGGTCTGCAGCCAGAAGGAAAGCCATGCCTGCTACATTCTCCACAGTGTCCCGTCTCTTGTTTAGGATGAGGCGCTCCGTACTGAAGCCGCATTTGTCGCTGAACAGGAAACCGAAAGCTGAAGAGAAAAAGAGAAAATGTGACAGTGGATGGACAAAATCAAAGATAAGGACAGACAAAAGAATAAGATTTATTTGGGCCATACAAAATATCAGTGGTTTAGTTCTCATATACAAGGTTTAAGGCTGGGTACTTGCCATGAACTGACACATGAGGGCGCTAAAGCACAATCTCACAGAGCAACTCCAAGCCCTGTCATGCTGTGATCATGACACCGAGCTGAAAAAAAACCCTTTAACAGAACTCATTTCTCATGTGCAGCTGCCATCTTTCTCCGTCATCTGGATGCAATTAAGCTCATTCTATGAATAGTTTATGGGCCAAAGGCCACGATTACCATAATCCAGGAGACATATAGGCTGACATGATTATGCCTGTTCGCTCAACCATCCCCTGAAATCTGAGACACTCGCTGGGGGAAGACCTGCTCATTTGCATGTGTCAGGGGAAAGCCTGTGCAACAACTAGGCCATGATAATGATATCAGTGTAAAGTTGCCCTAAAGGATGACCAGACAACAATGCTGCGGTTTGATCTCACGTGAGGTAATGCTGATCCAGTTTACCTGAACGGTTTCAATACCACAGCAAGAGCCATGTCAAAAAGGTAACGCTAACCGGCTCAGTTTTATGCATTCAGAAAGGTTCAACTCCCTGCTGTCATGACTCAACAGCTTTTACTCACATAAGCTGCGTTCATGTGAGTAAACACAACCGCATCTGCTCACCAATCAAGCTAAACTCGTGTTTGTACTCAGTTAACTTTTAAAACAGAAAACCTAACAAAAACACGCTTATTGCTACAGTACATACAATGGTGAAATGTTTCTGTGTCATTTAATAAATTATGAAAGAGAAACTAGGTCAGACCTAATTGCAGCAGCACGAAATTGGTCCCAAAGCATCTTCATTTTAATTTCACGTCCAATTTAGCAGACCAAGAGATTAAGTTTTTCAACAGCATGTCGCTACTGACCGGGTAGCATCAGAAAACAAGAATTTATGCATTTTTGACCCAACAGGCAAAAATCCATACTCTCTCATGTTGTAATGTCCTTTTGATTTGTTGTGTGTTACGATGTGGGTGTGTAAGTTTTGCGGCCTAAAATTTCAACCCATTACTGACGCACAGTGAATCCATCTACTCGGTCTTACACGAATCAGAGAGCACAGGAATGTGGAAGCACCAATGACAACAGAAATGATGAGGCCTGTGCATGACAAAAATATCAGATTAGCGGGTGATGTATGATGTACGCACGCGGGCAACTGCCTGACTCTGGGAAAGAAAGAAAGAAATGTGTAAAATTCAAGCGACAGAAAACTATCCCAGACTTAAAAAAAACTACAGCCTGTGTAATCTTTTCAACCAGTCAATGGGAGACTTTTGGGGTTGCCAACTAGAACAGAAATCAAAGAGACACAGTCCCTCCCTGAGAGCGCACTATTTGGATTCAAGTTCAGCAGATGGTTGAAAATGATGATGGTTTTTAATGAATCCCACCTTGGCTTTGTGGTGCAAGCTGTGATGCACCTGCAGGTTTCTTTTCCAGGCTGTGCCACTGTTCAGCACGACTCCCACACACTTAGACAAAGGCTATATTGCTTTCAGCATTCTGACACACATAAGCCATTACCATGGCGATGGACAAAAACACCATTGTGCTTCAGTACCTTCATTAAGCGTGTATGGGAGAACTCAAAATTTTAAAACAAAAGCATCTGTTTTATGGTTAACTTTCTCAGAAATAAAAATACAAGCCTACTGCAGGACACCCAGACGTGCTCTGAGAAGTAAAAGGGATAGAAGGGCTTAGCTGTTGCCTCAGCCAAAAAGAGGCCCAACTACAGGGGCTGATTCTCCAAACACGGCTTAATCCTGTACATAAAAACAATTCATTAAAAAGGTGTGACAAAAATAGCACAGCTTTCATTTAATTAAGGCTAACGAAGAATTAAATTCAGTCCAAGTTAATGCAATAGACAATTCTTTTAAGGATCTCAAACATCCACACATTCCCATGCTAAATCAAGTTGTCTTTCTCTAGGTCTCTGTGATTCACAACCCACTAAAGCATTAGAGGACTAACCAAATCACACGGGGAGAAAAACAGGGACTTGTGGGTTTGTGTTAAGACAAAGCGTTCTCCATAGGCTTACCAGGTGCAGGTGGAGTGTGGAAGGAGACTTCGGGGCTGTAGGGGCTGAACATGGAGTTCCTGCAGCTTCGTACTCTGAAGGCGTACAGGCTGTCGGGCTCCAGGTCACACACCACAGTGCTGGAACCGTACACCCTATCTGTGGACTTCCAGGAGCCGCTGTCCTCACCATCCTCCAGTGACGGGGACTGATTTGGAGCCCAAAGTCTGGAGAAGAAGATTAAACCCAAGAAATCAGGATATTTTTGCTCCTGCCCACACAGCTTGTCTGGGAATCAACACTTCTCTGTCCTCTCACTCACCTGCGGTACTCCAGCAAGTGATGATCTGTGGGTAGGTGGTCATCAGACAGCCTCCAGCAGATTGTGGCTTCGTTGTAGACTTTGCTGTTGGACAAGTCAATCAGAGGAGGATCTGGAACTAAAGAGAGGGGGAAAAATCATGAAGAAAAAAAAAAGTTAGAACAAGCTAAAGCTCTTTTTTTACTGCTTATAAAACAGACCAAAATTACTGTTAACGCCTCCAGATAACCTACAAAAGCAAATGATACCATAAGCAAGAAGGCTGGTTATCTCTTTAGGGCTTTTTTTTTCATTGGTTTTAACCACAACCACCAAGAGGAAGATATCGAAGGAGGTGACGGACTCGACATTTTGGATGAAAACAACCTTCTTTTGACGTCGTCTGCAACATGAATGTGTTGTTGCTTTGGGAACTCTAGCCTCTGTCCATGAGAATTGGAAATAATCCACAGAGCTGAACCAGCACCCCTTGTACTTTTCAGCTGGATGTGACAGTAAATATCGTGTGTCATGTCTATATGCAACACTGTGAACATAATGAACATCACAGTGGGATGACTTCGCACGTAAACTAGAAAAATGTATGTCAACACGAGGAAATCTCTCGCAGCAGCAGTACATTAAGATTCACGTTTAGTGATGTGTGGCTGCTCAAAGTGAGTCTAGCAAAGATTAGGTTTGTCAGGATCAGGACTATCCCCCTTGGGACAATGGACAAGACTGTCTTGCATAATGGAGCCTGTTAAGAGGTTTTCACATAGAATCACTGCCAGGAAAAGCACTGTTAACTACTTCCCACCACCACCACCACCACTTTTCCTCTCAGCAACTTCCCATCCCTCCATCTCACTGTCGTAGCCTCTCCTGACCTCTTCACACCACTATCCCTCACTTTCACTCGACTTTCTTCATGTTAAATTTTCTTATTAATGAATCTTGGGGATCATCGCTGTTTCCAGTAATGCATCAAGTTGTCTACCTTCAACTTTCTACCCAAATACCCACCAGAAAGAGAATCACTTTACCGGACCATGACGGTCATTTTCTCCCTGTGCCTCCTCCTCCATCTCATCTCAATAGAGATATTTCCTCCTCTTGTTCTCTGACCTTTCTTTTTCTTCAACTTTTGACTTACCCAGTTCCTCTAATTGGGATAGTCTTCTCTAAAGCACTTTCCCCCTAAACACAGATTTCCCTCTGGCTGACTGGTGTCACCACTGCTACAGAGCTCTCTGAGCCTCCAAAGTCACTTGGGTAATCCTCAATCTCCAAAGCCTTTTTTTTTTTTTGGCCAAGCACATGAGCTCCTTTACAAGTGTGTGTCCTCTTACAGTCCTAAGCACATTCATGTAGAGCTATACTACCATGTTGTAACAGACTATGTGTGAACACAGTATCTTCAGTCTCAATTAAACTACATTTTAGAAGGATGAAGGGTTGAAAATGAGTCCTAAAAGTGTTTCTTATGAATAAACTGTAAATCAAACCGAGTCTGTAGCAACATCTACACCAACACAACATCTTCCCCCTGTGATAATCTGGTTCACACATATACAGGTATTCTTCATCAGATAGTGACAGGCTACTACACCAACCAATCAGATTTTGTTGCCACCTGTTTCAAAACAGATGGACCATCAAGCAAAAACTAAACCGGGCAGTCGGCCATCCATCACAGCAGGTAGTAGTCACCAGAGTTCAGCAACTCAGAAAAAAAGACGCTATTGATCACGTACAGTAAAGGCTGAAAGCAGACAGACAGCAGCAATGCCAAGCTGCACTGCAGGGAACTGCTTTGTCCCGTGTCTATTTTAAATTCACTACTCCCCCCCAAGTATGGTCCTCTCACAAAAAGCTCAAAAAGCACTCGATCCTGTGCTGTTGTATCTTAAGGGGGGTGTTTGTTAATTCAAACTCAGACTTGAAAGTAAAAACAGTCAAGAGAAATGGTCGTTTTCAAATCTAGTTTTCATTTAAGTGCATGGGGACATTTTTCAGCAGGGCTTTAGCAGGATTGACATTAAGGAGCACAATTTTACTGTTTCAAAACAGGGGCAAGAATTTGACACTCACTGACCAAAACACTAAAACTTGAAAAATAAGAAGACAAGATCAGCATCCAGGTCTGTGAATAATGTGAATGGGTTTCCAGCTTCCTGTAAAATGGATATACACTCTAAAAGCTTTAAGGCACCATTCTGGATACCATAGTGGTTCCTCCCTGATGCATCGTCTGCCAAGACTCAAATTAAATTACAGCGGCATAAAAATGCCTGAACAGCTTCTTTTCTTTTAAAGCTCAGGCTAAGAGCTACATCAACTCCTGCTGGCTACTTAGATTAAGCACACAAATCAATATGACCGCAACCCAAGTGCTGCACGTGGCTCTTCACAAAAAAGGATACAGCACTGACTCCTTCAGGTATATGTTATACAACATGTATGAAATCATGAAATCGCTTTTTATTTCACTTTTTAAAAGTCTAGGTTAAAAATAAATCATCTAGGAGTAAAAGTGCAGATTAAACAATGGAATAATATAACTTTGGGGTTGTAGAAAATAGATCAATTTTCCGTCTAAAACACTTTTTTTGTTTGCACTTAGTTTAATTGTCTTAGACTTTTAATCACAAAAGCAAAGACCCAAAAAATAGTTTCTTTGCAAACATAAAAATGTTTTGAAAAATTGTCTGAGAAGTAAATGTTTCAGTATATTTACTCTTACTGCAACAACAACTTTTCAACACCCAGAAATAACTTTCAAAGACATTTCTCAAGTTTGAGCTCGCAGCAAAAAGCACATTATTTCTTGGTAAAAATCCAATGCTCTTGAACAAACAAGGTTTTAACACATGTCCTTTATCTTGTTATCAACTCAGCTCACATTATTTCATCTGTTGATGATTCATGCAGTAGGTGGATCATACGTCTAGATTGTGCCAGCGGCAGCCTAAGGTAGATCTCATATTGCAGCTTTTAAACAAACCAACATGGCTTCTCCAAAGTGTGCCAACAAAAACCAAAAACTCCTTTTGCAGCTTTGTTTTTCACAGAGACAACTCTCTGTTGTTCAGTAGCACCAACATCTCAGACATCTCACCTTTAGGTCATGAAGCACAGCTCAAAGCCGAAACCAAACCGTTTGCTTTGTAATCTTATTGATGATTTATATTTTGCACTTTTTCCAGGATGCCCCCAGGCCTTAGATATGATTCATCTTTCTCATGCTTGTCACAGCTAAAAGAACAGCCACAACTAAATGTCACTATCTGTGTTATCCACTCACTGACGCACATCATGTTGACAGGTTAGACTGGAGCCACACCAGCAGCATTTTTAAACAAACCACAGCCAAACATCCTGAATGATCACTTTGGCATATTCAGCCTGTCTCATCAAGTCCCTATCATCATGCAGTCGCAGCAGGAATACGAGCGAGGTGAAACCGCAGTAATCACCACGCTCAGCTCGACTTAATGCAATAACATTCAGTTCAACTGCACTTAATAGTAGCGTAACAGGCAGACTTCTTAGGCTTTAGTTTACGGGTGTAATTTTACCCTTTTTAAAACAACAGCTCATCTGATGATGGCTAACAAAGTTCTCACCAAGTCTTGCAGCTGCTTCATGTTTTATATTCAAGTATGTCACCCTATCAGGCACTGACTCAACCTCTGACCCTAGAGGTCATTATTTTCATATTGATAGTTGACATTTTTACACCCTACTCCTTTATCTGTTAACTTTTGAGCTTCTTGTCGAAACATTTATTGATCATTTGCTGTAAGGTCAGACAGCATTCTCTGAACAAAAGTCTGTCTGCTCCATTGACTATTTTCTTTCTAGACATGCGGTTTCAAAGTTAAAATAACTTTTACATTTTCTCTTTGCTGGAATATAATCTGGGTGTTATGGTTTGTATATTCTGCCTCTCTTTCTGTGTTTCACAACATTTTATCCAAAACAGAATGAATTGTGAGGACATTCTGCTCTAAGAGAGAATAAATTACACTGAATATTAATCATGAAGACATTTCTGATCGCACGAGGCAGTTATTCCCCAAAAGTCTTTGTTATCCAACAGACCATGAAACAAGTTTCACAGAGCAGCCAAATCCACTGAGGGTGTTTCTAGGATTGTTTATCTAATTTAGGTTTTCACAAGGGGACCTTTGACCTCTTAGCACAGCAATGCTCACAGGGTTCTTCATGTGACAAACAGGTTTTGACAAACAGTTCTGACCACGATAAGCTGTATTTTATCTTCTTTTTTACATAATAGCTACTTCTAAAAAGCAGTGATAAACTGTGTACAGTGAAAAACAATATTCAAGCACGTGATGTAGGCATTGGAAGAGAAACTCAAAACTCAATGTGAAAAATGCCATAAACCTCTAACTCACTCCTGGTGAATGTTCCGAGTGATTATCTGCTGCATTCTCGCACTAGCTTACCCTGACTTTATGCAGACTTTGTACAAGGGGGCTGCCAGGGAAAGTCTGCGTAAAGTCCGGGTGGGTGAATTCCTAACATTTGTGCTCATGCAGTTTATCCAGGTTGTGTCATGAATCAGAGGAGCAGTGCATTTGTGCAGCAGCTACAATGTGAAGGAAAGCGAAATGCAAACTGTATAGTAACAAAGAATACCTTTTAACAGGGGTCCTAAAAAGGGTTGACCAAAACATAAATGTTTTGTGATTCATATTGGGAAGTAACTTTCATTCACATCAGAAAAATTGGTTATAATCTGTTTGTTTTGTTTAAAACTACCGTGTAATGATTGTATGTGGGAAAATGGTTGAATGAAATGAGTTGTACCTCCACCAAAGCACATCTCTTTGAGCAGAGTTTCCTCTCTGGAGGTGTCGAGCACAAACTCATCAAAGCAGGGGTCAGCTGAAGGGTGGAAAGTCCGCAGAGACTCTGTGGCTTTCTGGATCCTGTAAACATACCAGACAGATTTAAAATGATTACATCTTCATCGAAAGAGGACTAATACATCAACTTAAGTTCACCTGTTATAGAACTGTATAACAGACTTTTCCTCTGACTGATAACAAGTATAACTCTAAATATACCATTTAGCCTACTTATAAACCCTGGGGTATTTGTTTTCATTAGTTAGAGTATAGTGTCAGAGTAAAGAAAAAAACGGGGTCTCGTCAGCTGAAGAAGCCCGTTGGCCACAGTATCATGCTCCTAAGAGTGAAAAGGTTTAGTGATTACCCAAAGCTTTTAATGAAGATCAATTAAAGGCTCAGCGCAGAAGACACTTCAAGACGCTCTGCAGCTTTTACTGAACACTTTACTTAATCGCTCTCGAGATTAGTAAACTCTGCACGTGGCTTTGTGTGTTCCTGACACACTCCAGTTACCCAAACACATAATCAGATTGATGCTCACAACACGGATACAAAACAGGACAAATCCCACTTACGCCATCCACTAAAAAACAGGAGAGAATCAATAAATTATAACTCTGAATTATCGGCTTCTAGTTATATAGGAGCATTTTAATGAAAACTTTATTTTCTTTCACTTTTCAAAATTTGAATTAAACTTTTTATTTTCTCTTTAATCATGAAACATGAAAGAAACATAGTATTTCAGCTACGATTCAAAAAGGAATTTGAAATAAAAATAAACTAAAACTGTTCAACTTTTGAAAAATATGTCTATGTACTTAAGTAACTGATGGAATATGAATACATTTTTATGATCTTCTAATTTGCTAAGATGCACCAGTATATTTATGAGCATAATCCAGATGCATTATCATTAATCTTGGAGGACGTTTATGATCAAACTTTTAGATTTGAATTTGGAAATAATAACTCCTTGTTCATTACTTTCCTTATTTAGAAAAAGTTTTCATTTAAATCATCTGATGGTAAGTTTAACATCAGAGAAAAGCTTAAGCCATTGAAGCCATTCCAATAAATTATTGCGGGTTCAAATCCCCACATAAGAGTAGGGATTTAGTAAACTCAGCGATACCCTTCGCTTTAGTTTTGTTTGGGTTGGGAAATCTCTAAACCCTATCACATGAACTTAAGCTTAGGCAGCTACCGAAGATTATTTTCATTACTGATTATTTTGCCCGTAGTTTTTTTGAAGAGTTATGTAATCTAGAATATAAAAAAGTAACAAAAAGCTGCTCATATTTCCCCAGAGCCCAGAGGCTGAATCTAACAAGTATTCGCTTAGTCAGCAATTATTTACCTTACAATAAACTAAATCCATTCACTGGTCTGTTATGACTGCTCTAACTTGACATATGAATGTCATTAGAACAGTTACACAAACATGTCTGCATATTGTGGGGTTTTGATCAGTGTTAGACTTTTCAATTTATTAGACATTCAGAAATTGATCATCAATCTTAATGCATATTAAGAATGATTACCAAAGTTAACCAGCTTTGAAACTTGAGATTAAGACTCTTAATGTGATTGAGTTAATCATCTTGAAATTATGTCTTACATCTTAATTTGCTTTGAAACTCCAATTCAAACTTTAGGTATATTCCTGTATCAGATAAAATTAGTCATGACTGGATGAACAACAGTTCGAGTTCAATTCTTGTATAATTTTATCAGAATGGACCTCTTATTTGGACTCTGGATGAAATGTGGTCAGTCCACAATGGCAAAGTTCTCATATCATGAACAAATGACCTTAACTGTAATCATAATTTCGAAAAAATGTTACTCCATAAATGTTCTTGTCATCTAAACCTTGCAATGCTTCAAATAGTGATGAAAAACAAAAACAGATACACAGAAATCACTTAAATGTAAAAGTCTTATCACTTATGAGGCCGTCAAAGGATTGTCAAATGCAGCATTTCAGAGACAAATGCAACTATAATAATAATTTGTGTGCGTAAAATAAACAAAATCCTTTAAATGATGGGCTTCATTGTAAGTCAGCTTCATATTGGCACATACTTGTTACAGATATCATCTGGAATAATATGTGAGTCAGCACAAATATGTTAAAAGTCTCCTAACTGTACCTGGTGTGTAGTTGCTTTGCTGTCTGTACAAAACAGGACTGATCCGTCTCTTTCAGCACCTCCTGAGCATAACCCACCAGACCGCTGTTCTCCAGCATGCCCTGGTACTCCTCCACCTAGGACATCATTTTCAAAATGTATAACTTTTTTAGTATTTTCAAATGAAATTCATTGAAAATAGTTGCTTTAAATCAGACATGTCAAGATGACTACTCAAGAAGTATTCATCCAGTGAGAACCATCATACCTGGCCCCTAAGCTGTTCAAGGCGTCGGGTTTTGGACTGTTCGATGGATCTCAACATCTCTGACTTCCTCTCCTGCAGAGTCTCAAACAGACGCTCAAAGTGTTCATTGGCCCGTTGCTCTGCTAGCTGCCCATTTTCCTGTGAAAAAAACATGTTTTTATCGTAATTTTTATTCAAATGAAGTCAAATCAGCCACAGAGCATATTCAGTTTATCAGCAGTTGTAGGAAGTCATTTGTTTGAATATTACTTCAAGAAGTTTAATTGCTCACATGACACAACATCAGAGTAAAGGGGAAAAGATAAATAGACCCTGAAGACCCTTATAAAGAGACCGAACCCCAACAAACAAGTCCCTCTCATTTGCTCTATTACAGAACATCAAAAGTGTAGGCGGATCAGCGTCATAGTAAAAGAGGAACAAACTGAGAGGCTGAAATGCAGACGTATGCAGGAGGCAAATCCTGTGTTTCCTTGTTTGTGTGGTTTGCATACTGTTTGTTTAGGGACCTTCCTTATTCGCACACAAAGTAGGATTGTGTCTGATCTCCTCCGACTGGTTCTGCGAAAGCTGTATTGCTATTTGTCTTTTGAATTAAATACACAGTATATTCAGGTATTTTGCACTCTCTGGCATATCATTATCATTTCGAGACAAAGAGATATGATTTAATATAGTATAGGAATCTAAAAATCTGAGAAATCAAATGAAAAAAGATTTTTTCAACAGAATAAGTAAAACATTTAAACTAATGTCTCGAAGTGACAAAATTTGATAAGAGAAAATAGATTTGTTGCCTGTCAGCTGTTTTTTTTTTTTTTTTAAGAAGCAATACTTGATCTTTTGGTTTTAATGTTCACTGCTGCTTGAAAAAGAGATCCTGGTTAAATAAAAAATAAATAGAAAAAAAAAACACACTGAAATAAAAAAAAAAAATCAAAATTTATGGTTTTGAAATTCAAAATGAAAAGTCTGAAGATCAAGCTGAACAAAAAGCAGGGCAAGAGTAAACAAGGACTGCGGAGTCACTGCAGGTTGAGTCAGCTCTGTCTCTCACCTCAGTCTGATTGATGAGTAGATCAAGATCAGTAATCTGAGTCCTGACCTGGTCCTCTTTGCTGATGAGGTAATGGATACTCTTGGCCAGCTTCTCCTGATGAGAGAGAGAAAAAAACAGCAGCAGTTACAGAAACTGTCATACTTTCATACGAGCCTAGTGATGAAGGATAACACAACTAGTTTAACAGCTAATTTTAAAACAACTCTCTCCTTGAGGTTTTGTCGTTTTCTACTCGGAGAAATGTTGCATTAATTCTCAAGACCTGGATACAGTGTTGACACTCAGGTTTACTTCACTTTAAGTAATGCATCAATAAATTCCACCAAAACTCAAGATGCATCTTCATCTGTTTCGATACTCATTGCAAAAGATGTTTGTTCATCTGTGCTCCCTGGGATCTGTTCTGCAGGTCTCATGTTGGATTACTTGTTTGCTGGTTGGACTTTTTTACTGTTCAGCTTTTTGTCTTTTAAGTTTTCCTTGTCTGGGTTGTTTTATATTAACCTTTGAAGTTGAATGTCACTGACCTTTTAGTCAGTGAGTGGGTGCAATATATCAAAACAACAGCCTTTTTAGTACTACACTGGTATGACAAAGCATTTCCATTAAAAGCAGCTGAAACCTTATCCACTTCCTAGCTGATGGAGGGTTCTGGGACTGATCAGGAAATCTGATACGTCCTCCAACAATAAACAATAAACAGCAAATCCTGTGTAGCAAATGGTATCATTAAATATTAAAAGCACAACAGTCTTCCTGTCAACACCAAGTAGCAGATTGAATTTCTCAGATTCTACCATGACTTGCTAAAAACCACTTTGTCTCTCATCTACGATTTACTGTGCTATTCTAACAAGATCAAACTACTGTTCTTTGTTTTTTATTGAATCTTTATTGAACATCTGATGTGCTTGTGTGTCGCTCTCATGGTAACCAAACAGTCCTACACAGATGTGCTGATATTTCTCCACTTAAGAGAAACCTAACAATCAAACTCAGTGAAGGTTATCTACTCCATGGAAACAAATCTGATGACTTCAAGCGAGGCGACTTAGTTTTAACCTTACCAGTCAGCCTGGGTTTAAAGTTTCCAAACAAAAGAGATTGATATCTACCGTCTGAAGCAGCTAGCACAGGTAGAGCGGTCATCAATAATGAAGCAGGAGGGATGGGACGTTTGGGGACCAATCAGGAGGAGGTACGATACAACTCTGCTCTTAAGATTTTTTGTTGGACAGTTTATCTAAGACTCGACTGTAATCCAAGTGAGTATTACAATCTTCAAAAAAGACCTATAAATCCTTACTGCTGAGCAGAACCGTTAAAAAAAATCTATTCACCTATTAAAGCTCCTGTGTGTAGTTTTTTTGACATTTATAAAACAGATTGAAATTCATATCAACGCCTTCTTATGATATACAAAAGCAAACAAGATCATCAGAGACAAGCTGAACAGTTTTTAATAGTAATTTTTTAACGCTTGAAGAAGGTGCAAGAGGGTAGCTGTCAGCCAAGCAGCTCAAGAAAGAGCCTTTCTTTTGGTTTATCATTCTAAATATTCACAATAATCTACACATTTGGTGTGAAAAGTCAGATTTTTTTTCGTCAAAAAACCACTTTAGCATTTACAGAGCAAAAAAAAACAAAGACTTCTTTGTCCACAGGGGGCGCCAAAATTGACACAGACCAAAAGCTTTAATCAAACATTCACAAACTGATTCTCATACGAAAATAAAAACTAGTTTCTTGTTTATGATTTATACCTGTCAGTGAAGATAACCCATCAGGGACATAGTCAGGTGCTACACATAACACATAAAGGGAATTATGGTGAAAAATACAACACTTGGGACCCTCTGGGACCCTGACCCTTTGAGATCCCTAGTGTCTATATCAAATGAAGAAAATGTCCTGTAAATAGCTTGATTACGATTATAATAAAACATCCCATAATAAAAGTACCACTACTCCAGTGTTTTGACTATTCGTTTTTTCCCCAATTTCACTCTTTCAGGCCATCAGAGTAGTTTGTTCAATACCTTCAATATCATTGGTTACTGATTCGACATCACAGACCCCTCCACAAACACCAGAGCTATCATTCCCCAAATGGTCAAAGTGTCTGAATGCAGTACCTTCAAGATCTTGTAGGCACTGCTCATGGACGTGACTTTGTGGTTGGCGTGGGATCCTCCCAGCTTGCACAAGTGACACACGGGTCGCCTGCAGACCTCGCAGTACATGTTCACTTTTTCCATCTCGTGCTCTGGACACATGAGTACCTGAAACATTCGACAAAATAATATCGAGTTTTCTCTGAGACAAAATACAGAAACATTGCTTAACAGTACTTCAACTTGGCACAATATCAGCGCAGACTGAAAAAGAAACAGGAAGACGGCCCAAACTTTACACGCATCGAGACGGTTCTGTGAGCAACTTCCTGAAATGTCTTGAAGCAGAATTTAAGATCAGCACTTTTTATAGCACCAGGTTCCTCATCGGGTCGTTTCTAGCAACATTAGTCCAGGGATTGGATAGCACAGAAAAATATATTCTCACTTTCTAGAAGGTTAAAAGACTTCATTTGTCAGTGTTGTTCTGTTTGATACATAACTGAATTAGGCAAGGATTTATATCAATTAGATAAAACCTTATAATTAAGACTGTCAAACAGGGAAATTTGCATGAATATTTCAGTTTTATAATTTAACCCATTGAGAATTTCTTTAACCAGATGTTGTTGTTAAAGAAAAGCACAAACTTCCAGCCTGCATGGATTCAGCTTCTGTGTTCAACTCCTTATCACACATTAGATGTTTAAAACTGATCCACTCACGCTGATGACTTTTGACTCATGTGACAGCGTGTCGTTTGAAGGTCACAGTCCAACTGAAAGTTTGGATGTGATCAAGAAACAAACGGATAAACAGAGACATGAAGATAATAAGGCCTTATCCTCTGTGAAGTCATAGTTACCTTTGGCCTAAAATTGGTAGTGGGGCCGACATACTCATGCTGAGCTTTTGGTGTCCCCCATGGGTGGTGAAGCTTAAAGCACTCATTGCAGTAGCTAGCTTTACAGTCCATACAGCTCTTTGTGGCCTCCTGCTGCTGAGGAGGCTTGCAGATGTTACACATGATGGCGATGGCAGCGCGGGCCGCCTGGCGGTAGCGCTCGACAATGCTCTCGAGGGTGAAGTTACGAAACAGCATGCTGATGCCGCGCTCGCCGAGGTCAATATCGTGCTGACAGCCCGGGCATGGGATGGTGGTGATCCGGGGAGTGACGGAGCCTCTGCGCCACCCTGGGGACGAGATGGAGCCTGGAGGAGAGAGGAAGAGGACAAGTGAGGAAAAATTGAGGATAATAGAGGCTCAAACCTTTGGGTCACCCAGCTTCAAGTCTTGTCTGAGGCCCTATTTTGACATGCGAACAACTATGCCCTTTGACTACAAATTTTTGAGATGAGATAGTTTCCAAGAGTTAAATACGGGCTGTGAAAATGTGAACCCCCCTTTGTGTTGAACAGATTCTGGGCTCAGATTCACAAAAGCAGTATTACATCATCTGCTTGACTTGCCAAGTATGATGCTAAGGCAAAAAACGCTTTGATAGCACGCATGAAAATATCAAACTGTGACAAATAGGGCCTCAGTGTGTCTCCCTTTGTGCTTTATTTCCTCCATGACCAAAAAAATCCATAGATATGGATGTATGGAGGTAAACGTCAGAACAGGCAGTAACTGAGCAGGTGTCATACAAGGAAATAAGTCCAAGAAGAGAGACTTCACAAGACAGCTGGGGCAGATTTCAGAGTGATGATGCAGGATAGTCATGGGGAGGAAGGCATCCTTGAAGTTTGTTGAGAATACAATGTCTGCATGAGAAACTCCACTGCAAGTCAGTTAACATTTACCAAGGGGGGAGGGAAGGGGCTATTTAAGTGCTCACAGTGATCTGGACAAAAGCAAATAATCCTACGTCCTGAAATGAGTGATCAAGAAAATAAAAACATACCAGAGCATTAAGACAACATGCGATGAGTTTTAACTTATTAGAAATGTCCTGAAATTATAAATCTAAAGATCAAATGTCCAGTTCAGTGCATCAACACTTTGCAATCACAACATACTCCTCTTAAAGCTACACCACCTTTAAGAGTTTCTCACAACAGTATGCTTGTTACTGCTGCGGCATCACCGTAACAAAGCAACAACACAGTAACAACGGGTGCGCACACAAGTACACATCACAGATGCAAGCGAACACTGACAGTACAAACATTCAAATAAAGCCAAGGAACTTAAGTCAACACAAGGCAAAGGAAATGACAAAAAAATTGTTGCTTCACGTTTTTGGGGGACAGGGGAAGCGAGGAGTGCTGGATTTATCTCAGTTTGAAAGCCAGATTTTCCGCTTCGTTTCCGAGGACCTGGAAATTAAATCAAACACTCCTCAGGAAAGCTTTAACACACAGGGACACAATTTGAAACCAACACTTGAAAAGAAAGGGTTCAGCTGAGGAAAAAGCAGCAGCGGAACAGCAAACATAGAAACTATGTGTTATGTGCGGCTAGCTGTGTGCATGCCATGTGACAGAAAGATGTGGGCAGAACTGAGGGATGTGGCAGTGCAGGGACAGCTAAACCCCGAGAGACTAAATCTGTAAGAGATCCGTTCGCCCACACTTCGATTTACCCACCTACCTGATTTCATGACAAACGAACTTAATAACATCATGTTATGATGATATGATTAAAAAAAGAAAACTGAGTCTGATGATGGCGATGAAGTTAGCACAGGTAATACTGTTAAGTCACTGGATGAAAAGTGAAATCCATCATATGAACTAATGAAAGATGCAGGTGTCTGCTCCACCTGCTATCTGCTAACCATCTGAGTTCATGTGTGTGTACTTCATGTATGTGAACATGCCTCCTGCTTGGCGCAGTATGTATGAGCCAGTTTATGGGGAAACATGAGAAGCCTTTGGTAAGGTTCGTGTGTTGATTTGTGGATCTGCAGAGAGGCTGCAGTCTGAGGGGAGAAATTGACGAGTCATTGCAGATTTAAAAAAAAAAAAAAAACCTGTCAATTTTTCCAGCATGCTCTGATAAGGTTTCAGCACCGAGTTTGATGTAGTGATTCATGGAGGATTTTTCTATTTCTGTTGATTTTTAAAAGGGTGTGCCCATTTGGTTTAGGCTTTTGTCAACACTAAACGTGGTTACAAAGGTGAAGGGAATCAAATTGAGGACTCCTTATACCAACACGGATTACCTTGTGTTTCTTTTTGGGAAGGTTTTAACTCATAGTCTACTGCTTTTTTTTAATATTGCTCTCAAGAACACCACATTAGAGTTTGTTGCTATGTCACTTAGTATATATATATATATATTTCTTTTGCTTGAAGAAAACAAGCCCTCAAAAAACAGTACATGAGAAGTATTTTTTAAAGCATCAACTCTACGTGTTAAACTAGTGCACCGACTTGCCAGCAAAACCAGTATTCAGTTTTGTTTAACTTGGCCGGCTTTCTGACGCTTCACTTCAGCCTGCCCAAAATGATTAGAGTGAGGCTGAAACAGGTCTGTGCTCTTATAAACCATTTCTCAAACACTAATGATTGTCTAGGCCTAATCAGCGCGGCCTGCAGGCATGCAGATATCAGTCATTTAAGCCTGTTAAGAATCTTAGCAAGTCCAAACATAGTTTATGTTTTCTTTCGATATGTGTGTGTGAGTGTGTTTGTTTTCCTTAGTAAGAACAGAGCCTCACAGTTCTCTGGCTCATTAAACGGGCTTTATCTGCCACCATGTTTTGTGAAATGAATGTAAAGCTTTGCTCTTATACACAAACATAGACATACCTGTCCTACCTCAACTCTTGGAAATTATCTTCATGGCTTTCTAACTATCTAACTACTTTTATTTTGGCTGAGAAAAATTCCCTTTTGGCACATTTTTTCTTCCCCACCAAGGACTGCACCTCCCTATAAAATGATTCTCATCTCCGAATTTTCTATATGCCACTCCTCTTTTAATCAGCCTCCTGTGTGCCAACTCATCATCGCTTAAAGGATTTCACTTTTTGCAGTGCCTCTCTCTGATTTTCCCACCTTATTGATGGAATAAAATACAAGTTGAGACAGCCATAACCTGGAGCATTTAACACCATCTTTAAATACCTGAGTGATATGGATTTAACCATTAGATTACTTGAAGGATCACTGGGCAGTTTTGAGAGACATGTGGCTTCTAATTTCAACTGCATCTATAGGTGTCCAACGAAAACAATCAAAGGCTTTACAACTCTGGATACACAATTTGGGATATCCGTATTGAACCGAACAAGTGTTGTGAGTCTGTATGGTTGTGTTGACAGGGCTGAAGTAGATTAAGTAGAGAGAAGGCAGAACCAAACTAGGGTTTTATGGGGTTCTAGTAACACTGTACTCACTACTACAGCTACTCAAAACACGGAGCCCGCGTCTACCTCGACTCCCGAATGACCTTCGCACTGAGGCTGCAAGCAATGAACAGAGAAGTGAGGTGAGACCAACAGGCAATGAAACAATGCATAACGTGAGGTGACGTTATTGTTTTTTTTTTAAAAAAGGAAAACAACATGATTTTTCAAGACAAGAAGCAAACATAAAATAATGTGAAGAAAAACTTGTTCAAAGTAAAAAATGGTTATGCAGTTCAAAGTGAAATACAAAAAAAAAAGTCTCAAAATATACAAACAGGAGATCAACAGTTTAAGAACAATTAACTTTTGATATGCACTTATTAAAAGGGATATTCTGGTCTAAAATTAATTTAGGGTCAAACACTCCGTAACACCAAGTTAGACAACCCCTTGAGAGATGAATGTTGCCGACCGCTTGCTTCTCTAGTTATACAAACTTTAGTAACAATTGTACAATAGCAATACAGAGCGGTCTGAGGAGCAATACACACACACCTCTACCAAAACGCCACTCTATAGCCACAAATAATGCTCAGAACAGCACCTAACTTCATCAACAGTACATATAGGGTCCCAGCCACAGCACTAGCCATCAAACATCTTTTTAACTTTGTCTGATTTCTTTAGCAAAGAGACTAAACACAACTCACCTACTCTCTTCCAGCAGCCGCTTGTTTGTATCTCCGGGCCAGTCCATTACGGACTGCTGCGGGGTGCCGCAGCTCAAGGAAGAACATTTATGATCATTTCTTTATCATTTTCTTGAAGTAATAATCACCATATTAAACATTATGCACTGCAGACGCGGTAGTTCTTCTGTCTTAGCGTCTCTGTCTGATTGCATTTCCATGAAGAAATTGCTCTCCTGTGGTCGTTACTTTAGTCGGTATAACTAGAGAAGCAAGCGGTCGCCAACATTCATCATTCGAGAGGGTGTCTAACTCGGTGCTACGGTGTGTTTGACCCTAAGTTAATATTACGCCGGAATATCCCTTTGACAACACAAATGATCAACAAGCTAAGTGGGCAAAAATTCACACAACTTTTCAGGTTCAGGCTGTAGCTTTTGGGAAATTGCATTAAAGATGTAACTCATCAAAAAAAGAAAAAAACTGTACACCAAACATGAAGCTAGACCCCAGAGACAGTTCGTTTAATCAAAGAAACTGCTAACTTGTCTCTGTCCAATTATAGAAACATTCCCAAACTGTATGACTAATGAACAATTACATTTCAAAACTAAAACAAATCGTCTTAAAGCGCTGGGAAAAAAACTGTTAAAAGAAATATATTCTCAAACCAGCTAGACAGCTAGCATTAGCTAAGAGCTTCATATTTAGTATACAGATATGAAAGCAGCATTAATTCTGTTCAAGTACAGGCATAAAGACTGACAATAAATGTGAAAATTCTACTTTAAGAGTAATCACAATCACTTGAAAGTGCTTTTTTCAAGAGTTAGCTGTCAAACAGAAGTGCACAATCCTCCTTTGGGGCCCCAGTGACTAAAAGATGAGGTTGAGAGACAATGCTGGTGAAGTTCTAGTATCCGCCTCCCTCTGTCCAAGCACAGAAAGGCTTGTCCAGGCTGCACACTGATAAATATAGCCTTAAGTCTTTTCTTTCTCTCTCTTTAACTAATCCCTCATTCATTCCTTACAGGCAGGTTGCGTCACCATGGCTACCAATGATCTGATCTCCCAGCATTGGGCCCAGTATTATCCTGTTGTTCGGTAAGAGAGTTCATATGCTCATAATATACCTCAAAGGTTTGTTAATAATCACCAGAAAGTGAAACTGTATGTTTTCTTAATTTGATGGTTATATGCACTTAACTGGGTAACAGCTTTGTTTAATAATCCTCACTGGAATGTCATTAGAGCTGAACATGTGAAAAGTTTATGGTTTACAAGATCCACGTCTTACTGAGGGCTGTCAGAAATAGCAGAAAATTAAAAGCTGAATCACTCTTAGAAAATATGAATCAAGCAAGAATCCGTCAGAATGAAGAAGTGACACAGATGTCCTTGTGCAGAATTTGACTTGCACAGCATCAGATTTTCTTATTTAGGGGCAGGATTTGATTATTTCCTGCATAAACAGATGCAGTCCTGCAAGTGAAGAATGAACTCATTCAGGTTGACTGGGTGGGAGGGGGGACTCTGAATGAGGGACGCAGTGTTTGAGCGCCCAGTCTCAGTGGTTTTGAACCATGAATGGATGAATAGCTCCCAACCTCACTGTACTCTGGGGATCTTAATAGCGTCTCTCACTTTCGGTTCTCAGTGTTGATCAGGGCCCCACTGGCGTCTTAGTTGAATGGATAACAGGTAACACAAACGTCTCTCAGCCTTGTCATTCATGCCAGTGGGTATACACAAAGTATCCATTAGTGTGTCCCAAAACTTAACCAAAGATTACCAATGGACGGTCTTTGAACAACATTTAGTTCGTACTCAAGATGTCAACAAATAATACTTTTGCTTGATAACAACAGCTAATTACACAACTGCAAGTTGTGTTTTGCTCTCTGTAGAGCTGTTTAACCACTAACAATTCCTTTATCCGTCAGCTGTGAGCAGTTTCTCCACTGTCCTTTGTTTATTAATCCCTGTTAACACATGCTCAAATGTCAAGTGTTTTGGATTTGCATACTGGCTATATTGGGTACTTTTAATTTTATCCCTCTTCCAATTTACTCGGAGTCTTAGTTTAAGTGTTTTGGATGGGTTTGGAAGTTGGGCTTAAAATGTCAAAACGATTGGCTTTCAATATTCAATACTATCAATACTTTGCAGTCAATACTTACATTGATTCTTTTGCATTGAAACATAAGCCGTTTGTTTTTCTCAAGTATTTTGTTTGCAGCTCTTTTGGTTTCCAGGTAGTTTTACCATCAGTCTTAAAATCAGAGTGGTGTAAAAAGCAGAGGATTTTGTTTTTTATGGATAAGAGCCGATAGTGAAGCCCATGTGCAAATGAGACAGTCTTGTTTCTGGAAATGGCCAGCAGCCCAGAGCTCTCGAGAGGGCAGAAAGGCAGCCTTGTGTCCCACCGTGCTGTTTCATGGCTTAGACATTGACCTGCTCAAGCTTGGCTGCAGCCATGCCATGTGGTTAGAAAAGAATAAATGTTGTGACAAGTTTACTTAGCTGCCTGCAACTACATCCCCTCCTCCAGCAAATTCACCCTTCCTCTGGCTCAGCTCAGTTTTGGAGTTTAAAAATGCCTTAAAAAAAATTTACAGATTTGTTCACTCGTGTACATAACACACAGCTGTACTGTTTATCTGATTAAAGATAGAAGGGAAATTACAGCTACTCTCTTTTCAGTTCCTGAAACATTTCCCAATGAAAACACAGGCCCTCGGATGATTGAAGAGGTTGTCTGACGCCCCTGGGCTCTAGGAGGCAGACAGTGAAGACAATTAGGGCTTGAAAGAGCTTGTCAACGTTTCTTTTCTCTCAGTGGACAAAAAAAATACAGCTTGTCAAGTTCCTTTGCTGACTGTTTAAAGAGGCCTGTAAAAGCAGACAGGATTAGAGGAAATGTGATGACTGACAATGTAATGGCTGAGCAGTAAAATTATTAAATCATTTTCATGTTTGTTTGGTGTTAATCTAGGACATGAGAAGGAGGAGGGTGGTGTCTGCGCCACATTAAACCCAGACATAGTATAACAATGCTTGGCCGCCGCCCCCCCCCCATAGTTTCTATTGGCTTTTTAATTTGAGTTAGCTAAAGGTTTAGTTATTAGTCCGGGAAATGATCTTCACAATAGCACAACCTTTTAGGTTATTGAATAGTTTCTTTCTGTAGCCACATAAAAAACCTTCATATCCTTTTCTTTGTTGTGAATCCCAGACTGAAGCCACAGAAGCTTGTTGAATGCTAACAGAATGATGACAGAAGAACTGAGAGGGAAATTAAAGCAACTGCAAGAATGACAATGCAGCAGGGAGGCATCATTTCAGATATACTGTAGTCACTTTATCTTCCTGGGAAACACAAACAGCCTCAGATGCATTTGATACTTTTTTGCGCATTGATTTCTTGAGCATTATCTTCTCACATAACAAATCACTGAATCATGCTGACCAACAAAAGAACCGACACTGCCCTGACTAATGCTTCAAACGCACTGTTGTGGAAAGCTTTTAACATTGGGGAAATGAAAGATCCGCCTTCCTGCACTCATCTGTACATGATTTCTGTGAACAATTTTTTTAAAGCTGAGCTCTTCTCCTCCCTTACCCAAGGACTCACCTGATCTTACAAGCCTGTCTAGCCTCTCCATGGAAGGAGAGGGCACCCTGGACCTGGGGCTGCCGGGCAGGGAGCACTCAGAACCGGCATCGAAAGAGTCCTCATGGTTTAGCATGAGCAGCTCCCTGACACACTTGTGGCAGACGCTGTGTTGACAGGGCAGGATCAGTGGGTGGGTGAAGAGCTCCTTACAGATGGGGCAGATCAGCTCCCTCTCAATGTTCTTGATCGGGACCTGGTGGTGGAAGCATAACAATGGACGTACATTTATTCAACTACATCCTGTGCTTTTTCATCTTCATTCAGCACTGCCACATCTGCAGTCTGCTTTTAACTCACACAGCGAAGAACAAAAGAAAGAGGGTGAAGTGAGCACAATGACAGAAATAGCGTCACAGATGAGTCGGAAATAAGCATGGCAACTTCAGAGTTTAGAGGATACAGGCGTCTTTGATTTCTGAAACAAAAACCTATTAATAGGACATTTAATATGCAGCTGAAGTAAGTCTATTGTCTGCACTTTTGAGCTGCAAAAACATCATTTTGCTCTTCCCTAAAGGATGGAGATTCTGTATATGTGGTGAAGTACAGCCAGTATTAATCGCACATTTTTCATTTATACTGCACAAAACAAGAGGGACACTGTTGACACTTTTCCTATAGAGCAGGTCTCCACAGTAGCATACTCTTTCAAGTATGATTTAAAGTGACAAAATATCAATCCACCATGACCAAGCAGTTTATAACAGTGGAGGAGAAACCTTCACAAATAGGCAGACACCTCAGGCACAACCAGATTGCTAGGTAGGTAGTATCAGTAGCTCACTCTTTCAAGCATTATTAAAAGTGACAAGATATCAATCCACCATGACCAAGCAGTTTATAACAGTGGAGGAGAAACCTTCACAAACAGGCAGACACCTCAAGCACAACCAGATTGCTAGGTCGGTAGTGTCATGGCAGATTGATATTTTGTCACTTTATATAATACTTGAAAGAGTATGCTACTGATACTACCTACCTAGCAGACCCCTCAAGCACAACCAGATTGCTAGGTAGGTAGAATCAGTAGCATACTCTTTCAAGTATTATTTAAATTGACAAAATATCAATCCACCATGACCAAGCAGTTTATAACAGTGGAGGAGAAACCCTTGCAAACAGGCAGACACCTCAAGCACAACCAGATTGCCAGGTAGACAGCCATCTGCCTTGACTGTATATGCAGAAACAGGGATGCAAGTATAAAAGGCAGCCTTATTCTATGCGTGCAAAACGCCAACTTTACTTTGAAAAACACTGATACAGTCACAGTAACAGGCAGCAATGGGGTCTTTCCCCTGTTTCTAACGTATTACATAAGAAAGGATTAACTCTGTCTAAATATAGACAAACAGTAGTAAAATAAACCGATCCAGCAGCTCACGTTTGAACATTAAACACGAGCAAGGTCCATATCTAAAATTGTCTCCAAATGATTTAAGGACTGATTAGTTCATTTCTATCAGCTGGTGGGTTACAGCACTGTTTAAAGGCTGCTTTAACAAACATTGACTAAAGAGTGAGAAAACGCCTCCACGCGTGTAAAAAGACAATGCCCTGAGGGATAGAGGAAGTTTAAAGAGGAAAAAGGCAAACAAAGCTCCAAAAACGATCAGTTTCATTGAGAATTTTAAGTCAAATTTCGCAATAAATGATCAGCTGTTGTTGGGTGACTCATGGCGAACTTCTCACGGTGTCTGCTGGTCTCTTTACATGCACAGCAGAGGAGCTACAGGCTGTTAAACAATGACGACTCGGAAAGCGTTAGTATCATCCAACCGGCTTCATAAAACTTCCCCAAACTTACCCCTGCCGTGCTGCTACGTCGCTTCTCCATATTCATGATGAAGGAGTGTAACAGCCTGTACGTGCGGGTTTGAGTCTAAATAAAACACCTTGCCCGGCGTTTTCTGCGTACGCGTAGCTCGTGCTAAACACAAATAACTTCTCAGGCGCGAGCAGAGAAGATGCCGACAGCGACGGCTGAGAGAATTTAAATAGAGTGACGCTGCTGGGAGAGGGCAGCGCTGTGGTGAATCAGCAGCCAATTCACTGCTGCTGCAGGGACTGCACACAGGCAGACAGACAGGCAGGGGCGGGGAGAGAGAGAGAGAGCTAGAGAGAGAGAGAGGGTTAATTCTACGGTGGCCGAGAAACGCCACTGCTGCAAATAAAAAAAGAATGCCAAAAAAACAAAACAAAAACAAAAAAAACTGATGCATCGTTAACTTCCATTGTGGCTTTTTCTTTAGTCATATGCGCCATTTCTTTTTTAATTTGCAGCGGGCTCTGGTTTCTTTCTTCCTTTTTTATTTATTTAATAATTTAGGGTCAAACACGCTGTAACACCAAGTTAGACTCCCCCTCTAGAGATGAATGTTGCCGACCGTTTGCTTCTCTGGTTATACCAACTTCAGTTACAACCGCACAATAGCAATACACAGCGGTCTACGTCTCCAACCAAAACACCACTCTATAACCACAAATAATTCTCAGAACAGCACCTTACTTCATCAACAGTACATATAGGGTCCTGGCTTTATTCTCATAAGTAATTACTTTTATTACAACTTTATTCTAGTAAGTAATTACAAAGTCTTCAGTTTTTATCCTTTGATGTGGCCCTAATATTCTGTCGTATTATATAAAAGGATGCAAATGAAAAAATTCACAATGGAATTGAGCTGCCGGGGACCAATAATGATGATGCACCGGTGTTTGACGATCTAGGCACAGAAGACAACGGCGAGAAGACAAGCAAGGAAGTTAGTGGAAAGGTTATCATTTAATTTCGATTCCTGTGCTTTTCAATGTGTCATTTGGTTAGGGCTGTGTAGCGCCTGAGTCATTTCTGTTGTGGCTTTTTTTTTTTTGCATTCTTTTTTATTTACAGCAGTGGCAGTTCTCGGCCACCATAAATATCTCCATGGGAACAGCTGCTGCCTTCATGTGCTCCTAGTAAACTCCAAAAATCTTCAATACAACCACTACTTAGCTGCTTACACATTACAGGTCTGCATGCATGATCTCCCCATTAAAAACAGAGTGATGCATGTACATGCTTATCATGACTGGCGCCACATGCAAACATCAGAATCAGGTGTGCTGGGGAAGTAGCGTAATCACATGCAAGAGATATGATTCTATGTTACTTTCAAGCAAGCAAAACCAGTAGTTTAAAAGAAATTATAAAACAGAGTGGCATTTACTAACATGAAAGGTAGAAGAGTAATCACAGAGTATTTTTGTACAATTTTTGATAGGGGGAAACCCAGCATAAGCAACACTGCGTGACTAAATACAAGCCGATAAGTGTGGCTGAAAATTGTAAACAAAACACAGATTTAAAACTGTACCTGGATCTATCAAGTAGATTGATATTTTACTGGTTAGAAGGAGTTAAAAGAAAATCTTAGCTTGCTGCTATTAAAGGGATAAATGTTCTTCCTTGAGCTGCGTCACCCCACAGCCAACAAGCGGCTCAAGGAAGAACATTTGGTGAGTTGTGTTTAGTCTCTTTGCTAAAGAAATTAGGCAAAGTTAAAAAGATGTTTGATGACTAGTGCTGTGGCTGGGACCCTATATGTACTGTTGACGAAGTAAGGTGCTGTTCTGAGCATTATTTGTGGCTATAGAGTGGCGTTTTGGTTGAGGTGTGTGCGTGGATCCATAGACCGCTGTGTATTGCTATCGTGCGGTTGTTACCAAAGTTGGTATAACTAGAGAAGCAAGCAGTCGGCAACATTCATCTCTAGAGGGGTTGTCTAACTCGGTGTTACGGTGTGTTTGACCCTAAATTAATTTTACGCTGGAATATCTCTTTAAAACACAATATCTACACCACCTACTGGTAGAACCAAAGCAGAAGTCTGGTAACATCTTAGTGTCTTTTACCATTTTTTGCCAACTCATCAAGTGAAGTCTTACAGAGTGTATCTTTTTTGTTGCAGTTGCTGGTACTTGAGAAAGTCAGAGGATCATTAAAGTTATGATAACCTATTTGTTTGGTATCATAAATTTTTCTAGGTATCTTCCAGTTGTTGTGTTGCTGTTTCATTGTGAGGCACAGATCCTAACTTTCTGGGGTCATAAAGGCAAAGGGATCACCAAGTTCAGCAAGTTCAAATTTTATTTATATAGCGCCAATTCACAACGGTCGTCATCCCAAGATGCTTTCCAAAGAAAAAGAGCAGGTCTAGACCATGCTCATTGCCTGATGAATTACCAAGACCCAACCTTAAGATGGGACAGATTTGACCCATCTCATCTAATATGAGTGACAGCGGCAAGGAAAAACTTCCTTTTAACAGGCAGAAACCTTGGGAAGGACAGGGTTTCTTCTCTGAGTACTTTATAATTTTTGGGGTTAGGAGCAAGTGTTGGCCTGCCAATTCCACAAACTATGGTTGACAGTAGCTCTAGTTTAGCTAACAGCAAAAATATTCATCAAAGATGTCTCTAAAACATAATAAAGTATTAGTACACGGGAACAAAAATACTCTCAAAAGTGAAAGATGAGACACCAAAAAACCTCACGAGAGAATGTCTTTGTGCTGGGTAATGTGACTGCCAAAGGCAGAGTTAGCTGCATGAAATACCATTATTGCACTTCAGGCGGAAAAATCCCGGCGTGAGCAGTTTGTGTTTTATGACGCAGAGACAGTAGTGCATAGGATGGCAGTGTGGTTGAGTTGTTGAGGGCCACTGAGAGGTGTGGTAATCGTTAAGTCTATCTGTTCCAAGAATGTTACTTACAATCTAAAGCAAAAAGCTCTCAACACACTCCTGCTTTGCATTATATGTTACAGAGGAGTTCAGAGTCTCTAAACTCACTTTAGGTGAGTGTACAGTGTTCAGCTCTCACAGTGTGTCTTTTCTTTATAAGAGGGTCTATAAATGCTAAAACTTCTGTGAACTTTACAGTCTTCCCTAATGTCGGGGCCCCTCCTCTTCATTCAGAGGATTTATGATCTGCTAATGGTTTGCTGCAGTAGCTGTATGGTTGGTTTTATTGTACATCAGGGCCCCCTAGCAGGTCAATACAGCACTGTTGCAGTTAAACAACAAAATGCACCATGACACAGCTTAACACGGTGGTTAAGAAGAAGCTGCAGGTAGCATGGAGAGCTTTGTACAGTAGCACAAAATTAGGCTAAAATCCTTAATTTGATCACAAAGTGCACAGTCATCACAGGCACTGCAGCCACATGAAGGACATTGTTGAGTCATTCACTTTTCCAACAGTGTTTGTTGGCAGCGGCTGACAATGTCATTAGGCCCCTGGCACTTCCAGAGCATTCATCTCAGGGAGGTATAAGACTCGCCGCACATCCACTTTTGCCAAAGTGAATTATTAATGCGGAAGTTTCTGTGTGATCCATGTGATCCATCACCCAGGGAAGTTGTGATTACCTGTCTGCAGGGGAAAAAAACATTGAAAGGGATCCAGAGAATTCTGTTTAACTTTCAAAGTCAATGTTTTTTTATCGTTGTCATCGGTAAAACAACAGAATGAAACAGAAAACACAACAGGGGTGAACATGTATGCTAACTTGTACATGTGGTGCACTGACAGATTTTGTTTCTAGTGGCTGAATTGATCCTTCGCCTATTGCTTCCCATTATTTAGTTTAGGTACGCTGGACTTTGCATAAAAGTGGGAGAAAAAAAAAGATATTTCAGGGCACAATATATCTTTAGACTTGTGCTGAATAAGCTCTCTGAAACTAGCAACACATGTAATTTTTTTCAGCCAACATGCTGATGTTGTTTATTCTCTTTGATAAGTCAGACTCTGCAGAGAAAGGGAAACAATCTTACTATGCAAGACAGGCTTGATTAAAATGTTAAATATCAGTGAATTCAGCAACACCATAGCTGTCTAATAAGTAATTTACACAAGCAGTGTGCTCAGTATTTCAATAAGACACATGAAACGGACACACACTTGCACTCACACACACACAGCTCATGCATGCATGGATGAAATGTCAGGGATTGAGTGAGCAGCAGAGATGTGTTTCAACACATTCTGTCAGTCTGAAATGGGTGAAATGGGTAACAACCCCCTCTCTGTGCACACACACACCTCAGTAACCCGGTGCCCCGTCTCAGCTCACAGCTGCTGCCAAGTGTCCCACATATTGACAGGAGTCTGTGAGCTGCCTGCAGCACTAACTCCCAACACTCTCAGCGACTGAAACCTCTAATTAAACTCTTTATGTTCATGATTTTTTTTTCTCTAAGAATAGCAGAGAGGACTGTGCCCGAAGGCCGGGAAGCCCTGACACAGAGTGGAGAAGAGTATAACAGAAATGAATGAAGACTGTGTGGGTCAGTGTGCAGGTTATTCAAGGTGCTGTTAACAGAAATACCTCAGATCTCCTTACATTATGACAGTCATGGTAGCATGCAAGTGCCTCATATTAAAACATGCAGGATATAATAATGAAATAAAATTTAATTGCATATCAAGAATGTTGGGATAAATTAGAAAAGGAATGAATGCTTTACATATTTTCTAAAAATAGATCAGAAAGGAATAGCACAGGAAAAACAAGATGGTCTCTTTCACTACAATGTTTAATCAACTGTCAGGTCATTGACTAGATAGAATATTTAGTGACAGAATTGAAGAGCTTTATCATTTGCTCTATTCAATTAAAAGATCAGATTACAGTAATAATGCTCATCACAATGTTGGAATTAATAAAGTCCAATCATAGGCTGTTAATAGCAGTGTTTAAAATGGTTGAATCTGATTGGAAAAGCAGGAACTGACACCTCAAACTGGACACTGAAACAGACTACAATAGATGATAGTAAAATAGGTGTGGATCCAACTCTACTACAGCAAATCATGTAATAGAGTAGAATCAGCCACATCACCACCATTGGTTCATGAAATCAGAATAATACAGGCGGCAATCTTGTTTGGCTCTATGGAAATGAATGGAAAAGGCTTGCATTATCATTTAAATAGAAAATTGTATAGTGGTCCGGGTTTGTCAGCCCCACTCTCCGTCCCCTGACAGCCGCGCAGGCCGGCCCGGCGCTGCTGCTCTCGGGCTCGCGGTGACAGACAGACCGCTGCTGTCAGAGGAGAAGCGTAAATCATCCGGATGAGACTCACCTCACCCCGCTCGATCCGCTCCACGATGCTGTTGAACTCCGTCATATCCTCCGAGTCCGACATGGCTACAGATGGAGGTGAGGGATGTATGGATGTAGTAGGGTGACAAACGGGTTAAAAAGAAAAATGTGGAAAAATAACCACACACAAATAGCAGCGGTGGATTAAAGAAAAAGGATCAAACGCTCCGCAGCTTGACAGGGGAGGTGATATAAGATGAAGAGCCGCTCTTCAGACCACATCACCATCCTCTCCTCTCTCCTCCCTCCCTCTGCGTTCAGCCTTATGTGTTTGTCTAGAGACTCTACAGTACATGCGCCGGCTCTGAGAAGCCAGTTTGCTTTTAGTTTGCCTCATCTTGGAGGGAAAACCCCGCCCTCCTTTTCTCTCCTCTCCTTAGTATCTCCATCTACATCATCCCTCAGCGGCGATGTCTCTACGCACAGAGCTCTTTGTATCCTCCTGCTCTGTCATCCATCATCCGCGCACTGAATGGCTTCCGCTTCCATCCATCAATCAGCACAAATAACAATAATAATCTGTGGCTGGAGATTACAGGGGGGATAGGGAGGGGGGTCTTAAATCTATTTAGCCCGGCGTCCAGTCAAGTTGGACATTTACGCATGGCTTGCGGCGCGCTCATGTGTGCATATGTTTCACGTGGGCTGAATTCTGCTTATTGCGACCCAAATTTGTGACTACTGCAGCTCACATCGCCCCCGATGTATGTCACAGATGAGTTTCTTCCCCCATGAAGAGCAGGAATGTTGGGCGACCGCGTGAAGCCGGATTAAGTTCGTGTTTTTAATTTTTTTGGCAATGCCACTTGTTCCGCGTCACCAGATGGCCTCACGGCTTCATGCAGACTTATTCCACCCCATTGAGCAAGTGGAAGGGGGACAACCGGGCAGACTGCCCTCACAGAGCCAGCAAACGGAGCATTACAAAACTAATAACTCATTATGACCACTGTTTACAAAAGCACTGAAACCATCAGCCTATAGCATACTGAAGTGGAGTCTCCACTGTGGGGGAGAAAATGGTTACAGTTATGACAGAGTACAGTTTTGGAAGTTCTTAGTCTTCTCAAAAAGGTCAGCTACGGTGGCCGAAAACCGTCACTGCCGAAAGCTACTGATACAAAAAAAGGAAACCTAAGCCCACTGCAGATAAAAGAAGAAACGGTGCGGATAAAATAATAAAATTAAAAAAACCCACAACAGAGGTTAACGATGCAAAAAAAAAAGTGGTGATACAAATAAATGGTGATGCAAATAAAAAAAGAATGCATAAAAAAAGTTAACAGAAGTTACTGATGTAAAAAAAAAAGAAACCATAGCCACTCTCTCCAAAGCTGCAAATAAAAAAAGAAACGGTGCAGATAAAAAAAAGCCACAACGGAAGTTAATGACACAAAAATTAAAAAAAGTGACGATGGAAAAAAAAAAAAAACGTTACTTACTGCAAAAATAAAAGGATGCAAATAAAAAAACGCCACAACGGAAGCGAGCTGTCGGGGACCAATAATGATGATGCACCGGTGTTTTACGATCTGGGCACAGAAGATGACGGCGAAAAGACGAGTAAAGAATTTAGCAGAAAGGTTATTTAATTTTGCTTTGTGTGCTTTTCAATGTGTCATTTGGCTAGGCCATGTAGCGCCTTAGTCAATATGAAGTTGAGCCAGAGGATGCCAGTGTAGTGTTAGCTTCAGTTCAACTTCATATCGACTCAGGTGCAACATGGCCTAACCAAATGACACATTGAAAAGCACCTGAAGCGAAACTAATAAAATAACGTTTCCACAAACTTTTTTGCTTGTCTTCCTGCCGCCATCTTCTGTGCCTAGATCGTAATAAAACGGTGCATAATAATTATTGGTTCCCAACAGCTCACTTTTGTTGTGGCTTTTTTATTTGCATCCTTTTATTTTCACAGTAACCTTTTTTTTCCATCGCCACTTTTTTTTTTTTTGCGTCGTTAACCTCCATTGTGGCTTTTTTATCTGTACAGTTTCTTTTTTTATTTCCTGTGAATAGGCTGTGAATAAGACCGAGTCTACATCACAAACTGTTCTTAGGGGGTAAATGAAGCGACTATGAGGTCACCCATTGGTTTGTGGACTACATTTTGGTTGTCACCACCCTGCTAGTGTGGAGCCAGAGATGACCATATTTGGATAAAAAGATATAATCAGGGTGAGCTTCAGGGCCTGAAGTTAGCTGAGGTGACTCCTGGGAGACAGCTATAGGCACCAGCAGTCAGTCACATCAGCCACAGCTTTCATTTTGTGTCTGACCGTTTAAAGGAGTGAGATTGAATTGTAGTTAAGTTGACAGAACATCATGGGAAAGTAAGCCTTGAGGAAAAATATGTTAAATTGGTTGTAAAAATGTTAAGTTCTGTAGTAAAGCTGGCAAATTAAAAACTCCCTGAATTCCAGTCAGATTATTTGTATTTCATGAAGGGAGAAAATGACCACATGACAAATAAAAGCATTGCCACCCCTGCAACCAAGCAGCTTTCCTGTGCTATGAACATTAGAAGAATATCCATCAATCATTCATGAGGGGTAACAGTTATGGCGGATTAACCCTTTAATAATGGTGCCAAAGTGCCTCACAGGTCAAGTACAGCACATATGTTGACTCTCCTCAGCCTTTCATGAACCTCTCAATGGACTCTTACACCCAGGGGGAGCCCAGAGTTCTTACATATGATGTGAAGATGACACTTGACTGCCCGATAAAAAGGCACATGGCCGAGCCGCAGTGCCCTGCACTTGACTGGATAATCAATGGAATGCATTGATTAGTGTGTTATACAAAGCAGAATTGATTAGACTTAAATAACTACAGAGGAAGCAGTTGGTGTAAAGCACGTGTACATCAAGGCGATTCATACCACACACTGCAGTGCAGTAAACACACTGTATACACAGATGCGCAGTGGCAGTAGCTGGATCTGAGACGTATGAAAACACTCTCTCCAAAGCTGCTAGCGCTTGACTAAATCATGTTAGATCCGGTTTTTCTAAAGTGGAGTCATCAATGTTGATAAAAACAAGATATTAGTACGTTTTTCTTTCACTTAGCCTATTGTACCTGTTTGTTATAAAGGATAATGCGACACAGATAATTCCTCTGTCCCACAGGTGTGAGTTTATGTTCAAACCACACCCAAACCGTAGCTGCTGCAGCTGTCTTTCCAGGCAGTATCTCCTGACAGTTTTAACCTGGGTTGGGCTGTACTCTCTTGGGAGGAGACACATTTCAACATTGTTTTCCTTTTGTTCTTAAACTGAACAATAAATTTCAAAGATGATCATCAGTTTGATGAGATGCTTTTCAAAAATGTTGATCTACCTCTACATTCAGATTGGAATCTTAAAGCACCACAAGGCAGCATTTTTAAGTATTAAGTTACTAAATCAGTGCCAATAGTGAAGTCACTGTAACTGTGCTATGCAGCTCCCTTGTGGGGCTCTATATGTGTGTTTGCATGTGTGCCCTGTATCCAGTTAAACTCCCCTTCCCCCAAGCCCTCTTAATTGTGCCTTGGTCACTGACCTAGCAACGAACAGAAAAAAAATCATCAGACTGTGTTATCCTGAAGCTCGACTCAGCCTTCCTGAGGAAAGAAAATTAAAGGCAATAGAGGCAAATTAGGAACAAGCTGACCAGTTGTCATGTTTGAAGTTAAAAATAGAGTTTTTTTGAGTCATCCAGCCACACACCGTCTACAGAACCTCAGCTTTTGGAGGTATTTATACAGCGCTCACATTTCTTTCTCATCTTTACTTCGCCTTGGGCACTCAACATGTTCAGCGGCTTCCGACTAGGGAAAAACGTCACCCAGCTCACTGAAAAAACATACAGAAGCTGCACAGTCACTGGAGTCAAAGTGTCATGTTTGACCCCTGACAGACGTGTTTAGGAGACAGATGCAATATTGTCAAGATGACAACAATGCCAGGCTAAGATTTTAACCACCTTAGACATATTCAGACAGTATGAGACTTTGAGAGACGCATGACTGTGTTCATTTTGACAAAGCAACAAGGACAGTTGGAAGTTCCTATATCTTTCTGTTTCCCAAACATGTCTATGGTTTCTACTCTTTACTTATGGTTGACTGGTCCCATTTGCTGTTAACTTGCTATGTCATCCTATGAGGGAACTCTATAACCTGTCCTTGTTGGTTCACTCTTATTTATCATTTATGAAAAGATCAATCGAAAACCTGATGGACAGCCTTTTACCGAGACCACGAGTGATCCCCAGAGGTAGATCCCCTCTTGGCATTACCTTTGGGTATAAATGTCACATAAAATCACAAATTAAAAGGTGCAGGTCCGTTTATGGATCATATGCTTTTGAATTTAATGACCTTTGCCGTCTTAAGTTTCCAGGCTGAAGCAGTCTTGACATATGTTCCAAACCTCACAAAATCACACAGTGTTGAAAAAGTTAGTACGCCTTTTTATTCACCATAAATACAGTGTGCACTGCCGAGCTAAAATAAGCATCTGTCCTCAAATTCAAATCTGAAGTGTCATAATACAGTCGGTTTCAACTCTTGCATTTCGATTATAGCCATCACAGCTGTAAACATGTTTTCATCTTGAGCACTTGCACAATGGGAGTCATGTATTTATAGACATTTACATATCTATCTACACTCAATATCTCTACAAAGCATAGAAAAAATAAATCTCATCACATTTATCCTTACATTATTTATTACATTATGTAAATGGTTGCTGACAGAGCAAAGGGGGCCGAGCCGTCCGTTTGTGGCATTTTGGCTGCATCTCAAAAGGAAAAACATAATTCTTTGCCTCTTGAGCATCCGGGCAGCTTTCACTGCAGTTGGCTTACCGAGCGCAAAACCTCGTGCCCTCTCTTCATGCTGTGGGACTGAGGGCATCGACTGCAGCGTGATGAAGCAAAAATGAGATGAGCATTATAACGACAGCCGTCATCTGCAGGAAGGGGCAGACATCCATCCAATCTGTCCTTTTTTTTTTAAGTATACAAAGTATTATGGCTTCTGTCTGATTTGATTCTTCCCTCCTTTTGGAAAAAAAAAACATCAGACATCCAGTAGAATGACCTTCACCAGCAAGCTTTTGTCTGATTGGTTAATAGGACTCCACAAAGAGAGAGGGAGGGAAAATCGTTGCTGCGCAGGTTTTTTCTCTTCCTGAATGATCACAAAGGCTGAAGATACAGCCTCGCTCTATTCCACTCAGAGTTCACTTATCTTTTTAGTGCCTTTCTTTACAGCGAAGCTTCGCCTCATTTAGGCATGCTGTTCACATAGAGAGCACACAGACAGCAGTGACGGAAATATGTTACATGAGGCACATTTCAAGTTTTTTGGGAGTCATCTTCTTCCTTTATTATGTACATAACAGATCCCAGCAGAAGGCAGCTGTGTAATTAGTCACTTCAGGTTGTCTGGAGAGATGGTTCTTTCCTCTCGCCGCCTTTTTTTTTTTCTCCTTTTTACTCAGGACACCTCAGATTTGGGATAATTCATAGCTCTATCGCAAAAACATCAGATTCCAGAATATAAACTGCTTTAAAATCTAAAAGAGAATAGCTTTTGCAGTGGCTAAATTCGACAGTGACGACGACAAAAGTAACTTCCAAAAGGTAAGAGTATCCAATACGATGTGCCTATGGGGCGGCCATCTTAGCGGGGCAACGTTCCCATTAAAGGAATTAGATGTACATGGAAAATAAATCATATCTTGCTTATTTACTCTTTCAACGTCAAAAGATATGCTATTAATATAGAGCATTCTTTGTCTTTTTAATCAAATGCTCTGTATCAAAAGCACGTTTTGGCTTTAATAATGAAGTAAACAGCATGAAAACCGGTTAGCAAGATATAATTTATTTTCATTGCCTTTAATGGGAAGAGTGCCCCCGCTAGCTTAGCCTCACTGTAGGCACACAGCTCAAAGGGACATGTCCTATCTACTATTCAATCTTTTTATGCAACTAAGAAAATATTGTTTGGAGAAATGAAAGGGGAATAGTCTAAAAGAGCAGCTGTAATACTGCTGTTTAGGCAAAATAATGATAAAAAATGTACAATTAGAGAATAATCAGCTGGAGGATAAGCTACTGTGTTAGCACCAAAACAAAGCAAAACAACACTGGAGGTTGGGTCAGGCTTCAGAGAGGAGATTTAAGCCTCCGACAGTTTACTTTCAATAATAGATGGGTCAGATTATTTATTTATTCACCTCTCCTCCCCTCTTCTCTCCTTTCCTCTGTCTCCCTCCAGTGCTTTCTACGCCTGAAAAATGAGGCCAACTTGGCGGGAAGCGGGACGACACCAGCTCTATTTTGGGGAGAGGAGGGAAAAAACAGAGATGGACACTATCGTCATATCCAGTCACACAGTAGACTCCTGCAGGTTACATGTTGCAGACAGGGCGCAGTACTTCTTAACCTGCTATGATATGGTCTCCTCTTCTCCCAACAGATCAGGGAGCAGGTGTTTTCTGTCAGAGCGGACTTACAGTTAAAGGGTGTGGCTTCAGGGGGGTGGGGGTGGGGGGGCTACAGGAACCGGTAAAGCTTGAAATGTTGTTGCTTTGATGGGAATCTCAATCAAAACCACATTTTTCCTTGAGAGATAATATTATATTTGAATTTCTTGTTTTGAGGGTCACCTGGTTTGACATCTGCACAGACAATGAGTCGTACTCCAGAGAGACCAGGTGGACATATTTCGACTCTAAAGGAAGTGACAAACACACAGGGTTGTTTCAGTGGTACAAATCTGCTCATGCATTGTTCTTTGTTTTTGCCCTGTGCCCTTTCTGTCCTGAAAATAACAGACCGATACTCAATGCTGTTCAGAAGAATACATATCCCCAAGTTATGAAGCCACTGTTTCATCTTTTTGTCTTATTGATTTCAGCCTGCGTGGCGCCTTAGAGGAAGGATGAAAGCTGGTGAAGGAAAGCTGCTCAGGGCTCAGGGTTCAGGAGTCAGGGGATGTCAGGAGAGGATCTGTGGCTAAAACCGACGTGTAAAACCTCGCAGAAAAGAAGGGATTTTCCTCTCCGTCCCATAAGAGGCCTAATCTATTTCTATTCCTTTGGCCTCAGGAAGGCTGAATAGTAAAAATCTATTATCTTGAATCTGAAATTTAAGGCCTATAGCGATACTCATTGTTTAATCTTCTTTCTAGGGTGATTTTCATTTTTTTTAAATCACAGCCTTGGCCCTTGAGGTGTTTGTCAGCTGCCTTTTCCATTAATTTAACCCCCCCGCCCCACGGTTGGATTATCATTTAAATCTCTCTTGATGGATGAACAAAGCCTGAAGTGGTGAAACAGCAGGGAGCTAATGCAGGAGTTTACCTGCGAGGTTCGTATCACCTTTGGGATGGGGGAGCAAGAGGCTTTGAAGAGGTTTCAAGGGAATTGGAAGGCATAAAATTCTGTATGAGTCTGTCTACGATTGGCTTTGTGAGAGAGTCGGGTTATTACTTATAGGAAAAGTATAGTTTCTCGACAATTTGCTAATTTATCCTAAAAACTCATTTGACAAACAGGGTCTCCTCTGGTATTGTTGTAAGTGAAGCAAGTTTTTGATGCTGTTGCTTAAAGTTCATCTAAGGATACTTTTTTGCTCAACTGAGGCATTTGAACATTTTCCCAAGTCTCCAGGGGAAACTCAAATGTGACTTTCTGGCACATCATTTTTGCACACTGTAATTCCCTACCATCTACCGACAAAAAGGCAGCAAAAAAAGTGTGGCTTATATTGCTCAACAACAAAAAAAAAACACTATTTTGTAAAACAGGAGTCTTTCAAACCATCCCTGAAACGAGGAGGCTTCTCGGATGATTGACCAATTGTCTCTAGGACACGCAGCAAAAGTTCAGTTGCCTTTCACCGACTGCTGTTCGATGTTCCTGACTACTGAACCTGTTTTACAGACAGATGAGCTGTGGACCATCCCCGCTGTCAGTGCTGTCTACTGCAGCTGCCTGTGCTGTCCCTCCATGTCTGCTGCAGCTGCTGGAGGTGCTGAAAGGCTCTCTGGGTGATGTTAAGAGCTGGGTGGACCTTCCTCAGGTTGGGCTCTCCAATCAGAGACAGGCCGCATAGTCCTAAGTAGGCATGGAGGGGGTCTGGTGGACAGGAAATGGAGAGAAGAGGTGGGAAGAAAAGGGGACGAAAGAGAGCAAAAGAAAGGGAGAAAGAAAGTCAGTGGCTGTTGCATGTATCACAGCAGATGCACCTGCATGTGACAACTAAATCGATTAATCAGGAGAGAAAAGGGAAATTATTTTTGTCACCTCATGTTCCATTTATTAATCAATAAAATAACGGCCAAGATTCCCATAAGGAAAATCATTATGCAGCGATGATTTTGCTTTCTTGCTCCTTTAAGAGGATATAAATAATGCACATATCATGACCCCATGACCTCTTTTTTTCCCCATGGGACGTTGGTAAAAGCTGCACAGGCTAGTAAATGGAGCAGTAATTGAATTATAATGAAAAGACAGATTATTGGAAACAGACTCAGAATCAATCCCAGCAACATTAGCCACATCAATCAGGAGTCAGAACTCAAGGCTGGGTAGAAGAATACAGACAAAGATGTTTGCAAGATATCTCAGAGTTTAGGAGAGATCTGATTTACATGGATATGTTTCCATAACGAGGTTAATATCAGGAATGATACACACGTTTGTTTGGTCTGGATTATGTATGCACAGAGAATTAACATGATATCAAATTGTTAATACCTTTGAGAGTCATTGAGTGTAAATATTAACGAGTCATCCAGATGCACCTCAGAGTGCTGGTCATTAATTTTATGATCTTTATGAGAGTACAACATCAGAGCCTCTCTTATGGTCACATGAACAGAGTTAATTATATCAATGAAATGGAGGCCTGTGGAGTAAAAGATCCACTGTAATGGTAGAGTGTCCACTGTTGCTTCACTTGAGTCTATAGGTTTATTATTCTGAACTCTCTGTCAGTACGGCGATTTGCTTGTGATGTTCCTGGGGATTGTTTTGGTTGTGCAAAAGCTCTGAAAACAACCTTGAAATATTTACTACTCTCAACGTGTTATGATCAAATCATTTCAAACCAACTGCTTTTAATTCAACCAACTGATACTGAAAATGATATCCCTCATTTTGGGTCAAGTAGCAGTCTAAATGTTGAGGTGCTGGAGCGGAGTCTGGAATGGACTGCTTGTATTGGGGTGCTGATATCGGAGATTTTAGATGCAGGGCGATATAATCTGATATTTGTTTTTTTGCTGATATCGGACCAATATCCGATATCAATATTGTATCGGGACACCCCTAATCAATATTTCCCCTCCTTTTCTTCTATTACCTACTGAGTAAAACATCTTGCTCTTAAGCTGCTGAAAGTCCATTCACATTCTCCTTTATGTTTGTCGGTTTGTGTCTAACTTTATGTGTTTATTCCTCAGTGCTGAGTAGCTGTATGGTTTAAGCTTGTTTTAGCCTAATATTGTTGTCGACTGAGTGTTAAAAACACCATCATGAGAGTTCACAGAGGGAACCAAAACAGCAAAGTGACCAGACGGACTAATGCAACAGCATGAGCTGAAATCACTGACACTCCACGAGTGACTTCTTTGAGAATGAGAGGGATTAATAGCTGGTGTTTCATAAATGCTAAATACCTGGTTACAGAAAAGGATGATTCTTTCCGACAAGTTGTTTTTCTTGTTCTGTCATGTTAAATCAAGGTGAGCTCGGCCGAGCCGCTCTGCAGGTGCACTGCGCTTAAACAAAAATGCTCACCTTGAACTGGATGTTTCTTGAATTAGAGCTCTTCTGATTAAAACCAATCTGAGAAGAAATTAAACCCTCCTTGGTTTAGTTGGTATGTCAACCTTGCAATACAGAAAAAGTGAAGAAAATACCTTGAAAGGTTGTGTTGAACCATCATATACCATTATTTAAGATCTGTTTGGAAACAGAAAACCCCTTCTTCTGTTTTATCGGATTGTTACCTTCATATCTCCTTAAACCAGTGATTCATCCGTAGCTGAGCACAATTGAACTGTTCAAGTCCAATACTATCTGTCCCCTGTCTGTAACAGAGTCCCTTTTATTTCTTAAAAGTCTCTTTTGTGCAGTAGTATCTCTAAGGCTTTGTGAACACAGGGTCTGTTTGTCTCATTGTTTCCTCGTCCCTGTAATGTGAGGAGCTCAATCTCGTTTGTTCCAGGGCTACCTGTGAACAATCCCCTTATCAATTACACATAGGAGGTTGAGCAGGGCCACGTACACACACACAAGCGTGTGCGCCAAATAGGTTTAGGGTTACAAGAGTTTTTTCCATTGATCTCAAGCTAAAACTGCCCGCCCACAACTCCACCCTGACCTGGCTGCACCTGTGGAGGGCAGGGTGGAAACTGTTTGGCCTAAAGAGGAAAAGAAAAGACACTGAAACTGCTTAGATCTGCCATCCTTTGTATTTGATGGGAAATCTCCGAAGCCACAAACCAGAATTGCAATTAATTCTCTTTTTTATTCCCTTTAATAGACATGACAAATGCCATTCATCTACACTAGACTCCTGCAGCCTTCAAAGGAGGAAAACATCCATGCGATCCAATGACTTGAGATCCACACTAGAAACCTTGGCATCTTTTCATGAACACTGTATCTGCTGACCATGATTAAATCCTTTACCTGGATGACTGTCGGGCCACTTGGCAAATCCCCCAACCAACCGATCCTGAGTGGAGAGGATGAAGCTCCTGTTCTTGTCAAAGTTTGTATACTGGAACACGTCTAACAACTGGAGCAGGAGAAAGTGGAGATTAAAGAGAAAAGCTTAAATGAGTACAAATTTGAAAATGACATTTGGGAGCAAACAAAATTCCCAATGTATGACGAGAGAGGGTACAAGAGGAGAAAACATCAGGCCCAAGTGTTCACCAGACTTATTTCTACTATACACCAATATTACGTGTGTGTGTGCACATTCGCCCCTGTGGCATGGTTGTGACCCAGAAATTCACAGTTTTCCTGTATTGTGTTTGTTTACGAGTGCGACTTACTCATAGCTGTTCACAGCAAAGCTCACATTTTTCAAATCATGTGTCTATGCAAGAACCTCTGGCAGAGTAATGACCCACATGCTGGAAGGTTTGCTCACACGTTTTTCATGTTATGTGTTTGGGTGATTATCTCAGTCGATCTGACAGCGTATGTACTCTCCTCTCCAAAAAGAGTGCCTCGCTATATCTAGCTCACTGTCTCTGCACACATATTCCCTCAGATGAGAAAATGTTGCAGGTGCAAAAAAATAATATTGCAGGTGAAGGATTTCAATGCAGCTCACATGTAAATGCATGCAGGGCTGTGTCAAAGCATGTGTGTGTCTCTGTACCTCCAGTGTAGCTCCAACCCAAAAGGAGTAACATGTATCTACAGGTTTGTTGGGGCGGCCGTGGAAGCCGGTCTGCTGCCTCATGATGCACCAGCGTCGGATCCTGTCCAGCTCCCGGTGACTTAGCGCCTCCTCCAGGCGACCCATCAGACACAGGGAGGCTATGGCGCAGTATGTCCAGCCACCTGGACACACCAGAGACAGGTATGTGAATGACACTGTAACACAGTATCTCTCTTTTTACAGGTTTTTTGCACAAGAAAGACAATAAAAACAAAACCATAAGAGAAATTATGCACTTAAAAAGCCATTTTTGAGACTCAGTGATTTTAGGAGAACTTCTGCTTATGGGCTGGATAGTGTGCTCGTGGATTGATGACAGGGGTTATCAGCGTGGCAGGCACAACCAGTAGCTATCCATCACTCTCTCCAACCTGTCAGCTGCTTTCACTAACACTATGCCTTTAACTCATCCTTAAACACCATCCCCATCTCTGACTGCTTATCTCTGTTTGTGTGTGTTTATGTGAGAGGGAGAGACACAAAGACGAGGTGTGAGGAAGTGTGTCGGTCAGGCGTGTGAATCTGCCAACACTTTGCACTCGTCTCTAATCATTCGTGTCTCGCTCTCTTTGCTGGAGGCAAACGGAGATCGGCACGGATAAATATAAATCTACATCAAACACAAAAAGGTGGGGAATTAAGAATCACTTCCTCTAATAACAGGTGTCATAATAACATAATTATACAAGCGCTGAATCTAAAATAAGATTCACTGGAACCAACAATTTGCAATGCTCTTGAGGACATTTGCAGAAAAAAAAAGATGCTCTTCTTCTTCTTCAGCAAACAAGCCCACAGCCTCAATGATAGCGTGGATCATATATTGAAGCACATTTTTCTAAAGTGTAAAATTTGCACACAGAGTGGGAGGTCTTGGTGCTGAATTAACACATGCTTGAAAGAGCAATGTGCATCTCCTGTACGTCTGCACTGCTGTATGATCAGCCTTGGCTGGCATACAGAGCAGCGAGGAATCTCAATAAAGTTTGTAATCACACTCAGTTCATCCCCACAACGGAAATGTATAATTCACAGCCTTTAACTAAGTAAACACTAAATACCAGATTTAGTCTATGAAAAGGTGACTACGGATATTCTCAAAGTAGTGCGCTGTCTGTCTGTGTGTGTGTGTCAGTGTGCGAGTGTAGGAGGACTGCTTTTGTGAGACAATAATATGGTTTGATTTGAGTGGAAGTGGGATTATGTATCTACAGAGATGGATTTTATTGGCTAATCCTTTAAACCAGTTAGTCCCATTAGCCACCCTCATGCCCTCTACCATAACATCACAAGTGCATTCACACACGCTTTGATTTTTTTTGGAACCTTTTGCCTTTTAAATAGAAAATCTGCCTTTTAATTTAGAACTGGCAGGTGAGTTGAATTATAATTTCCATCTTAGACGCTACTCCCCTGATGTGCAGACGGCCTTCAAACACCCATTTATAACATCTGTAAGAAAGTAATAAAGCATTATGATATTTAAATACTTACCATGCGACTCTCGTCCAGCCCCCTGGCCGAATCCGCTATCGTACGACTGTGTGAAGAACAAGAAAAAGCATAAACTTATAAGTGTCTTTGCTAACAGGAAGAAATCTGAGTTCACAAAGAAATATGTTCAGCATTATTCAAAATAAATGTGAGGGCGCCACCACAGAGACAAAACCAAAACGTGTCCTAATGCAATCAAATGTGTATCTGACAGACTAACTTAAATGTAATGCATCATTCTTGGAATGAGTCACACATGCAATTTCATCCATGAGGCCGAAACCAGCTCTTGATCAGTCTAGAAACAGGCAAAGGGGTGGAGCTGAGGCGACTTCGAGCCTCAGAGAGACAGCTGCAACAGGCCTACCCAGTCAGTCAACTTGCCACACCCTTGATTATGCAATTTATATGCATGACGCCGACTTAACACATTATCAGGTCGGCTGCGTGACGGCTGCAGAGCGTGATGGCTCCGGCTCTGCATCAGGCAGGATGTGTGACAACTGCCACACGTGATCTCAGCAGAAATAGACGGAAAATTAGTAAATTGAAGGGCTTTGTTGGTTCTGTATCAGCTGTTTTTATATCACAAGCATAAAAAGTATGATACTTTGAAGGCACTTTCAGAATTTCAAAGTAAAAGCCTGATCTGTTCTTCCTGTGCAGAAACTTACCTTGATTTCCCTATGCTTTTATTCAATGTGTGTGTAGATCTGTGTACAAAGCCCTAAATACTGTCGATAAAACGCAAATTCTAAAAAGAGGTTAATGTAAATCAGATCATTTTCTGAGAACATTACCCCAGAGTGATTTAATTTCCTCACAATGTTTATAATCTTTATAACAGATCACACTTCTCTTGATTCCCTTTGCCTTTAAAAATCAGTCCGGATGACTTTTGTCAAGCACAGACATTTTAATAAATGGGTAGTTTGTGATCTGATGGAACGAGCTGGAACTTAAAGATGCTGCATGCGTGCTCAGAAAAATATCTCTTTTTGTACCGGGCATGTTCTCTGTTTATTTTGGCTATCATAGGACCTGAAGGCAATTTCTAATGCGGCTTGGTCCAGCCCAAGGGCAATAGAGCATGCAGACTGCAGTGGCTGGAGCTGACAACCTTATGAAGAAAAGAAACCTATTCTTGGACTGAGCTAGGGGTGTCCCGATACAACTTTTTTTACTTCCGATATGATACCAGTATTGTAGCCTTCAGTATCGGCCGATACCGATGATAATCCGATATTGGCACAAAATTGAGCATGACAAATTTTGCACTCAGCTGCAATGTCTTTTCCGGACTTTAACAAAAAATACTGTCACATGGCCGACATCACTCCTACTCCTTGCTACTTTGTTAGTACTTTAGTACACACTGTGGTTCTGATTTTGTGGGCTCACCATGCAGGATCCGAGCACTAGAGGTGCTGGAGCAGAGTCTGGAATGGACTGCTTGTATTGGAGTGCTGATATCAGAGATTTTAGATGCAGGCCGATATAATCTGATATTTGTTTTTTGGCTGATATCGGACCGATATCTGGTATCAATATTGTATCGAGACAGCCCTAGCCTGAACTGTGGTAAGAGGCCAGGCTTTAGGAAAACACATTTAGGAGTAGTTTTGCGCAATGTCATCCAACTTGAGAATAACATTGCTCTAAACTGTGATGGTCTTGAGTGGCTTTTACTTTTGTTTCAGTCAATAGCTGTATTATGGAGAAAAAAAGACGAAAAACTACTTTAACTTTAAGACCAATTCAGTAGAAAATGAATACCTAAATAAAGAAGCTTTGACAGAAATCCACCAGTTCAACAACAGATGTCAGAATCTCTTCTGCTAGTTTGTCGAGTCTGATCAGACCAAAGTAAAGTCGGTAAATCAACAGCTCATGTCTTTCAAATGTCAGTAAAACTTCAGTGTGGATGGTTAACTTGTCTACAGTTTTGGGCCTTTTGCAGAAAGAGAAGCAGAGAAATCAAAGGTGGTTTCCCAAACTATGAACCCGGTTTGCCAGACATTTTTGTACTTGAACCAACAGCATGTAGCAAGAAGATGAATAATTCACACTTCTCTGTTAACAAATAACACTGTGTTTCCCCCTCTCCTCTCTTATTTCTTAGTGTGAGAGAGGCACAACACACACATACAGACCTTACAGAGCGGTCATGTCAGGACATATTCTTGCATTCATTTACAAACTTACAACAGTCATAAATTTAAAGATGAACAGCAGAATCCCTTCGGTCTGCTTTGGAGACTGTTACTGTAAAAGACACTATGACAACAAGTTAGGACACAATACCTCACCCTGTCGCTTTGATGAGTCTTACCACATCTGGAGGAATAACAAACACTGAGGCTAAAGTAGAGGTTGGGGTAAACATCAGTCAACAATCAGATAAAAATATCACTCATGTGCCACATCATGAGCTTAAAACAGGTTGTTTGTCTTTTGGTGGGGCATGAAAACCTTGACAGTTTTAAAACCATGATACACTCATGGAGAAACCACCTACTGACGGTGGGTGGTCTGTTCTCCCCATTCAGGACTAGAGGCCCTGCACTGAACAGTACAGAGGCACAGGTTGTGCCATTAGAAGGCAGCCTACTTGGCCTGGGATGTACTGTAGGTGTCATTATATTTAATCATGGAGGAGCGCAGAAAAAAATATTCATATTTCACCACCAGTCCATGGGAAAACATTGACTTACCAAACTTCCTCTGATGTACTCAATAGCCTTCTGGATGTCCATGCCCGACCAGTCATCCAGCATGTAACAGATACTGGCTGCACAGTAGATAAACCGTATGTCATTTTCACTTCCTTCTGGCACTGCATAGAAACTGGAAATGAGAAAAAAAGTTACAAATAAGCTTAAATACAGCAATCATGTCTTAAGACTGTCCTCTAGTGTAGTGTAGCACTGCTGTAGCACCCAACGTCAGTTAATGTCAGACTAAATTAAGACAGCTAGTGCACACATAACCTCAGGTGTAATGAGTCAGGGTGAAGATGGCAGTGTAAATGAGTGAATGACTGTGTGTGCGTGTGTGCACATGTGTGTTCACTGACCTGCCATCCTCCAACTGCAGTGCTCTGAGACCGGCCAAACAGGCCTGTTTGTTCACCCTTCTCAGGTCATCGCCCAGTATTAGCAGGGAGCATAGCCCAGTATAGGTCATAGCTACATGGCCACTATCATATGGATGAAGCACACCTGGACCCTGAAGAAAACATCATCAAATTTATTGATACAACTAGGGTAGAAAGAAAGACAATCGCTGCAGTTTGGAAATTAGAGACAAACACGGGATCACATGGATAAGAACCCAAAAGAACTTTCTTCTGAATAATCACAAAGAGAGAATGCTTCACATTTTCAAACAGGGGATTCACTGTTCAAGACAAGTTAGAGACCAGTGTGAGGAAGGCCAGTACCTTGGTGCTGTAAGGAATTCCAATATGTGAAGATCCCCGAAACCCACATCGGCTTAGGTTAGACTCTGGAAAAGATTTACAAGAGAAGGGTGGGTTAAGATGCAAGTTAATACCAACATGAACAAGACAAAGGACTATTCTGCTCCTCTTTCTGCAAACTAGGTCTTGTTCCTTGCAAAGTGCTGCATAAACACTGTACTCGCCACAAGTGTGCTGCTGCCATCTGCTGGTCTAGTGAAAAAAAACATTACTCTAAACAGAATACACAAAACAACACATCTAAATGTGTCAAAAGTAAATAAAATGTTTCAGGGTATTAAATGTTTTATCAAATGTCACACATGATAAAACCACTGGTTATTACCCTCACTTAACCTATATTTTTCCAATGGGTATAATCATATAATTTTTATATGACTCATGCATTATCAACATACTGCTATCAAAAGTATCTGCAAACAACAATTTCTTGATTTTAAGTGACATCACGACATCAGAGACGAAATTGTAACCAGATGCAGGAGCCACTTTCTGCAGAAATTAACGTGATAAAAACAGATGCATGCATTTAACCCACCTGTGTTCAATTGGACAGAAAAAACACGCCCATCAACAACTGTTAAAAGTCTCACAGGGCCCCGACTAAAAATGTATTTCCATGCTGATGATACATTACAAAGTGCCTCAAAAGTTGTATTTTCACATTTTCTGACAGGAAACGAGCCAGACACCCAACATATGGCAGCTGCATAAATGAGACCAATCAAGCACGGCTATCCTGACATGATTTCTGTTGATGTTTTGAATAATTAACTGACTGGGCATCCAAACAGATGGCACAGGTGGCTTGTTAGAGACAGAAAAAAACATGTCATTAAGTATTTAGAGTCAAACTTTTTAGTACGGAGAGAAGCAGAACCTGGAAAAGCTTTGGTGAGAGGGACACCTGGAGGTAAGTGTCTGTCTTATCTTGTGGGTGCTTAAAGAAAATCTATTATCAGTGAAAACATAAACTTCCCTATTGCCTAATCAGGTGACCCCCTATGTATTTGTGGTCTACTAACATTGGTTTTTCAGCAGATGATGTTGATGCTGATACTGAGAGAGCAGGGTGGATAAGACCAGTTTACATTGCTTATATTTTATTGTTGTTGTTGTTGTTTTGGATTTGATGAATACACAAATTTAATAATTCAAACAAATGACAAACAAAATTGGTGAAATTGAATTAACATTTGTTTCAATTAATGTAGACTGAAAACTATCTGGCTTAAATAAATATTGCCACAAGGGACCTCTGGATTTCTGTTTAGTTATCTGTAATTATTAAAGCTAAACAATACATCATAGATAAAATCTCACATCCTTAACATCCACTTTGTGAGTGGAATATTATGTGGATTTACTCTAAAGGTGGGGAACCAAACTGGTCAGTGCAGGTGTTTCAGTTTAAATACACTGCATGTTTCTGTGATTGTCTAGTCTCTCAATACAGACACTTCTTGACATTGTAATTAAAAAATACACCTTAAAAGGGATATTCCGGCATAAAATTAATTTAGGGTCAAATACACTGCAAAACTGAGTTAGACACCCCCTCAAGAGATGAATGTTGCCGACTGCTTGCCTCTCTAGTTATACCAACTTTAGTAATGTCTGCACGATCCCAGCCATAGCACTAGCCTCCAAACATCTTTTTAACTAATTTATTTAGCAAAGACACTAAACACAACTCACCTACTCTCTTCCAGTAGCTGCTGGTTTGTAGCGAGACCTCAGGCCAATCCATTAACTGCAGTGGGGTGACGCAGCTCAAGGAAGAACATTTATGATAATTTCTTCATGGAAATACAATCAAATCGAGACGCTAAGGCAGAAGAACTACCGAAAGCAGAAGAACTAAACGAAAATGATACAGAAATAATCATAAATGTTCTTCCTTGAGCTGCATCACCCCACTGTAGTCCATAATGGACTTGCCCGAGGTCTTGCTACAAACAAGTGACTGCTGGAAGAGAGTAGGAGAGTTGTGTTTAGTCTCTTTGCTAAAGAAATTAGGCAAAGATAAAAAGATGTTTGGTGGCTAGGACCCTATATGTACTGTTGATGAAGTTAGGGCTATAGAGTGGCGTTTTGGTTGAGGTTTGTTTATGGCTCCTAAGACCGCTGTGTATTGCTATCATGCAGTCGTAACTAAAGCTGGTATAACTAGAGAAGCAAGCGATTGGCAACATTCATCTCTCAAGGGGGTGTGTAACTCGGTTTTGCGGTGGATTTGACCCTGAATTAATTTTACGCCGGAATATTCCTTTAAAGGCATGTTCCACCTGCCACTTATATATTTGAGATAAAAAATGCTAGTCATCAGGATAACTATTAAAAAAAGGAACACCGTTCAGTGTGTCATCAAATCACGTCTACTGTAAAAGGGAAAAGATTTTTGTTTTCGATGCATTGGATATTTTTTTTAACACACTTTAAAATGAGTGTCATACGTGTCTAAACTTAGTAGTGGTTTATCCTAATGCAATTTTGAACTGCAGTGAAAAGGGTAAGTAATGAGACTTACGATCTTCTGTGGGCAAAACCTGTAATGAGTAGATCCACTCTCTCATGGCAGCTCTATCAATCACATCCAAAGCGTCCAGCACATCCAGACCAGACAGGGCAAAGAACAGAATAGTTAATCTGGAAGAAAAAAGGCAGAAACCAATGATGTTATTCAGCACTCATTATCTATAAAGGTTCAAATATGAATGGGTTCATAATGGAACTTAGCTCAAAGACAAAATACTTCTAAAAAGAGAGACACTTCCCGTGACTCCTACCAACTGTAGATACTATAGTATTGACTCTCGACTGTGAACTAGTGACTCTATCAGGGCGTCAACCCCTAACCAGCTGTTAGTTCCCCTCATAGACTGTAAATAAAATAGTATATACAGTATCTATATCTATAGTTCCCCTACACTGTCACAACTTCACGAGCCCAGCAGTCTCGTCCGCGTGCACACCAAGCTAAGCCTCCATTCTTAACGGTCTGGGTCCCACAGCTAGCTCCGATGCTAGTCAACTTCTTCAATAAAAAACACCAGCCAGAGCAACTCTGTAGACTTACCTGGTGGTTTCCAGCGAGGCGTATCTCTCAGGCAACACCTGTAGTGTTCTCTGGAAGAACCGTACATGTCGGTCTCTTAAAAAGTCTATTTGCTCAAATTCTTCAAACTGGCTGTCCTCTTCCGCCATCTTTACATCCGCACCTATGAGGAATCTTTTCCGGTGCGTATGATTTTCAAAATAAAAGCACTGACGCCCGAACGCACTAGGGGGGCGAGTGGGTATCTTAGCATATATCTGACATGCTACATATAATTCCCATATATATTATACGTGGGAATATATATAATTATAAAAACAATATATATAACATATATATTATTCCCATATAACGAATTGCCATATATCACATCATATCCTAGAACAGCCCCACTACTTCCTGAACTTAAGGCTGCTCCTTTATTTCCTGTTTTACATTATTGGACAAACTGATTAATCCAGGTGTGACTGATCACTGTGACTAGTCAGACACACCTGGGTTGTGTGTCTGAAATGGATCCCCAACCCCTATATAGATGGCTACTTGGGGGTGTCCGAAACCCCAGTGATCAATTCTAGTGCCCTATATAGGCAATTCAAAATTTCCCATAAAGCATTGCAAAATGTAGTGACCATCCGATGGTCACTCACCGGTGGTGGGCATCCCGTCATGCATTGCGTCATGCCATGTAGTGTCCGAAACCTCCAGTGATTGAGTTCACTACATAGTCAACTATATAGTAAAACCTCATATGGGGGTTAGAGGTTAATTGGTGATTATAGTAATACAGCTAATTGGAATAACTTCATGTATTAATCACCTTTCAAAACTCCAGGTACAAGTTGTTTTGCAAGCAGACATTAAATACAAAAGGTTTAAAACAAGCAGATAAAAAACAGATATGAAGTTTCAGGGAAGTCTAATCAACCACAGCATCCAATCAGTGAGCGATACTTCTACAGGGCAATGACTGTCAGTTGAAAGTTTTCATTAAGGCTGCTCTCATGAACCCTTGCTTATCACTCATCTGATCTTCCTACCCTCTCCTTGATTATGTCACCTTTGGGCAGCATAAATATCTTGGAGTAGCATCAAGAGCTCAGGGCGCTCTTTGATGTGACATTCCTAGAACCACCTCTGGTTCAACCAAGGACGTGAGATGCGATTTAGCAAAAATTTGCCTTGGAGAAACTAATCTCTGCGGCTATGACGTACACGCATGAACCACACCTTGATGTGACAAAGTGTGCAAGGACGTGTTTAATGCTGCTTGCAGTTTTAATGTGTTCCACAGAGGACCATAAAAAACACCAAGGGGGATAAAAACTTGTGAAATTCATACAAAACTTTATTGGCAAGTTCTCATTTACAAAAAGCTCAAGTAGGTTACAATCATTTCATATGTTACAATGAAGATTAAAGTAATATTTAAATCAGTACACACACAATATGCACACATATAAAAAGGCACCTTCCTCTCATCTGATTTATTCATCTTTAAATTTTTACACTGAAAACATTTTAGAACCGTTGAGCTCACGTCCTTCAGTGCATTTCACAAGCCTTGTCTCCAAGTTGGTATAGCTCTGCAACAACAAATCAAAAAATGTATGTTATTAAGCAAAAATAAGGCGTTTAAGAAACTCAACTGTGAAAAAGTAAAAAGTAATCAAACCTATGAAACATCTGAAGCACAGGCCCTCCTCCTGAAGGTCCAACATGTTTCATTCGCTCCTCCCAGCCCTTTGTAGGTCTAATAAGCCTGGAGGTGTCTCTGCTGATGTGACCATCCACCTGAATGGGGGACAAAGAAACACCAACCTCAGTATCTGAAACTTTAAAATTTGACGAATTTTGTGGTTAAATCTTCCTCCTTACTTTGTCCTTTAACTTAGCAGTAATCCTCCTCTGTCTTTCCTCCTCCTCCTTTTCTCTTAGTTTTTTCTCCTGAAGCTTTGCCTCTACCTTGTGAAGATCCTGCAGGAAGACAGACCCAAACATTGTGCTTTACCAAGAATGGGGATTTCTTCCTTTATATTTATCTAATAAAAGTAACATTTTCTGATAATTTTACATTTGAAAACATGGTAAAACTTAAAAGCTCTTCACATTTACAATCTAGCCCCTGAAACACCAGACATGGTCAAAACAGACTAACTGGTCTTGTGTTTATGTGATCCATGGACTCTGTACCCTTTCATTAAAGTATTTGATGCCCTTTGCTGCTTCCTTCCTCCTCTCATCCATCTCCCTCTGCTCCTCCTCTTTCCTTCTCCTCTCCTCTTCCTTCTTCTCCTCCCTCCTCAGCAGTAGCTGCTTTTCAATGGCCATCTTCACCTCCAGCTGGCGACGACGCTCTTCCTAAAGACAGAGAGTCAAGTCAACTTTCGGGGTATGCATCTGTTCACTAGACTCCCTAAAACCCAATGCTTTCAACACACACAATGGCAACATCACCTTTGCTTGTCTACTCTTTTGGATCTCCTCAGCTAGTCTTTGCTCTTCTTCCTGCCTCTGCTTTCTTTTCCTCTTTTCTCTCCACTCCTCAAGCTGCTGTGCTGTCTCTCTCCTCTCCTCCTCGGTCCTAAAACAAACAAGGAAACAACACAGCAGTGAAGAAATGATAACACAGTGATATGCAAAGAAAGCAATCAAATTCTCTATTTTAAGGTGACCAATAAAACACTTTGCATGCTCATCAGACCTGGTGGGAAAGTATGACCCATATATTATACATTTGGCCGCTTCAGTCATGAAATCTATGTCTGCCCCACTTTCTCTCTCTTTAATTTATTCTGTTTTACTTCTGACTCACTTGTGTAGGTGGGCCTGGCTCTTGGCCTCCTTCTCCCTCCTCTCTGCTTCCCCCGCTTCTTCCTGACTCTGGATCCTCGTCTGCCGTTCTTGTTGCTTGATGGCTTTCCATGTTTGAATAGCCTGGATAATGTTCAAAAATGTGAAAATAGAAACCATCAAATATTTTCAAGACGGTACAACAGCTTCCAAAATGTACTTTGTGAGCTCTTGGCTATATCATGCTTAAACTGAATGAAGAGGCTGGCTAATACTATACATGCAAATAGATTAGGTATGTACACCTCACAATTTTTACATCAAAGGTGGATTTTATACATTAAAATATATTATGGAGTAAGAAAGACTATAAAATTAATTCAGTTTTTGTGCATCACTGTTTAACTACTAAAGTATAAAAGAAATTTTTTCATCCATTCACAATGATTGAGGCATTTACTGAGCATGTGACAGGCAAAATACAACAGTGTACATCCAAAAGCGGTCATGACAATGTAAAACTTCATGGTAAGTTATGGTTATTAGTCATTCAACTACAGTATCTGAACAAAGGTTTGTTTAATTCAAAGGACTGTATCAATCAACATAAATGAACAGGGATGTACAGAAATCAATAGATAGTTAGGAAAGGATGGGCAAAAAGTTAAATAATTTATTATGGAATTTGTCTTTCTAAAATAAATCTCCATCCTGTCAGTCTTGTGCTGTGAAAAATTTGAAGACATTATAATGTTGGCAAGGGGCAACCTCTGCTGTTAAAAATTGGAGCTATGCAGATGTAGAAAAAAGCAGTCCCTCCAGTGTCTACTTAACACTCGATCCAGAGGCCAAGGGAACCGCATTAAGTTCCATATTTTAATGTTAATTCTTAGACCCCTGATTTAGCTAAGCAGTTAAATTGTGCCCCATGCAAGCAGGATATAATCCTTGCAGTGCATAGCCTGTGTTTAATCTCAACCCACAGTGCTTTACTGCATTATTCCCCACTCTCTCTCACTCCTAGTTTTCTACTCTGTTCACTGTCCTGTCTCTAAAATAAAAATGAAGTCATTTTTTCCCATATGATGGCTACCATCCCTCAGCGTCATCTTTGCACCTCTTCAGAAAATGTCACCACCCAGATTATGTCTTTTGTTAACAATCTTTGAGTATGATTTACTGATAGAAAACATAAAATGGCGTATTATACTCTTTTTGTTGGCTTCTCTTATCCGACCTCTTACAATAGCCAAGCTGCAATCAATTCATTCTTAAGCACACTGTCAGCAGACCTTGCAGTCTGTCAGTGGGAGTTTGGATGTTCATGTTCATCTTCATGTCAGTTCTAGCCCACAGCAGGAAGATATCTGTCCTGTTTTCTATTTTTCTTTCCACACGTGGTTTGTTTTCCCATCAAGCTGAAACATTTTCTGTCCAAGTTCTCTACCTCTCTCTTCCTGTCTTGCAGGGAGATAAGCTCCTGATACCATTCCTCATGTTGCTCAATCTCCTCCACAGTTTTACCAGGCAGGTACAGTTTGGCCTCTTTCCTATAGGCTGGCTGCCCACTGTGCTTCATCCTGACCTGTGAGCAAAACAGATCACAGGAAGTCTGGCAGGAAAACTTGCAGCAAACAATGTCTCACTCAACAAGTGCTGACGCTGCCTGAAGCAAGACTTTAAGAGCAGCACTGGGTGACAGTCAGTGTATAATTATTTACAAGTAGAGGGTGGTAAAAGTTACAAGGGTGAGAATTACAGCACTGGTTATCCAAACATCAAGGTAGAAATGTCCTACTTTGAGGAAGACTTGGTGGTCAAACTGGTCCCATCCTCCGTTGGAACCTCCTGTTTTCTGAAGGAAAATCTCAAAGGCTCTGACTTCAACAGGGAGGTCTGTGTCCAGGGATTTAGTCTGGTGGAAAAGACAAGTCAAAGAGTGCTGTTTGTAAAAGATTTGTAGCTAGAAAAAAAAAAAATGGTTAGTCCTCTGTTGATCCCTCACACAGAAAGTTTCTCACAGAGGATTTCAGAACAAACCTTGGATGTGTAAAATTGTATTTATAAACTTGAAATTGAGGAGTCTATAATCAGACAAAACATTTTTTTCTTGTGCAAATCATCCACAATCAGAGGAAATCCAGAGGTTAAAACCTTTAAAGTGAGAGCTGACTGTTGTTTGGGTCTCTCTGGTAGGACAGTTTGGCTCCAGTTTTCAATCTTCTTTTCGTAAGCAGTGATTTCCTGTCTGCATGTCCGCTCATCCTTTAAAAGCTCCTCAAAGCTGACAGAGACAAGTGAACACGAAGATCAAATATTTACCATATTCTTATGACAGAACTTACATTCTCAGCATAGTTACCACACGAATAAAAAGATATTGTTTTTCTAACTGTACCTTGGTTTCACACACATTATTTACATAATGACAACTTTATTACATTATATATGAGTTTCTGATACTTTTCATGCTTTTATCAAAATCTACACCATAGATTTGCTGTGACATTTGTAGAAGTGCAGTTTTTTATTATGTGGTCTAAAACTGTTTATTGCATCCACCCACCTTGAGCGCTGTTCCTCTTTCAGTGTGTTTATTGAAATTTCCACCTCTGACATTATTTCCTTCAGTTGCTCAATCACTGAAAAAAAGCAAAATGGAAAAATCTAGACTGCAATTCACTCAGACACAACCAATTTTCATCTTACTGTTATGAAAACACATTCACAGTACTCCTTGTTCAGAATGACATAAACATTCAAGTTTGTACTATAAGCTGAATGGAATTGTACTATTAAGTTTCAGTTATTATAAAGAAACATTGTGGGAGAAAGAACTTACACTCAGAAGTTGGCTTTACATCTGTCAGATGTCTCTGAAATTTCCTCACACCATTATGGATCTTCAACAGCTGCTTTTGAAAATTCATCTCTAAAAACAAGCATGAAAATCAGGATAAGCACTTTTTTTCTATCATGTGGGTTAAGTATTCAGAGAGGACATGTCTGTTTGAAATAGTCTGCTCTCACGGCAAAGCTGTAGGGAGTGAATTAGAGAGGGTACTGAACCCGAAAGAAAGACTCACTATCAGCATTTCTTTCTCCATCCAGCACTTTCTCGTATTCCTCCAGCTGTCCGTACACATCTGTCCAGCCATTTTTTCTACACTGAATGATCAATGTCCTCTCTTTCTCCAATTTCTCCACCCTGGAGAGGAAAAGAAGCAGAGTTTGATTTATCCCTAAAATAATTTTGTCACTTGTTACATTACATTACAACACATGTATTGTATATTTCACTTGAAATAATATATCATGTTTTTCTGCTCTTGTTTATAAATCATGACTAGTCTGCATCTAATTGAAAGTCAAGTGTTTGAACATGTTCAAATAACAGGATATATGGCATGACAATGAGTGGCTTTGCATACAGTCGACGGTTCTTCTCGGCTTCCCTGAGGAACTTTAGAGCCTCCTGTGTGGCCATCCTGTGGTCCACATTGTCAGAGCTGGGAGGGTCTGGTGAGCATGGCTGATGGACTGTGAAGTCTCCATCCCCATGCTGAATTCAAAGAGTGTAAACAAATAAAACAACAAGACCATTAAAAATAGGGTAAGTTGAGCCACCCCCTGTTGCTTGGAAATGGTAAAAGAAATTGATCATGTGACCAAATATTTAGGAGATGGGCATCAGTTCATTAAGTCTGCCAAGGTTAGAGGCACATAGGTGAAGGGTTTAGACATTTATTTCCAAAAAAAACATTTTTCACTCTTGAAAGTGAATTTAGTCTGTCATAAGTTTGATTAAAATTGTGTTCAGACCAAAAAAGATCATTTTAAATTTGATTTATACATCAATTGAGGTATCTATCAGCTACAACATGAGGTCAAAAACATCAAAGTCCACCATTTTATCTTAGAGGACTAAAAAAGTCAACATTATAGTTCTGGGGTAACTTAAGTCAGTGAGTTTCAGTTCAGATTGTTGAAATGTGTTACTTTTTCTTTTCAGAAATACAGCTGTGAATGTTCTGAATCACTTTAAGACATTCTCATGTTGAAATGACTTTTTACAAAACAGCTTTTCAGCAGTTGTATGCAATAATGATGAAAAGAATTATTGTACCAGTTGAATAGTGTATAATAGTGATAAAAATACACACGAATGTGAAGAAGTGACTGTTATTTAGGGAGAGAGAAGGTGAGAGAGGGCTGGGGTGGAGAGTGGGGGAGTAGTAGGGATACGGCTCATTTATTTACATGGTCAACTTACCCCATACACAGGGTAAGTTGACCATAGGAGACCCCTTTTTTGGCATGCTATATTATCGAGACAGTTATGTTTACCCTCATTCTGTTGGTTTGCAGGGATGCATAACATTCAGAAATATATGCAGATACTAGTTAGAGAGAAAACTATGATTGCCTTGATGTAGTGATCTGAAATATGAAAAATGGCTCATCCTACCCCACTCTCCCCTATATGAAACAACAAAAGATAAAGCAACATCCTGAAATGCCACATCTGATCAGAAACAGGAGCATTAATAGTGATGCATGCCATCTGTTCAAGGAAAGCTACTTAAAATGGTTCAAATTCGCTCACAGTATAGCACGAAAACACCAAAATATCATTAAAATAATCAATAATAGACGTAACCTCAGTAACAAACGCAACTTCAGTAACTAGGATAAGACGGCTAGCGTTGGTTAGCACTAATGAAACTACGCTAAAACTTGCTCGTCAAACGTGAAACAATTTTAAGCTTTCCCTGTAAAGTTGTACATTTAAGTCTACTTTAAATTTTCGACAGACTTATTCATTTTCTCACATAGCAAACACAGAAAAAACAGCTTTGGGATAGCTACCGAGCAACGTTTAACGGTGCATCCTGCGGTTGCTAAGGAAGCCATTTTTGAGTGAATCTGTAAACACAGGGAACTTTATTGAAACACCTGTTTGTGGGGTATGTTTGCCGGCAGAGGTCGCTGCCTTTCACTAATAGCTTCAGGGGACAACAGACTGTGGGAAAACTGAAGTACAAAACCTTCATACTGTACGGCCTAGCTGTGTTTGGTAAGCAGTCAGAACCGAAAACTGATAGGCCTGATGTGAAACAATCATAGAGAAGGCTAACTCTGTTTTCATCATGAGCCTTTCTTTTCCCTTTTACCACTAGGATTATAAACTTGTTGCCATGGTGCTGATTTTGGTCTGAAAATAGGCTATAGAACTTCAACTTGAAGGTAGCCTCATTGTTAAGAATAGTCTTTTAATTGCTGGGATACATCAGAGTATCTTGTGTTTAAACAGCTAAAAAAAAAAAAGAAGACATTTGACTGAATGCCTGTGATCCTGAATGAAACTGCAATAAAGTCAGGTAATAAAGGATTTTGCTATAATGTGTGATTTTAGGCTTTCTTTTTTCATTACTTTGCTACTGAAAAGCACACATAGTTCCCTAGGTTCAGAACAATCTGAGTCTGTCCTGCTACAACTAGATGCTGAGAGTAACCTACACATCTCAGGCCTTGGTTATTTCTGTCACTGCCTTTGTATGACAGCCAACAGCTATAATTATTATGAGAGCTGTCCAAGTGACAGCCATCGGAGTGGAGGGGAGAGAAAGAGATAGTGAGAGTGAGAGGGCGTATAAATAGAAACTTGAATCCATTATTGAGTGCAGATATTGGGGATGGTCTCTCCCATGAGTGCAGAGGCTGAGTTGTCATCGCAACTTTAATACCAGCCGCTCTGCTTAATGAAGACCGTTACAATATCATGTCTTCATTGTGAGCCGAGGGACTTAATTAATTTGATAAATGAGACAATCAGACGAATGTTGTATTTGCTGTTGGCATAACAAATGAAACAAAACATGCTGTAATGAAGTAGGTGGTTTCCAAGCTATCCTTGTAAATGTCATGCAGATAGCAGATTAGGGTCAGCGCTAAGGTATATGACTTGAGTATCAACTGTATCCAAAGTCCTTTTCCAGTTACGATTGAGTTGGCTTGTTGTGATCATGTGATTTTAGCGTGCCACAGTTTATACTCAAAACTCAACTTTCCTTTTTAGCAGAACTTTGGTCCCTCCTCATAGATTCTTATCTTGCTTTTACTCTTTGAATGAGATGTTTCTCTTGTTTTTGTTTTAACCAATAAAATGTTTTTATATTCCTTTACTGTGAAATTTCTTTGCTTTTAAGATGTAGCCTGTTGAGGTCGCTTGATGTAAAAGGCACTACAAATAAAATGTATTGTTATTATTTATTATTACATGTAAAAATCTTGCATTTGGATTTTTACTCAAATAAAAGCACATGCAGTAAGTTACCGGTCAAATAAAACGAAAGCATCACAAATAAAAGTAATAATATGAAGCATGACATCTCAAAATAACACAGCTAATATCATTGGATCTCAATTTTATATTCACACCAGTTAGTTCTACCTTCACTGCTGGATAACTTATTGGATTATTTAAAGTAAATAAGTAATGAAAGTTGTCAAAGAGTAGTAGTTGTAGAAGTAATAATAGCCATACTCTTCTGTCTGAAAACGGCGCTTAAGTTAAGTACTTTAGTAAATGTACTTTGTCACTTTCCAGGGCTGCACATGCTTAAAATGCTTGTCTTGTGATGACAACTGAGCAAACATCATTGCCAGAGGAAGGTCTGAAGATAAAGCCTAAAGTTCAGGAGGAGTGGTCCTTTAGTTTACCTTTTCTTTTTGGTCTGCAGGTCGTAAGTGGAAGCTCTTACAACGTTACAAAAACTGAGAATGACAAAATGTTTCCTTGACCCGATGCTGTTACAGGCGAGAGGGAAAGTGAAGAAGTATGAAACGCATGACCTTTGACCTCTTCCTGGGAGCTAATAGTCTGTTTGCAAATGTTATGAGACCTGATCCCTGTAAACTGAGAGGTCAGTTTAGCATTCGCGGACGGAGGAACTCTGAGCTTCCCTCCTGACGGTTCTCTTTGAATTAGCCAGCTTTATTTATGACATGTGCCACTCTGTTTATGTGAGTGTGTGTGCGTGTATGTGTGTGCGTGTGTGTGTGTATCTACATGTATGTTTCTTTGAGATTTTTTCTGGCCCCTAGGGTGGGAGAGTCTGCTCTTACACCACCTGATTGTGTGCTTTAAGGCGCAAACTTTTGTCCACTTGGAGTTCAACTTGTTGCTGGACAGGACTTTTTCCAGTTGACATACTTGCTTTTGTAACCATGTTTACAAATATAGAGAAACTAGATGAATGTTAGAAATGTAGACCTGCACCAACCAAAGAAGACAACTAAACACACACACACACACACGCACAACTTGTTCTAACACCTGACCAGTGATGTAATGGTAGATGGTGTTAAAAAGCAACCTGATCCGTCTACATCCTGCTCACGATGGGAATGTTAGACTGAGACAGACAACTGCTCATCCACTTGCGTGTGTGTGCATAGAGTAAATTACTTAAGCAATGTGTGGTAAGGGGCTTGAGAGGTCAGGGGGTAAGTGATCACTTTAATAACTTCTCCTGCTGTGTTTTATATCTATCTCTCACTCTCTCTCTGTGACTTCAGTACATTAATCATCCAATTTATCATTTTTATATGTCCTCTTATGTAATGAAATATCTGTTTATATTTACTTCAGGCTGACACACAGGAGGGTGTTACTCCATCAGAGCCTTAAAAGTTGCAAAAAATGAACATCTGGATTAAAAAAATCTGTCACCATGCTAGTTGGCACGTGGATCCGCATTTCATGTGGGGCAAAATCGGATTGGTGAACACAGGTCAAGAAAAAAAAAAAGATTGGACAGAGTTCCCATGATTATCTGGCAAAGAGACCTTAATGGTCCCCAGACTAGACCCATATTTACCTCTGACCCTTTGACTTTTTATCTGACACCACCAGCAGGTCAAAATAGTATCAACGCAGGCATTTATAGCTGCTACTTGTGTGTTAATTTGAACATACTTACCGCCTGTATATAATGTATACACAGAAATATCCTTCAAAAGGTTACCAGACAGATAAGGTCTTTTGATCTTTTGCAGCATATGATTCTCTTGAAGAGTTAAGATCATTTCTGATTTCACACATGACTGGGTTTTATTTGAGAAAAAGCCTGAAAGCTTTACATTTCTGGACTTTTGCACACTATTTATAGCAGCTTTAAAATACATGTATAATTTAAATAGTCTCAAGCTTCATTTTTTATTCCCTTGTTGAGAAAACTTAATACAAATCCATATCTTATCATTCACCAAAAAGCCCACTGTATGTGTGCTTTTGGGGTTTTAAACCTACATACTGTAAGTGGAAGCTTGAGAGTGCTAATAGAAACGTGGGAAAACTGAGAGCCTGTGATTCAGTCACGTGACTTTTTTTTTATTAGAGGGACTTTTCTCGGCTTATCTTTGAAAACCTTGTACACTGCTACCACTTGGTGTCTCAGTATCTCTCTTTTGAATGCTGCAGGTCTATCATGAGCCGATAAAGTAGCGATCTTTTCCAGAGAGCCTCTCCTGTAGCCACTGTGGTATAAGTCCTCACTTCACCCACACACTCCAAATGGTGATGTACAGAGCCGTCCTCATGTGGCCTGCTCAGAGTTTAATGTTTTGCTTCACTGCTTTGAATAAGCTGCTGAAATGAAAACTCTTATATAACACTTAAAGATAAGATATTTTTTTTCTTTTTTTTCACCTTTTCTACATTCTAGACTTAACATTTTTTAGACTTTTAGACTCTGGCCTCAATATTAAAGAAAACTGTGTACCAAAAGGTCTATTGACAAGCTGTTCTTGAAGGGGGAGATTCACTCGTTTTGCCTCTTTCTATACGATTTTGTCTGTATAATGAATAATTCAGTTAAGATTTGTTGCAGAATTTTACAAGATCAAAAGCGAACATGTCGGGTTTCTGCCCTGTTTTTGAAGATAGGACAACTTGACTTACTAATCCAGGTTAACTTGATGATTTGAGTCTAGCCTCAGATAAAAAAAATATGATATCCCTCTTTATGTAACTTGCATTTGCATTTAATAAAACCAAAACAGGGATGATGTTGCTGGAAGTGGGTCACCCTTCCAGTTAGAGACGTGGGCGATCTCTGACTAAGCTTTCCTTTGAGAGTTGTCTTCTGTCAGGGGGGGACACGGGATGTAAAATTTAGACGTTGAAGGAACAGTTTCAGATTGAACTGCCTTGAACTGCTGAGAAGTCTGTGAAACACACTTATAAAATGATGATTATTTGAGTAATAGATAAGAAAATGATCTGCACAAATCTCATGCCTGTATTTGGATTTTGAAGACAGAAGATGGTTAGTTTAGTGTGAGGATTTGAAGTAATGAACGATAATGAAAAATAACAAAACAACAAACACATTTCTCTTACACATGTCCAGAGACTAACTTGGCAATTACTTATACGGTGGCTTATTTAAAGTAGTGTCAGGGAATATTTAGAGGGAATAAACACATATAGATGGCGAGCCAGCTGACATACTGTGACTCTTTTCCGACTTGAAAAGAAAAATGGTGGTCCCTGAAAGTAAATGTGCCCAATATGGCAAAAGAAATCCCCCCTACCCCCTGAAGAAAAAACACCCTTTCTTTCTTAGCAGACAAACACATGAGGAATCAAACTGTACCAAAACAACCTGAATGAATTCAAAAGTGAATTTATGTCATGTGGAAGTGTTTGTCAACCTAAAATATCGCAGTCCTTAAAAACCTCTACTCAGAATAGTTAATCATATTACTGCAATACATAACGGCATGTGCTAAATAATAAGGAGCAGCTGTTTCCTGGTCCTGTCTGAAGGGTTTAGGCAAAATGATTAAGCATTAGCCAGACTGCAATTCACATAGAGCTCTGTCATTTACCATATAGCTCACTTCATGCACTTCTGCTCATGTAAGAGAAAGACGCAGAGGTAGAGTGGAGTGCTAAGGTTTCAGACATGACTTGTGGGGGGCTCTAAGAGGAGCCGAATGCGTGCATGCCACTCAAGGACTCAGGGTTCACAGGGTGTGCGCCTTAGGGGTTTAGAGTATATGCGTGTGTGTTTATATGTGGGTGTATGAGTGGTTAAATGAGCAGACCAGCTCCTCTAAAGTCCAAGGCTTCTGGTGTCACCCTGCCTCTGGTGTTTTATTAGGGGGTACACCGCAGCAGGAGGAGCAAGAGGCTCTTTCACAGAGGAGAAAAAGTCTGACTCTACACAGCGGGAAGGAAGCGAAAAAGAGTTTTATTGATTTATTTTTTAATACAGTGTTGAACTCTGCCAGGAGTTTGGTAATGGTTCTGCAGTGTTTTGTGGGAGCCTTTGCAGGTTTTTTCATGCCTGAAGGACTCTCACAGAGCTTAGATGGAGAAACTGGGAGATCTACATACCTGTCTGTACCTCTCTTTTTGCCACACCTATACGTCCCTCTGTCTGTGTCGGAGGAACAACATTAAACCAAACTTTCAAGCAGACACACGTATACTTCAAATATCTATTGAAGTCACTTTGTTGTTAAGATAGCTCTGCACACATTTCACACAGCACCTGATGCTGTTTGACAAAAACAAAAAGCTCATCCAAAGAAATTTACATAGTCTTTCTTCTACTAATTTTTCTTACTTTTTTTATTACCTCACACCTCTTTTCTTTTCCAGGAGTGCCTAACCAGCAAACAGCTACAACAGAAACTGGATGTGTGAGCAGCAGAGACAAGAGGCAGGCTGCAGATTTCCTGAAAACTTTGTAGTTTTAACTTTTCTTCACAAGAGGAAGTTTATTTAACAAATTTGGCTTATGTATCAGTAAGTTCTCAGACCTTTGAGCAGTTTTTTTGAATGTGAAAAGTTAGTTGTGTCCTTCTGTGCTCACGTGTGAGTGCAGATACGGACAGTCGGAGTGTCACAGAAGGCTAAAGGGCAGACACGGAGAGATGGTTGAGCTTGGATTTAGGTATCAGCTGTATCAGTGTGATCAGGAGTAATTGACACCAGCACGTTGGAGCATCTAGTTTATCCTCTGGACACTGGATCTGTCCCCACCCGCCCCCGTCAACTCAGCACCACAGCAAACACTGTCGGCGCTCTTTGTGTAAATTATCGACTGCTGATAGACGCCAGGACATAGAGGCACTCTCTCCCCTCTAACTCTCTCTCTCTCTTTCTGTGTGTGTGTGTGCATTTTCACACGTGCAAGTCATTGTGTGTGCAGTGGGGGCATTACATAATGGCCAAACTGGACAGAAGTAGAAGAGGAGAAAACTGTCTCTTTTTTTAAATTTCACACACTATACTTTGAATTTAACAAATGTATTTATATATCTGTTGTAAAGCTGCCCTTCTGGCCTTGACAGTTTTTCTATTTGCAGCCCCATAATCTTTTCAGCCTGTATATGACTGCGGAGCCATGGTGAAATACTGTAGGAGGAACAGTACACGATGATTAGATAGAAAAAGGAGGTTACCTTGTGGATTCTCAAAAGAGTGTAGGCGGGCCTGATGAGTCAGTGTTGCATTGTGGCAGGTGGTTTGGCATTGGCAACGAAATGTGGGCACAGCCAAACATTTGGACTGATCAGAGGGATTGTTGTTGTAACAAGGTGCATCCTAAATAAGAAAAATGGAGGCGTTGTTATCTCCTTCACAAGTCAAATGGATCCCTCCTGTCCCGAAAGAAGAAGAAGAAGAAAACTCCTCATTCAAAGGTACGAACTTGAGGAGGATTTTAGTGTCAGCTGAATGTGCTTTTCTATTGTTGAAAGATAAATATCTGAACAAAGCTTGACGCAGATAAGTCATCGTGACAAGGAAACTAGGCCAGATTTTGATGTAACCTTGTGTCCGGTGAGTCATGCTACCTGCCTCTTATCCTGACAGTCACAGCAGTAATAAAGCTTATTCTTATGTTACTTCACATAGAGAGTTTCCTTATTTCAGTGGTACTTTTCATAATGGCACGTACAGGGAACAATTTCAAGTGTTTCCAGCTGACATTTTCAAAAGGTTTGAGTAACTTTTGTTGGCTAAAAAGATCTTTTTAATTAGATTGTGATGAAGATGCTGTTGAAAAACCATCCAAATATTCCTGGGCAGTGGAGATTGTTTAACAAGGTGGAGGCCAGACGTCACAGCCCAGGGAGGATAAATGAGCAGGTTAAATATAATATGTGTTGCCCTCTCTGTAAACTGCTCTTGCTTTTTGCCTTACCTGCTGTGTAGCAACTTCTTCCCATCAACAAAAAGGCCGCTGGGGTTTAGGTGCGCTTGCATCAGTCCAGTTTGAGTGTTAAAAAAGTGTTTTATTGTTCCAAAAAGAAGAAAAGAAAACACACTGATCCAGGTCCAAAACTTTTGCCTTCGAATGAAAAAGTGATACGATGAAATGAGGTTAAAACAGGATGAGTGAAACGATCAACAGAAAATTATTAGAGCTTTCCACAACCCATTGTCGGACAACACCCGTGAGATTTAAACAACCCGCCAAACATCCCAAAACCACACCCCTCAGTGTCGATCCCCAGAAGTGACGTACCAATTAAAGATCATACTTTCAACAAATATATTATGGCTCCCACACACTATTTAAATATATATGTACAGTATTTCTAATAGTATTTTTCAATGTTATTTAAAAAGACATGGATCTGACCCTTCATTCCCATCAGAGTTTCCTTTAGCAACCATGACAAAGAGGAAAACTTACCAGCAAAATTTGAATAAAAATGTAAAAGCTTCAGATTTTTTTTCCTCGATAACTTTTCTGATGATTCATTCAGTAGATGAATGGGCTCAAGTGAGCATCAAATCATCTGTAAAAGAGAATCTGCCTCTCTCTCTCTGTTTGTGTGTGATATTTTTCTGTATGTGTGTTGAATTTGGCTATTTGTTGTTATAATCACTGTCATGCCAGCTAATTCTCCCTCTATTTATGAGTGTTGTTTTGACAGCTGATGTGAAGTGGAAAGCCTCCAATGAGCTTGGACAGCAGCAATCATTCTTTTTCTATCACAAATACACACACAAACACACACACACACGTACATAATTAGCGGGGTCTGTGGTCCAATCAGAGATAAGTATGTGTGTGTTACTGTGACAGAAAGAGAACGTGCGAGTCAGAGGCTGTGGTGTCCGGTCCAGACCTGTATCAGATATAGACCCCGGTGATCCCAATGTTAATACCCTGCCGATCTATTTTAGCAGCAGGGGCTCTTATGTAAGAGGTCACGTTTTCCCACCACCACTTTCTCAGTCACCATCTTCTTATTTTACATTCAGCAGGTGCTCCTCTCATCTGGACAGTTTCACTATCAAGAGTATTAACGGTAAACAAGAGTACAAAGTTGCTGTCCTCTGCTCGGACAGGGCAGACAGCAGATCATTCATTCTCCTTTTAAACTCCGCGCTGATGGATTTACTGTCACAGGGCCGTGAGGCTAAAAGGGATCATACATGCGGCATTGTCCAAAACAAAAAAACGGACTATAAATTCAGCCTGTAGTCACATTAGGGAACTCACAGACATGTGTTTGGACATTGCTCAGTCCATGTGGGTGGGTGAACGCAGTGGCACTATAAACAACATCAACGTACGCAGGGTCCCTTTCAAAGAAAAGTGAAGCAGTAAGGTTGCTTTGGAAAAAGGAACATGATCCAGTGATTGGTAAACTACTCTCAGAAATCTGGTTTGAAGGTTAAAGAGAGATTGATGTTGATATCGGACGAATGACAGTTACTAATTCATGAAAGGTGAAAGAAGCATCTATCACAATGTTTTTGACACCAATACAAAGTTAGATCAAATGATCATGGTCTGCCACTGTGATATGTTCTCATGGGGCCAGAACTCCTTTCTGTTTAAAAGAAGGAGGGAATATTCAGTTTGAGTTGTTATTCAGTTATTTCATCAACATAAGGAAAGACAGAGACAGAGAGAGACAGAGGCCAAGAGGGGTTGGCAGACAGGGAGTTGAAGGCAGTCACTGCAACAGATTAAGGTAAAAAGACAAAAAATGGCCTAATTTCCTCTTTTGTTTAAAAAGTGCTGTTGCATTCACCATCTTGTCTGCCATATCCGTCAAACCTCCCTGAACAGTAATGGATTGGGAGGCACGTGGAGACAGATGGAGGCATGGGGAAAGAGAGGTGTCTGGTGACTGAGTTCACCTGCAGGTATTCAGAGATGGAAGAGCACGCTTAATGTAGGACAGCTTTCCAACAGGGCATATTCAACCCTAAATATAGACAAGGCAGAAGTAGGCTGAGCTGACAGCGCTGCCAAAAGGCGGTGAAAAAAATGCCGTAATTTGAAGTGAGAGGACAGAGTCCAATACATTTTCTTAAAGCTTAAATTGCGGCACATATTGATCTATTTAACTTGTGATTCCTCAATATGTAGGAAAATACAGAAAAAATAACTTAAGGTTAAGTTTTAACATTGATATGAAGAGGATGAAAAGTTAACAAAAGGCCATGTTCACACACCTATTTGAGATTTGAAATGTAGAGAGCTATCTTAAATAGACTCATAAAACTACATTAGGATTCATGAAACCTTTTGTTTTTAATAATTTTTTAGAAAAGACAAGGCACACAGTGTTCTGCAAAATAAGTTTAGCTAAATCCAGTTACAGCTTCACTGGGCAATATCATAGGAGAATCAGCAGAAGCTTTCTAGGCAGAAATGAGTTGATAGGAAAATGTAATAATCATGTGTTGTCAAGATTGGATAAAATCATTTCTGATTTTTAAAACAGATTCGAAAGTATGAATCAAAATTTGGAGAGAAACCTTAAATTTAGGAGTGATACAGGTAACCCTCTTATAATGGCTCCTTTGTGTGTTTTTTTCAAGTGAGGAGGTATTATGAAAGCATTTTCTCTGTATTTGCGCAACAAAATATTTTAACTACTCCTCTGCAAAACATCCACTGGATCCTGTTCATCCTGTAGCACAAAAAAGATAACTTTTTATCTTTAAACTTCATCAAAGACAGCTCAGCAGGGTAGCTTTTCACCAGCTTCACTGCCGGGACTTGATGGGTAACCCTCTGACTCACTCCACCCCCTCTATGTCGAATTGACGAGGGATTTTTCATGAAAATCTGCCTGTTATGCTCCTAGTCTTCCTACGTCCACACCTTCATGCGGCACAGAGCTCATTTCAGCTGTAACTTGTCTCTCTCCCTTCTCTCAGCACCTCTTTTTAATCACTCTCTCATTATCCCGACATGCCGTCTGACACTGACAGCGCTGTTAACCTCCGATTCAAGAGCAAAGTGAAGCCGCTCCATGTGAACACTTGTAAGTTTTACACCTTCTTTTGACAGGCCTCGACTCGCTCTCAGCACTGAAACCCAGAAACACCTACACTTTATGCTTCATAACCACTGTCGGAAAGTGATGTTGAGACTCCTGTTGAAGAAAATCTAGGTTAACCAAAGGGACTGGAAAGAAAAGAGATATAAAGATTCGAGACAGCAAATTGGTTTTCCAACTGATTCATCTCACAGTGAGATGCTACTCCTAACACTAAGTGAAAATTAATAACCATGTGTCTTCTTTGACCTCCCTACAGCGCTATTTATGGCAGGTAATTCTGGGTGTGGTTAAATCAAAGTAAAGTAGCACAGTTCAATGACATTTCTCAGAGTCAGAGTTGCCTTGCAGGTAAACCACACCCAGGATCACCTTGTTTACACTTTCGTCTAATTTATTTTCCCTTTCCAACTGGTTTTCTCAGTTTGGTGGATTTGTGAACTCCTAAAAGTCTACAGTATGGTTTGAAAATGTTGCGTGTCACCGTCACCCACCCTAATGTGTCCTGTTCAGTTCAGAGTCGCTAACCCACAGTGATTGTGACCCATGCAGAGATTTCCACTTTCTACTTTGCAAGGGATCCTGGTGACTCATCAGAAAAGAGTCAGAAGAGGTGTGACTTTCTGGGACTGAGCTTTTGCTGTTGCTGTATACATGTAAAAGGAAACAGGTGGTGAGGATATCGCAGTGAGAGAAGTGGGGGCGGGGAAAACACCTAATCATCTCTGCAAGAAAATTTCTCGATGACCAAGAGTTAACACATTGTGAGTTTTATGTAATAAAATTTATGCAAAATGAAGACTGTGATCAACCTTTCCTTGCATAAGAGGAAGCTTCATCGCGAAGTTGTTAGATAATGTGTCTACTGTTTTCTTAGCCTGTAACACCGACAAGAAAAACACAAAAAAACTGGAGGAGAGACCGCTCAAATGTTTCTAACAGCAGACAAATGTGTGAAGGACTGGACCAGCAGTAACTAAGAATTTTCAAGTCTAATGGTGAGACATCAGGACTTCGGATCCTGAGCCAAGCTAGTTTGTGTCTAAACACTATCAACACATTGTGGTAAGCGCGCTAACATTCGCTTTTTGGTACTGGGCATGGAAATGTCGGTTTTCTTGCACGTATCGGGACACAGAAAAGTATTAATCACAACATTTGTTTATGTTAGTAATGATGCAAAATGACAAATATGACAAAGGTGGCTCATGTGTTTTTGGATAGTGATGGGGATCTCTAATTATGAAACACAAACTAGTAATGAAAGGCTTCAGATGATATGAAGTGCTAAGAGTGAATTCATTAGTGTATTTGATGGGAAAACTGTGGAAATCAGACTGTCACTTTCTGCTCAAACTCATATTTGAAAGGTAAAATATATTTGTGCTGAACAGAGAAGCTTGCAGTAGTTTCATTCCTTGAGTTCTGACCAAAGACAAACATATTTGGTGAGTTCCTATCGCAGAGTTGGTAAATAATGTCCCTCTCTTCGCAGGGAAAACATTTCCATAAGTTCTCAGTGGGGCAGCTAGGCAGCCACTGTTGTTTTTTATTGCTCAAAGCTGTGAGTGCTGAACAAACAAGACATAAATCAGCATGTTTTTATTTGGGACAGTTCTTGGAAGCAACTGGACGCACGGCATGAGCAAACCTCGCTTGCAATGTCAGAGGTTTCTCTGGACACATTCCAGTCTGAGGGGTCCTCTGAGTCCCCGCTCCCAGCTCAAGTAACTGGAATGAGTCAACCTCGCAGTTGACTCATTCCAGACTAGAACAGTCTGGAAACACAGCTGAAGTCACACTAGCAGCAGGTAGAGAGGTTGGTAAAATATAATGCAGCAACAGTTAATGAATTAGCTGTAAACTGGTAAGAAAAACTACTTTGGGAATTAGCTTAAAGGGATATTCCGGCGTAAAATTAATTAAGGGTCAAACACACTGTAACACCGAGTTAGACACCCCCTCGAGAGATGATTGTTGCAGACCGCTTGCTTCTCTCGTTTTACCAACTTTAGAAACAACTGCATGATAGAAATTCACACCGGTCTGAGGAGCCACACGCAAACCTTATAGGCAGAACTAGGACAAGTCCATCACTGAGTGGTTGGGGGTTACTCAGCTCAAGGAAGAACATTTAGGATCATTTCTTCATGGACTTGCAATCAGACAGAGACGCTAAGGCAGAAGACCTACTGTGTCTGCAGTGTAAAATGATTAATATGGTGATTATTACTTCAAGGAAATGAGAAAGTAATGATCATGAATGCTCTTCCTTGAGCTGCGTCACCCCGCTGCACTCGGTGATGGACTTGTCCGAGCTCTCCCTTCAAACAAGCGGCTGCTGGAAGAGAGTAGGTGAGTTGTGTTTAGTCTCTTTGCTAAAGAAATTAGACACAGCTAAAAAGATGTTTGATGGCTAATGCTATGGCTAGGACCCTATGTGTACTGTTGATGAAATTGGGGCTAGGGTTCTGAGCATTATTTGTGGCTATAGAGTGGCTTTTTGGTTAAGGTGTGTGCATGGATCCATAGACCGCTGTGTATTGCTATCGTGCGGTCGTTACTAAAGTTGGTATAACTAGAGAAGCAAATGGTCAGCAACATTCATCTCTCAAGGGGGTGTCTTACTCTGGAGTATCCCTTTAAGTAGAACGAATTAACATGATTTTGGGGCAGAACATAACATTCAGTGAGTCAACTTTGACTGTTCAAAATATTTTTTTCACCACAAGCTTCCAAACTATATAAAAATAAATAAATAAATAACCATTTCTTGCATCCCTAAGAACTCAAAAGAAAGCAGTTAAACTCTGATTTCCTACTTGGACACCTCCATGTAGATCTTTTCTACAAAGTAATACTTGAATGAAGACACTTGAATTATTCAATCAATTCTCAAACACAAACATTTGCTGAAATTCCTTTCAAACAAAAGAAAGAAAAAAGGCATGTGACAAGGAGACAAGTGCAACATGGGTTTATTGTCAAACTGGTTATTAAGACATGAACTTGATTAATGCCATATCAAATCTTAAACTCCGCTGTAGTAAAGTGCAGATTCAAATCAAATTGCCCTGGGAGTCCTCGTATGTTTTCTATGTCTGGTTTCGAACTGTCAGGTTTAACAGACTGCAATATGAAATCCTACAAATTATGAAAAGCCCTTTTTTCTCATCAACCCACACATCTAAAGCTAATGTGCAAACAAGATATCTCACAAAGCTGTACTATTGTGTATGTAGAGGTGTCCTCCCACTCATCCGTCTTCACTTCTCACAGAAATGGCTGACAGTTGTACAAAATGATCAAATGAAAGCTTTTCTGCGGCGATCGCTTGGTTGATATGCTGCTGCTGCTGCTGCACATGCACAGTGGGCCGTGTTGGTAACCTATCCAGATTTTTCTTTTTCGGGCATGATGATTATTAAAAAGACAGATGGCATTAAAGGTCAGCCATGTTTTCGAAGGTAAAGAGGTCACTTCTGTGTACAAGCCCACACACTCTCAGGCTGTTGTAGACAGTTAGTTTGGCTGCTGTGGTTTCTTGTGGCAGTCATGTGCATTATGGAATCTCCATGAGTGCCACTTCACCAAATTCTTGTCCTCACTTAGTTATGTAAGCTCAAAAAATAAAATAAAATGAAAACACTCACCCCTTAACTAACACAAACATACTCAATCAATCAAACTCATTCACTCATCTTTTGATAATCAGTACAATGGTTCTGCGCCCCCTCTCCCTTCTTTGAGCAGAGCGAGGGGACACTCAGGAAACGGCAGCAATGAGGTAAACACAAAAAAACTCATGAGAGATATTGCACAGACGAGTGCCGGCACAGAATACAACAGTCTCTTTCCAACAGCCTAGCCTGTGCATAGGAAGAATAAAGCACTTATGGTGTTCGCAGACATTTAACCCCTCTCATAAAGCTTTGTTATACACTTAAAGTGGGAAAGACAAATGAGTCTCGGCTCCACACCACTTGGCAGATCCAGATTTGCATGACAATAACTAAATGTATTGTAAAAGTACAAAAAAAAAGGAGTAATCTAATGATAACTGAGTAAGGGTCCTTAAACTGTTGGCGACAGTGATAGGACCAAAAAAAAAGGGAAAAAAAACCTGAAGTCCCAGCATCTGAGAAATGCCTCGATCATTGCTTTGAGAAGAGAGAAGCAGGCAAAGTCGAGGCCAGGTTCGAGCCAGCATGGAGAAAAATCTCTCAAGTTTCATTCAATAAATAGCATAGTGGAATATGCAAAAAAAAATCTATTTTTTTATGAAGCAAAATTATGTAAACCCTTGCTCAGTTTATCCAGAGATACAACTGTGTTTGTCCATGTTGCGATTTACTCTACATACATCTCCAACAGAACAGGCTGTGAACAGTTAGAACTGTGGCTCCATCAGAGAGCAAAGAGTGGGGGGGTGAAAATGTAAACTCATTCCTCCTTTTACTCCACTCGCTCCGCAGTTATTTCCTGTTGAATTTTTGTTCAAACAAAATCAGAATCTCACAATAGTTCGAATATGCAAAACTAACCCACAAAATCCAGCTCCTCCAACACCTTGTGGGCCAGGTGTTGAAACTATAGCACTCCTCAGTTTTGTCCAGTCCACTCAAATATTATCACACGCCCCCCCCTCCCCGCCCACTTTCTTCTCCTTCACTATCATTATCTGTGGAGTAAAACGAAGGCCTCCAGTTTCTCTGGGATGTTTCCTCGGTATTCTAGGCTGTGCTTGATGATGGCCCTGGCGGCGAGGCACTGCAGCGTGGTGTGGTTTATGGGCTGGATAACATTCCTAGACAGCTCCTTCTCATCCAGGAGGTCCCAGGCTGTTTGTTGGAAGGCGTTGGTGCTGTCGAAGTGAGTCCCACATGAAATCAGCAGGTTCATGATGTCAGGGTGACCATTGGATGCGGCTATATGAAGGGGGCTGGTGGGGATGGACAAAATAAATCTGTGTCAGATTATGTTATAGAATACAGGGCTTGACACTAGTGTTGTAGTACTCGAGATCGGTCTTGAGGGTCATTTTTTGAGGGTCTTGGTGTCGTCTCGGAATCGAAGGCATTTTCACTCGGTTTTGTCTCGGTCTCAGAGTGTTTTGAACGAGACCGGTCGAGCTAAGTTACCTGCCCAGTGTCACACAGTCTGAGTGACTGATACACCCCCTCCATACAGAGAGAGGATGGAGGCGACAGGAGGAGAGGCTATGTTCATGCTCGGCACCCGGCCAACTCAGTAATAACCAAGTTTGGTTTCCTAAACTACAAGGAGTTTATCTGTAAAACGACATGCAAGCGAAAACACTCGACAGTGTGCAAACTCTGCAGTGCACAACTCCCAGAAACAGCTGGTACGACTTCAAACTTTAACCGTCACCTCAAGAGGAGGCATAAAGACAGGTAAGCTAATGGTTACCATACAGTAGTGTTGTAGTACTCGAGATCGGTCTTGGTCTCGAAACTATTTTTTGACGGTCTTGATGTCGTCTCGGAATCGAAGGCATTTTCGCTCGGTCTCGGTCCTCTCTGGTCTCGGTAATGTCTTGGTCTCGGTTGGTGCGGTCTTGACTACAACACTACTTGACACCAACTTTTTTCACAATAAGCACACATGTGGTCCTAAGTTAAAAAAGTAAGGAGCACACAAAGAGCTTTAGGGGCACAATGAAAATTGATCAAATAATGTGTTTCTTATTATTTGAAATAGATTTTAGGCCAGTTGGTCTCATGACATGACATGGATCGTTCAAAATTTGCCTTTAAATTTAACACAAAATTTTTTTTAGGACAAATTAGGGAAATAAAAAGGTGTGTCTCATTGTCCGAACTTAGTACTTTTATTTGAAATCAATTTTAGGTAAATTGGTCACATGACATGGAAGCTTTTGAACGGAAACAGCCTTTTTCGAGAACATTAACCGGAAATTTATTGATGGTCCCTTACTCCAGTGGCTCTTAAGTTCGGTCCTCAAGGCCCCACTGTCCTGCATGTTCTGGATGTTTCCTGCTCCAACACACCTGATTCAAATGATCAGCTCGTTATTAAGCCATTGCAGAGCTTGATAACGAGCTGATCATTTGAATCAGGTGTGTTGGAGCAGGGAAAAATCCAAAACATGCAGGACAGGGGGGGGCTTGAGGACTTGACTTGAGAACCACTGCCTTATTCAACACCCGACTTTGACAGCGAGGGTGCCGAGTAGATTTAACTGCGTTATTGTTGCTATTCCCAGTTGTGGAGAGTGAGAAGACACTGGTAGATATCAAACCTAAAACTAACTTCACCGCGGTATTTACATGAAAAAACATTTGTTGCTTCGCCTGATTTTCTTTGTGCACATGCGCCCCTAATTACATTTTACAATTCGCACACGTCTATTTTTAGTCGTAAATGCGAGTGAAACGGTCTCACCGTCGAGCCGTGGAATATGTAAATGTAAGTTTGTCATGTCGCAAAGATACAGCAGATGAGTTAAAACACTGAGAGAAAAGCCTCTGAATGAGTTTGTTCTTTGAGTCTTGGTTGCTCACTCACTACTCTTTTGTTTCTCAGAAGCACAATAACTGTTAAAACATCAAACAAACCTGTTGTCATCCTCATCACGGCTATTCACATCCGCCCCGCACTCAAGAAGGATGGAGGCCACTGTGAGGGAGGGGAACTTGCAGACGGGATAGCGGCCCACGCAGGTGGTGTTGCGGTCGACTGCCAGGTGAAGTGGACTGTAGCCGTTTTTACCACATGGCTGGAGCTTCAGGAATCTAAAGAGAGAGGGAGGTTCAAAGTCTTCAGCCGAGAAATAGCGAAAAGGCCCTGGCCACCATGAGACATATGAGTTTGATGGAATATATGTAAAAAAGCTGATAGGATTTCTTGAGTAAGACTGACACGGTGCTTTTTGCCAAATGAGGGGGATGTAAAATTGCTCTCAGAACCTGACTGGCAGAGCATGAAAAAGACATTTGCAGAAATGAGGTCAGAGAAAATAACCACCACAAAAGACATCAGTTTTCTTTTATATCGCCAGCTTTGAGATGTCTCTTTACATTAATAAGATTACTTCGACCATTCTGTAGAAGGACATCATTACTGCCTGTACTAGTAACTGAAAAGAAACTCACTTATAGATGGTTTCCTTCTTGAAGTGGTCCTGCTCCGCGGTACACGGCACCTTTTCCAAAAGACAGATAAGGTGCAGGATGATTGACAGGGCCTTGCTAAGCTGCGCAGGGTCAGGGGGCATGGGTCCGTTTTGTCTAACTGCCCGCTCAATCTCCAACACACTCTTGGAAAGGATCCCCATCAAGTCCTCAAATGACACCGATGTCCCCAGCAGCCCCTTGGCCCTGTCCTGCAGCATGAAGGAGAAGAGCTCGGCAAACGATAGCAGGCTGGAGGCCGTCATGGGGCTCAGGGGGTCCAGGTTACTCTGCTGCATGTCTAACGCATACTTCCAAAGATTGATACAGCGCTCAAAGTTCCCAGAGTCAGCGTAGACTGCGCCTCGGTACCGGATATAGTACGATGTGTCCGGGTGTTGTGGGCCGAGTATTCTCTCACGAATAAGAAGCGCCTGCATGCGCATCTCATCTGGGTCGGATATCAGCCCATCCAGCTCCTCGTTGTTTGTTACCTACAGCGAAGATTAAAAAGTCAAAAATTACCATGTAAAACTTGGTAAAACTTTGCTGTTCTCAATTATTACACACTTTTGCCTGTGTTCTTTGTGCATAAAAATATCTTTTTTGTGTGTCCTCTATGTTTAATAAGCAAGTTTTGTCCTGTACTCTTGACTTAATCCATCTTTCAATGCTTTTCTTACATTTTTAAAGCAGTCAGCTGGAAAAAAAGTGTTTTTTTTCCCTTTACACATAAAAAAGTCAGCAAAAATATTGTGAGAGTATTCAACGCTAAACCTGAAGAAGCAGATCCTCACCTCTCTGGCGTAGTCGTATGCCATGATCAGCTGCTTGGGTTCCGGTTTGTGGACAATGTTGTTACTGTCCGTGTACCTGAGGTCCATAGCTCTCTTCCAGTACTTCAAAGCACCCAGCAGGTCTCTCTTCTTGTCAACAAAAGTCGCTCCCAAGAGCTCTAGGGCATCAATTCGTTCCTTGTGGCTTGTCTGCAGAGAAACATAATAATAATAATGATTTTTTTTTACTAACATTTATCTACATTTAAATATTTACATTTAAACATGTATGCAAACTCTGCTCTACAGAGACCAGAACCCTGACCTGATGATGCGCTGTGAGGGCGTCTACGATATTAGTGTGTCCCGTGACACTGGCAGAGAGTAAGGGAGTCATGCCGTAGCCATCCTGCTCCATGGATGCTCCGTACTGAAGTAACATCCTCATGATCTCTAGACTACCGGACTCTGCGCAGTCATGAAGTGCTGTGTTACCTACGGAGGGAGAGGAACACACAAGAGTGCAAGACCCAAAGTGGATTTTAGACACATGTTTAACCAATAGAATGAACATAAACATGAATATAAAACAAGAGAATCTGGAAATAAACTAAGATTACACATCCATATTACTAGAGGAAGAGGTAATAGTATCCTTGGCAACATACACACTTGATATTATCCTCTGAGCCACAGCTTTTGATAAAGCAGCAATGAAATTACTGGTTCAGACTCATTTGAAAACTGCCAATCAATTTATTAAACCCTATTTTAATGAATTTTCCCTGATTAATAGTGACCAAAAGATCTTTTTTCCTCCCTTCATAAAGATCAGGAAGCTCAAGCTGGAGCAGATGTTTAGTCTGCTGCACATTTGATTTTCTCTGCTGCAGATACCTGGAGTACTGCGGATGCTGTCATCACATCTTTGTGTTAAACTCGCTTCCACCCAGTGATTACCCATTCAGGTAGGGACAATCATGCTCACAGCAGGTGCATGTTACTCCAAACACTGCTTGTTTGGAAAATAGAAGCTTGAGTAGGCTCTGGTGTGTTGTGTGTAAACCTGCTGCAGACTGCTGCATATGTGGTATATCAACACTGCTCTAAAACATGCCTGCTTTGGACACTGGGCAATGTAATGTAAAAATGAGAGGAAGACTGATATTAGTTCTTTCAGCAGTTCAGCCGATTGCTAGTATACAGTATAACGATGATATCACCTTGTTGTGGTTGTTTTGGGAATTTAATGATAAACATCAAAAAGAAATGAGAAACAAGTTATGTATGTCAGTTATTCCATACCCAGTACTAGGGCTGGGCGATAAACCGAAAATTTACCGATACAGAAATTTACGACAATAACCAACGTCATTTTGCCCATCTCAATATATTCGGTGTCTAAAAAATAGATAAATAAAAGTTGGTTTTGGATGCGTGTAGGTAGGCTATGGTCTCATGTCCCTTTAAGACGCTGTCCTATGTTAGAGACGTGACTCCACCCCATTCAGTCTGTAATAAAGAGGGAAAGACAGGTGAGGAAATGGAGGACGGTTCAAAAGTTGGAGCGGCGGCTTTAGTAGACGAAGTTAATGTGGTAGAAAGTGAGCAGCTTGTGGAGTAGTTATTGTCCATTTATCGTAATCGAGGTGAACTGCTCAAGATATCGTGATATTGATTTGAGGCTATATTGCCCAGCCCTACACATTACACTCTGAAATCTTAACATGTTATTGATGGGTTTGTAATTAATTTGTTAAAATAGAAAAATACATTTGGTTATCACTTGTAACATGACTTGATCGTTCTACACATTTTAACTGTTTTGATATTAAACACCAGCTATCAACTGTTTTGGATTTGATCTGCTGTCATTAGTTTGGGGGAAAAAACTGGTTATTTTTGAGAAAATTTAACAGTGTTGGGAAATTTAAGTCAATATTTAAAGCAGGGTTAAAAGCGAGGCACATAGTAAATCAAATTACATTCTAAAAACATATAGACAGTTTCTTCTGAATTTCTCACCACAGAAGAAGAGACAAAGATCACCTACTTTATGAGTTATCGGTGATGATCTGGAATGTAATCTGTATCCGAGTAAAGAAACTTAAGATCAAGATCCTCTTTACAACATTTGTAACCTTTACCCAGATTAAGACTCAAATACAACATCTCTTACACTACACTCCAGCAGAGAGGTACTTCTTATAGTGCACAGGTATATATTTTAGCCATCTGTCATATTTGCTGTTATTCATGTGTAAGGCAAGGAAATCTTAGGTATGTGCACTGTGGATAACACATTAGGCACTGTGTTATGACAAGTAGCTCAAGAACTTAGACTTGTAAAACTTGTAAAATGACTGCAAGAGTCTGGGAGTCAAATACTACCCAAGCGTATCGTCCTTATCCTTGTCTCCCAAAATAGGTCACTCAAACCTGGGAATCCAGGTCAATCCTCCGGAAAAAAAAAAAAAACATTGTTTAATAAAAAAAACTTCTAAAGCTGGTACTTCCTGGAGATAAACATGTGCAGTCACAGTCCCATGGGAGCACTTCCTGATCTGATGCATCAAAAAGAAGGCTACACCGGTTCAAGTCAATGTCTAAAAATAAATCAAGCCAACACACCTCATACACGCTTCTCCTTTATCCTTCACTATTAGCCACCAGTCCAACCACTCTCAGTTCTTCAAAGTCAATCTATGTTCAATCCAGTGACAAGCACAAGCAGAGTTAGTTTGAGGCTGTTACAGTTGTTGCCCAAACTACTCTGAGCAGATTCTTTTTACTGCTCACCCCTAAAAGGGAAAATTGAAGGCAGTAGTGCTGAGGCCTTTGTCTTACTTCATTGGAGATGGCTAGAGACGGATGAGTTAGCAAAGTAGGAAAACTGTGTTTAGGATGTGGATGACAAAATACTCAGAAATGATAAAACTGTCAATCTTTCTATAGACTCCAGACATTAACTTCTGCTTGATATAGGTCTGGACAATATTGGAAAAAAAAACTTAGCACTAAGTATACTCACATAACTTTGTGTATATTTCACAAAGTTATACCCAGGTTCCTTTGCAAGTATGGAAAGTATGGAAAAGTATGGAAGTAATTTGAACCAATTTCCAGGTCTTAAAAAGTATGGTAAATGAAAAACAAAGTATGGAAAAACACTTATGTTGACAGATTATATTACCAGTTATAAAATACTGTTTTCTAAAATCAAAAAGTAGGTATTTCCAAAAACATTTCTAAAAAGTAGGTTATGGAAATTCCAACTGTGTCGGAACCTTGTATACCAGATAAATATAGCAAACACAATCATAACTATTTTAGTGAAGTTTCTGCTTCCAAATTAAATCCCCCTCCCTTCATATCAAAGTGTCCAATCCCCTGACAGCATCACGAGTAAGAGCAACAACTGGAGAAAGTGAGAGTACATGAGGAGTGGTACGCTTCATAAACTTTACCAACTAACACGATCAACAAGTTGAATTTATTCCATGTAAAAATGGTTTGATCTGTGCCTCAAGTATATTTAGTGGTTCTTCTATTCAAATGAAAACTCACGGTCACCTACATAGTTTTCCACATAGGGCTGGGCGATATAGCCTCAAATCAATATCGCAATATATTGGGAAGTTCACCTCGATAACGACGAACGGACGAGAACTACTCCACAAGCTGCTCACCCCCTCCGATATTAACTTAGTCTACTTTAGCCGCCGCTCCAACTTTAAAATTGTCCTCTAATTCTTCACCTGTCTTTCCCTCTTTGTTACGGACTGGATGGGGTGGAGTCACATTCCCAACATAGGACAGCGTCTAAAAGGGACATGAGACCATAGCCTACCTTAACACATCCAAAACCAACTTTTATTTATTTTTTTGACACTAAATCTATTGACATCAGCAAAATTGCGTCGGTTATTGTTTTTGGTATCTGTAAATTTTTGGTTTATCGCCCAGCCGTATTTCACATCTCCACAATGTAGGCTCCTTGCACTGTAGGTGTAGACACCAAAAGCAAACATTGTTGCTCTACCTAGAGAGGTAGAATTTCAATGGTGATGTGACACATAAGGACACTGGCTGCACAGTGGTCAATGTCTCCATGTGTTTCAATGTGGAGCTGACTGAAGGTGAGTTCTGATAGACATTTATTATATATTAATCTCAGGCAATGACGAAGAGGTGACATCTTAAGGTAATGCTAGGACTGATATTGCACATCCTGCACATGCTCATACCGCAGTTACAATGTCCAAGACGATGATATATCGTGCAGCCCTAGTTTGATCCAAAGCAGTACCATCAAATTACATTGTTAGGTTTCAGGCCATCTTTCAAACCAGCTTCTGTGAAAGCTTACAAAACAAGTTCATCTATGAACTTCATAAACCCTGAAGAAAAAGAAGGATATATCTTAAAGCCTATTTGTCGAGTCACCTCACAAAGCGTTATTCTGCTGAAGAGTAAATAAACTGACAAGTGTGAGACTAAGAAGAAAGCAGACCGTGGCTTTTTAAGTCATTCAAAATCGGCTTTCATTGTGCTCTCTTGACTTTTTTCACAGAACTTGTTGCCCCACAAAACAATATCCCCTGTTTTTGGATATGTGCCACTTCCTATCTAATATTAAACATCTGCGCCTTCCTGTTAGTTCAGCTGTTACGGGAAAGGCAACAGTCTGAAGAATGGGCTCGAAAGAGTGTTTTCCACTTCAATCAACAAGCATGAGGTGGACAGGCTAAATTTTTAAGTACACACAGTCATTTGTGCTCAGTCGAACACCCGCCTCCCGCTAGTTTGCTGTCAGGTAAAATTAGTCATAACTTCAGTGTTACAGGTTAACCGAATCTTACTCTCTGCACAAGGTATCTGACACAGGGGTGGACCGATTATCTGCCTTTGTCAATTATTGTGGCATTTGACCAATAATCTGTATCTGCACTCTACTGATGGCTCTGCTGCTGGTGTATCTTTCCCTCTGGTCTGTTTTTACTTCTCACTCTACCTCACCTGATACCCCACCCGTGACACTATCCGATTAGCTGGATGATACACAACTGTGTCACTTAACTGTACTCCAAATGTAGGAAAAGAAGGTATACTGTTTAACTAAATTTCAATGAGAAGTTGAAGCGAAGAAGGGGAAATAAGTCATGTAGAGGAAAATACAAGTTTGCAGGTGGGCAATTCTGGACTTTAAAAAAGGGATGTATCAATGTCTTTGAGATCAAAAATTCAATAAAAATGATCACAGTGGTGTTGAATTTGTCACTTTAGGTTTTCTCTGAGGTAAGACAGCCGTTTTTTTTTTCACTTTTTGAAACTTTTGGTTTGCTCTTCCACCTGAACACTCATTTCAGACGCAGCCTCACCACGCTAATAAAACAAAATAGATGGTGTGCAGCTTTATTTCTAGGCGAGGACACATTTTAGGGTTAGGGTTAGGGAGATACTTGACCACAAAAAAAATCTGACTGAGATTGTTATCAATAGATGTTTTCTAGAACCTAAGTATAGTAACATCTACACAAAACTGATGGTTAGGGTCCTTACACACCGGGGCCGACGCGAATATAGAACACGAAATCACGAAATATTCAGACAAGAATTTTGACGCGCCTGACTATACACATCAAGCCCGATGCGATTTTGCGACTTTCCGGGGGGAAAAAGACGCGTCCCGGGGAAGACTTTTCCCAGGGAAAGTCCCGCCTCCTTTGCCTCCGATTGGCTAGAAAAGCTGGACGAGGACAAAAATTTAGTCTTCTTCAACTTCAAGTGATGGCGAATTGGTTCTCCTTTTGCTTTCTCAAAAGAAAAAGAAAAGTAGCACATGGGTGAATGCGATATTACAAAAAAGAAGAGAACTTGGTGAGTTTACTGCTTGGTTCAGAAGCTGAAACTGGACCGTGGTCGCTGATTGTTTTCAGTTTTGATTAGACTCTAGTGTTGAGATGGCTTTCTGTCATGATAGCAAATACTGAGTCGGGGCCAGTACCATATAAGCACATGAAACTATGGTAACAACCATTAGCTTATGTTAGCACAGATGAAAGTTAAAATAAAGACATTTAGCAAACTGTTCAAGCACACAAACCGTTGTCATGTGAGAGATCCGACGCCATGACTCTCCACTAGCTGTCCTTTAGATTGTTATCTTTGTAATGTTTGTGTCTTTTATCAAAAAGCACTCTGTTTCCGACACGTAAACTATCAGCCGGTCGGCCATGTTGGATATACCGGTGAATCAGACGTCGCAACAACACGAAATCTGACGGATCAGAAGTGGACACACAGTATGTGAAACTTTAGAAAAATCGACCATGATCGGAAAAAATAAATGCCGCAATATTGCAGGACAAGAAAACATAGCTGATGTGAACGCTTGTATTGACAGGATATGGGTTCGGAAAAAAAATACTGACGTCCAAAATAATCGCACGGCAAAAAGGTCCCGCTGTGTAAGGACCTTAAGGGTTATTTTGTAAGTGGAATCTTAAGAGAGTCTATTGATAATTGGTCAACATAGAACTTTACTGCATCAAGAATCAGCTTGTGCCACCAAAAGCTGAACAACACACATTTCCCAGCCTTTTAAAAGGCATCTCCAATGGCAGAATGTTTGACACTCGTAGTAAATGAATACAGGGTATCGCTTTGGAGCTTTTCTTTGAAGCATTCGTGGGCGTGTTATGGCACACAAAAGGAACTGTCCTAAAATAATTAAAAACACATAGACGCTGCTTGTCATGCATTTTAAAGATGCCATCTTGGGAGAGTAAGATCTCTCAGACACACCCATAGACGCTCACTCTCAGATAATGCAGACATCATAGCCTTCATTGTGAAACCAGATGTTCATGTTATTTTGTTGAGTCATTTCAGACAGAAACATGCTAATGCTGTATGACATCTTGTTGTCCACTGCTGTTAAAGCACAGTGACCTGGATATAATCGTTTATCATTTTACCTCTCCAGATCTTAGTCACTTTATTTCTCTTTGTTCTAATTTGACACAGTTTAATTGAACTTTAGACAAAACACCTCACCCTTCCCTCTTATCTCAGGGTTACTAAAGGAGGTCACTGGTTAAATAAACTGTAAATGTGCCCCCAGCTCACCTTTGACACTCTTCCTGTTGACATCTGCTCCTTTCTCCAGCAGGTACTGCGCTATGTCCTTGTGTCCCTTATAGCAGGAGATCATGAGACACGTGTGGCCGTGTCTGTTGGCCACCTCGAGGTCAGCTTTGTGCTCCACCAGGTATTTAACAATGTCTAGGTGTCCGTCAAAACAGGCTGCTCTCAGGGGCGTCGAGTTGGTCAGGGTCGTGCTGTTGACAGAGGCTCCATGGCCCAGTAGAGACTGGACCACCTTCAGGTGACCTGCAGCGGAGGCCGCCCAGAGAGGGGGCGCTCCCTCGATGGTCTCCCCATCAAAGTTCACTGACCCACCGACCTCGACGGGAGCACTGCAGCACTCCAGCAGATACTCCACAAGGTCTAAGTGTCCGTACCGGGAGGCCATGAGGAGCGGGGTGGCTCCGTTTGTCTTCTCACCCATCAGCTTGGTCACCTCGTGTCCATCTTTGTTCTCCAGGAGTTTCTGGAGAAGACGGAGCTTCCCGTCTCTGGCTGCGTTAAACACGGCTGTCTTTAAATCCATCTCTCAGGGTTGTCGGGAGTCTCACTGTTAAACAAAAAGTCTAAAGTGTCCGTGAAACGATGACCCGACGTGTAACTCGGACCCTTTGTTTACAACTAGCTGAGAGATTTTAGCTAGCTGTAAACCAACTGCGGTTAGCTGTTAATTAAATGTCCAAAGAAGTCATTTACCTTCCAGATGATATAAAATGAAGCACCAGCATTTGTTGTGTATCTTGAACTCTGTTAATAGCTCAGACGTTTGTATCGACTCTTGGACCGGTGATACATTTATGACCGAGTTAGCAAGGTGGCTAGTTAACTTCCTTAATACATGAAGCTAACCGCTAGCCCCGCTAAGCTGACACACTTTCCGTCTCTTTAGGGAGAGTTCATCCGAAACTCATCAACCCACATTTCTTTACCTTCAAGCTCCCTCTTGGTAGCGTTGCTGTCAGCGCTTGTCATCATTTTACAACATACTGCCGACAAGTTCTTTTATATTTGGTTTTCAGAGGGCCGAGTTACAATAATCCACCCCCACCCGTAACGCTGTGCTGCTGCTAGCTTAGCCTATAAACGACGTTTGTTCTGTTTGGCCAAACAAACGGGGACATCCCCGGGATCCGAGTCCTTTTTCTTCCACACACAGACGTCGAGGAACAAACGGCAGACGTTACCTCCAAAGCGGTGGGTAAGAGTCGTCCATGTATCCACTCGGCAACCTGGCACGACAATAATCTCAGCGGAGGGGAAGGTAAACAGGGACGTTTATCCACCCACGGCTCCACCGGAGAATCACGACTCAGTTTCTGTCAAATCGCATTCTCAACGCAGTCTTTTTTCTCTACTCGAGCAATTGATTGACGCGCGCAACGTCCAATCACAGAGCAGGTGAGCTCTGACGTAGCCAATCAAAAAACGCCAAAAATGATCGCAGTTAATGTGAATTTAACAGAGAAATCATTACCGAGAAACCAAAAGCTCACCTTGAACAAAAAACTGAATTTTTTTTGTATATACATAGTTAAAGAAGATCTCTAATAATTAATGCGAATTTATGGTTGACTGTTATGCTCTTGACTATATCACTCCCTGCAGGATAAAAGAAGCATTACAAAAGAAGTTTATTTTTTAATCAGTATTCAAGACAACGAAGGTGTACTCCGACGCTTCAACATAAAGTTTATTTAGGTATCCCAATAACTTAAAATGTTCCCAGAATGCCTCAGCATTGAATTAGTGTCCGGACATGACCTGTCAGTGCATGAATAACAGGTGCACCATTTACAAAAGCGGACAATTAGCAGATAGAAGGGAAAAAAGCAATTAACCCAAGCATAACAATACATGGTTATATTAAGAGGAAAGGATCTTGGAGGTATTATTCCAGGTGTCAGACCTTGATTTGTCTCTAGGTTTAGTTAGATATGATGTTGGTGCTTGTCTTTGTTTGAAAGATAACTTTGAAACATCTGACTGATGTTAGGGCTGGGTTAAAACAATAACGGTATATATCGTAAGTTAATTTGCCTCAATATCAATATAAAACACGGGCTGTGTCCGAAATGAATCACTCAAACCCCTAACCCCCATATGGGGTTTCACTATATAGCTGACTATGTAATGAGCTCAATCACCGGAGGTTTTGGACACTACACGGCAAGACGCAATGCATGACGGGATGCCCACCACTGGTGAGTGACCATCAGATGGTCACCACATTTTGCAATGCCCTATGGGAAATTTTGAGTCCCCTATATGGAGCACTGGAATTGATCCCTCAGGTTCTGGACACCCTTGAAATGGCGCTAACCCCCATATAGTCACCTATATAGGGGTTAGGGATCCATTTCAGACACAGCCATGGTCAATATCCTTTTTTGATAGTCAGCATTCTGCCATGTTTCGGTAGACAATCTGAATAGCCAATGAAAATAGGGGGTTGCTCCAGGTCTGCTTCGCACAGAACCAATCATGTGCTGAATTAGAACCAAGTAGCAAACAACTGCGTAGTAGCACATCGCCTTACGACAAAACGTCGAAGAGGCACGAAGACGTCACGGATGCAGTAGCTTATTGTATTGCAAGACATGCTACCAATCAGCACTGTTAAATTTCATTTTTTTATATCATGATATATATCGATTGATATGAAAAAATATATATATCGTGATAAACATTTTCCCATATCACCCAGCCCTAACTGATGTCAATCATGTCTAAATTTTATCATTTATAACAGTGGTGCTTACTGATTACCATAATATATTGCTAACAAATTATTTAAGCCAGAGCAGACCATATTAGTTGTGAAGTTATAAAACTCTCTGACCCAGTTCCTCAGGAAGTGATTTCAGTGAGTTAAGGGGGGATTTTTTTATATTACAACTACCAAAAAAGTCCAGAATTATCTTATATTGAAGCAATATTTCGCAAAACAATGAATTTTACAACAATGTTAATTAAAAACAAAGGACAATATCAGCCCACTAGATAAATAAGATGTTACACTTCAAACAGCAAGGCAGAATAAGATTTAACATTGCTATGAAAGCAGTGAAGACAAACTTTTCATGACAAATTGGTGCACAAATCATTGCTGGTATTGCCACACAAAATGTTCTTTTCTTCAAATACTAGAATATTACAGTCCGTTTTTTTCTTTTCTTTTTATTATCCCCCACACTGAGTCACAAGTATGAAATAAAAAAGTCACTATCTCTAGGTCTAACAATTTTAGGAGATATTTCATCTCAAATTCAAAACTGACTGTGAGGGGAGACCACCTACATCTCTAACTTGAATCATTCAGCCCAGATACAAACTGTTTTCAGCTGCTATTGGATTTAAGATGGCTCAAATTCTGTTAAGCGCACTCCCCAATAACATCTAAAACAACAAAGCTGGAAAAAGCAATTACATTATCTTGCCTTTCCCACTCAATGCAACAAGGTTTGATAAAAGAAAGAAGCAACAGATTTTTTTATAACCAAATGCGACCTTAATTGGAAAAGTTTTTCTTGCCTGAGTAGTTTAACAGACCCAACACTGTGCCGCTGAGAGAAGATGTCCCCAACCGTACATTTAGAGCACATCATGTTACAACTTCCATTCCATTGGATAGATCAGAGCAAGGTTTGGGCTAGGCTTTGAACAGATCAAGGGTGCACAAGGCTCAAAATAATATCAGAACACATTTAGATATAATTTCACATATTTGAAGTATTCAGGGGTGGCTTTTACTGAACAACCAACTGCTTGAAGTGCCTCCAATGGTTACAAGCAACATCAGCAAACCTCTCCTCAGGTTTCCTGCCTTATCCCTCAAATACAATTCAAGCACATATAACCTTGCTCAAAACTCATCTGCATAAAGTCAGAGTAAGAATATCAGTGCATTATCAGGGCAGTTTGATAATTTCAGATCGGCAATGATATTTTGACTCCCTCTATGCACATGAGCCCTGGTACAGATAAAGAAAGTAATGATCCCAGGATTCAGAAACTGTTACGATCCAACACGCGTTGTGGTTGTCTTCTTGTCGGAGAAGAAGCTTCTGAGCAGTACCACCTGACTGATGCTGACTACCAGAAGAATGATCGCCTCTCCGATGGACCAGAAAGCTACTCGGGTGTTGAGGTCCTCTGCACGACTGCGCCCCTGGGCCTCACGGAGGCGGAAATGGGTCTGGTAGTCAATGACAGATTTCAGGGCCTCGTGGATGGACACACATGCTGATTCCATCTAAAAATGGTATTGAGGTTACAGTTAGTGTAAAATACATGACTGCAGCTGTTAAGAAGAAGAAGAAGAACTTTACAGATCCCCGAAGGGAAATTCAATATTAATGGTTGGTAATAAACAAGGAACTGAAATGGACTTGAGTTATAATCATACATAAACTAAAAAGAAGAAAACAAGTTAGACTCTTGGAATCCTTTTTAGCTTTATGACTTGAAAGGTCTAATTCAATTGGAAAATGGGCAATGGCAGAAAAGATGAAAGCAGGAGATAGTAAAGTATGACAGAGGGCTCAGTTCATTTTGATCACTGCTACAAACACAAGGTTTGTGTTTTTGTTTTTGTAAAACTATTTTTCATTTCTTTTCCTGGAAGCAAAGAGTGAAAATAACAAACAGCACCCTGGCCTTGCAGAATATTTTAAGGTGATAAAACACACACCAACTGTAAGAACAAAAACTATCCGGGTTTAGGTGTTAAATGACACCTGAAGAGTTTCAACTAGGATGTCACTGTGTGTACACACTGTGTACATACACATCATGACAGCAAATGTATGTAAAGCTGAGCGCACCCGGGCAGGTATGTCAGTTATTACAGCGAGTTCAACTGCTTTTTAGGTCAGAATCGGGCGGAGCTGGGCTGGGGATTTGCAGAGGGTTCAAAAGCACAACAGATGGAAACTACAAAGGGGTTAGCTGCTTATAAGGCAAGGATACCTTCCTGTAAGAAAACACATCACCCCCGGTATAACCAGATACTGGAAAAAGAGTCTCAGACATTTTAGTCAGATATAACTTTAAGATAAATTTTAAGATCTCTAACAGGAGATTTACCTGATTTAACAGACAGAAAACATTATTTACATTTTGAACATGTTAACTTTAGTTGCCTTCCCACACACAAAGCTTACCTGAGTGAGAGCAGTGACCCTGTTTTCATTGGGAAACAGTGGAGGGTCATCACCGACCTGGAAGTCAAAGTAAACGGTCTTGTGTGTGAAGGTGGAGAACTCATTACTGAAGCAGAACTTGTAGGTGCCGTTCTTTGCTGCTGTGAAGGTAAAGCTGTCATATTGCTTCTTCATCTCCTTGTAGAGTGTGGTGCCTTCTGGGTCTTCCAAACGACAGTCCACATCATAATGGCCTCCTGTCACCACCTGGGAAACCATAGATACAAGAGGACTTCCATTCAGTTATTTAATTTTGATATTCAAATTATTTGAAGTTGTGTCACTTAGTACAGACAACTGCACAGGTGTAGATAGTATTGACATTTTTTGACACAATCATAACCACCTTTGATGAAAGTCTGAGGCTTATTCAAATTGAAGTCATACTCATGTTTAAAAACAATGAAATTGACTAAGTGCTGTAAGACACAATAAAATCTATTTAAAGATTTAAAGGTTTTATTGAAACTCAGCTATTGCTCATCACCAGCAAAGATGCAACATAAAGGGAACCACGTGAGATCAGCCCTTTTTAAGTGTATGCATTTTAATACTGTTTCTGTTGCATTTAGATTGTGGGGTGGGAATGAGGGGTTGGGTTACATGTTGTATATAAAAGGCGCTATATACTCAACTCAACTTAACTTTATTTATTTGTTAAGCACTTTAACAACCACAGCTGAACAAAGTGCTGTACATAAATCTACACAATAATGCAAACATAAAAAAACAATCAAAAAACAATTAAAATAATGGATAAAATAAAAGCAAATATTAAAAAGTAAAATACAGTTTCAATGTTTTTAAAAACTAATTTAAAACATAGAAACAAATAAACTAAAAACAAACCATAAAACACTAAAACAGGAGCTTCGTGCAGGGTTGAAAGCCAATAAATAAAAATGGGTTTTAAGACGAGTTTTAAAAATGGACAGTGTGGGGGCTTGTCTGATTTGGAAGGGTAGCTCGTTCCATAATTTTGGGGCCGCAACAGAAAAAAGATCTATCCCCTCTGAGCTTCAGTTTGGACCTCGATACCTCCAGGAGCAGCTGATCAGCTGACCTGAGGCACAGAGCATGGGTGTAGGGGTGGAGAAGCTCAGAGAGGTAAAATGGAGCCAGACCATTTAAAGATTTAAAAACAGATAAAAGAATCTTCAGATGAACTCTAAAATAATATAAATACAGACTGATTGATTGATTGTGATTTCAGTTATTGAATGTGGAAAATCCTGGTGTAAAGGACACATTTAAGTGTTCATTTAACTTTGACTATTATTTATAAAAGGAAAATAAATCAATAATAAAACAAAATTACAAAAAGCTATGTCAAGACTTGAAATACTCATCTTAAAGCCCATGATGGTTTATGTTAGTCTTGACAGTATAGCTGCCTAAAATGACCATTTCCAATTATTTGATGAGGCATAGTGTCATGATGTAGCTCATACCTGAAACTCCAGAGTACACTTGGTGCCCATGATGATGTCCTCGTAGAAACATTGCTTTGCGTTGTCTGGCAGTTCAAAAGTCAGCTCCGAGCCCAGAACCCACCCACAGAGCAGCTGGGCCCACAGCACCTTCATCAACACCCGCACCGATCCGTACATCTTCAGAGCCAAGATTCACACCACAAACCTGCGAGAGGACCTGTCAGAACAAACAGGAGAAGACTTTTGACTGAAATTATTACCATCTGTATCAGAAATACACTAAAAGAGACAAAGCATACCCGGACATCAACATGAACGACCATTATTAGCTTAAGCTAACTACATAGCTGGTTGCTCTTTCCATTTAGAAAACTTAACTGCTTTGGTTATTTTCACATTTGTCTTTAGGCATTGAATCAATTTATTACAGTAGAAATTTTATAATTGGAGTTAAGGTAAATCCAAACAATAATATTTGTCAAATTGTTATATTGTCTCAGTCAGCATTAGCTTACGTTTCTTACCTCGGTATGCTCACCCGGATGCGACTAATGCTACGTAACCTGTTACAAGCGTATCACGACATTGGTTGTCATCCAAAAAAAGCCCGCCCTTCAGTCTCTCCTATTGGTCAAAAAAGAAGAAGGGGCGCGGCTGATGGCTCAACTTAATCTGCGTCCACAGCGTCTCTTACGCTCCTCACTCCAACGTGGCTGATTTTAACATGTCTTGGTTGGAATTAATGCTGCGCCAGACAATCGTGGTGTGGATCAATTGATAAAACAACATAGATTTATGTCGAGGCTCTTAGATATCTTTGTTATCAACTTTGTTGTTAATCTGTACAAAACCTTACAACTAATCCATTCGTGAATGAAGCAGGATTATTATTATTATTATTATTATTTTCTATATTTAAATACACTAATCACTAAACGAGAGACTAGTACAGGCTCAATCAATCCAATCCAGTCCACTTTATTTATATTACACATAATAAAAAACATTCAAGTTTACCAAAGTGCTGCACAATAAAATAAAAAGAACAAACACTGCGTAAAACACCAAGATGGATTAAATAAAAGCAGGTAATGAAATAAGATACATGAAATAAAAACACAAAAGCATAAAAGAAATAAAAGTGATAAAAGGACCATAAAAAGACATGAAAGGACAGAGATCACACAACTCTCATGCTGAGATTAAAGCCAAGGAATAAAAATGAGTTTTAAGAGAGAAATGTTTGAAATGAACTGAGTCAAACTCTAGACTTTGCAACACAATGAATCCTTTATTGACACTTAAAGACTAAGATGCACGCACTCAAAGGGAAGACCAGCCCTCATAATGAAGGATTGTGGTTTGTTGTTTATGACTTCCTTCACTGACTACCACTTGGAAGAGAGGATAGAGCTCACTGTCCTGATGTGTTTAAGCTTCTTTCTGTTTGTGCCTTACATGCCCTTTTTCCACAGATCACTACCTGGAAATGATGGTCTAGTTTAGGAAAGCACCTGGTGTACCTGACCCCTTTAACTTTAGCTATGTTGACAACTGGTGGCTCGATAAAAATTAACAATGAAAATATTTAAATTTCAGTCACATTGAAAGCGGTTTCTTTTTTTCGGTTAGTGTGCCCCTCTACAAACTGATCATCAACCAGGCTCAGTAAGAACCAGGGGAGGAACACTTAACACTTCTTTAGCCACAGCATGAGACATGGCGTTTTTTTCTTTTGATGTTGTTGTTGCTGCCTTTTTCTTTTTTATTAATTTGTTTGCTTACTTTTCTTGTTTTGTTTCTTTGTAATGTGCTTGTCTGATTCTGTGCTCTTTATTTGTTGGTATATATATATGTTTATTTTATTTTATTTATTTTTTGTCTTTTCTTTTTCTTTCTGTTCTGTGTCCCTGTGGCGTGATGGGGAGGGTAGGAAATTATATGGTTAAAAGAAAAAAGAAAGCAGACTGGTTGTTGGTTGTTATATCAATGTGGAATAAAAAATATATGTTTTAAGAAAAAAGAACAGGATAAACATCTTATTCTAGGACAGTAAATAAGTCGAGTGAAGAAAACAGTTTTCGCGCATTTTTGTTTTTCATGTAGTTCAAAGATTTTTTGTATATTCTGAGTTCATTTAACCATCCATTGAAGTGGGGCTTCATTTTGAGGTACTTACATCTGTGAATGAAATGTTTGCCGAGTGTAATTAAAATGTTCACCATAAAGTTCTTTTCCTTTAACTGTAGTCCAATCTTGATTGACATCCAGTTTAATGGGAGCAAAATAATTTGTTTAGATAACGACCAATTTTTAAATAATGTCCAAAAGTCTACAACATGCTCACATTCAAAGAAAATATGTTCTACTTTTTCAATGTCAATTTACGATTGGTCTATATATATCTATTATTCCACAAGGGTGAGTTGTGAGGAGTAAAAATTTGCTTATACATTAAATTCTAGTAAAGGATTGAGACATGAATCGCATACTTCCATACTACATACTTAAAATTTTGAGTGTACTCAACAAATTTGAGTATGCAAAAGCACCCGGATGACGTGGTACTCATATCGGTCAAGATTTTCAGTATGCGACTCTGGACACTCACCCACACTCATTTCATCTGTAAGAATGGCTGCGGAAAGCTAAGGTGCCAGTGGGTCGGCGACAGTCGGCCTAGGAGCTTTGTACAGATGTAAGTAATAAGTTGCCTTTATATTTTATAATATTTTATATATTGTATAAAATATATTTTAAAAGTAGTTTTGTTGTAAATGGTTTTTTTTTCCAGTTTTCAATGCTTATTTGTAAATATTTCATCTTTAGTTACCGAGTTCCAAATGTTAAATATGTAAATTGTGTATCTTGAGTTTTCTTGTTCTATTTTTTTTAATATGTAAATAGTTTGTTATTTTTCTGTTATGCACAATAAATGTTTAGACATGAGGCAAATCACGTCGTCATTTCAGGTGAGTGCGCCGAATGGCAGTGTGCGACAACACTGCACACTTGAAACTTGAAACTTCAAAAATCAAAGTATGTAGTATGAAAGTATGCGATTTGGGACCGATCAATGGTGTTGGTGAGACTCAATGCTAAGGTTTGAGAGACAAACTCGCAGAGCGCATACAATTGCGATGAACTCAGTGCACTCTTGTACATGATGCGCGCTCACTGCGTCTTCTTGATTGTTGTGAATACACGCCTGACCCAAAAACAGAGTCTCGCGTGAAGTAGTCGGTGCGAGATTACAGATTGGGGAGGGCTGCATGGAGAGCTGGAGAGACAAAACAAAAGCCACACATTTCAACCAACAGGCGCTGGTCGCTTTTTATTATTTTTGATCAACCAAAGGAAATTGGATTCTTTATTCGAATCTCTAACTGTTTAACAGCAATATTTCCAAGAGTTTATATCATGCCTAGTAGCACGTCTTTGCTGGAGGCCGACGAGGGAGAGTCCGAGGTCCCACCGCCACTAGTGCACGCTTTCGCCGGTATGGGCCTTGAGGAGCACCACGGCACCCAGACCCAAACTCCCGAACAACCAGATGAGAGCCTCTCCTTTCACCACCACCAACAACAACTTCCTCCCGTTTCCCATTTCAGTCTCCTCGGTACCGTCCTAGACTTGAAGCCCCTACCCCTGCATCGGCCGCCATCGGGAGATGAAGCGAACATAGCGGCAGCGCCCGAAGACGGAGAGCTAGAAGTTGTAGCCTCCACCGAGTCGGGTTGCAAATCTGGCTCATTTCTAGCGCAGGCCCACCGCCCCCAACATCTCCCATCGGGGCCTGGTGGCTCCATTATACCGTCCGGGATGGAACCGCAGCACATCGAGACGGTGTTACTCTACAACGGAGACGAGCGGGATGATACCGGAGTGAATGGCGGCGGCTCTCTGGCACCGGGTAGCATGCTGCCGTCCGGCGTGTACGGGGAACCGGGCTTTGAGGCCGAACCATCGCTCTTGGCTCGGCGAAAGAGCGTCAACACGACGGAGTGTGTGGCCGTGCCGAGCTCCGAGCACGTCGCGGAGATCGTGGGCAGGCAGGGTGAGTCGATGTTGTCTTTCTCTCGGTGTGGGTTTAGGACAATAAAGCTAACTGATGCTAAACTGCTAATGAGAGTTTGGACGAAACTTGGTGAAGAGAAGGAAGCGGTATCGATGACTAAATCACTGTGTACTCTTTGTTTGGGACAAAAGTAATGGACGTATAATTATGCAGTTAAACAGTTTACAGAAATGTGGGGTAACGATAATGATAAATAAAAATGTGGTTACTTTTTCAGAACAGAAGGGTGGCCTTACATATCAAGAGTATTGAACCAGGTGTTTTTTTTTTAGAATTTAAGATTTTTAATTTCCTTACATAGATTTAAAATTTGTCTTATTCTGTGTGCTTTTAACTCCAAACGTCAAAAATTACAACAAACATCCAGCTCCAACAGTGTTCGTTAGCTTGAATCTAGCTAGCTTAGCACTCCTCTAAGTGGGTCATCATCACCCTCGCCCAACACTCTCTTAAAAGTTTACATCACAAGTTTTATCCAACTGCACTTTTCCCTCTCCAAGTCGTCTCCCTTTGACAATAAATTCGTATTAAAAAGATGTGTTTGGGTGTCGCAGACTTAGAGCCAGCACTGAGCCCTGCTTTGTCGAGCTAAAGCAGGCTTGTCTTTGTCTCTGAGGAGACCATGAAGAGCGGTGTGTGTGCTGGTCTCCATTGCTTTGCCACATCAGCTGTGGGTTATAGTTAGCTCTGTGACATAACCAAGACATCTGGGTTCCGCTCAAAATGACAGACTTTTCTATGTTGTCAAACGCCTTGATTATTTCTTTTCTTCCACGTGAAGTTAACACAGCTCAAAGGTAAAGGTTTGGGAGTGTTGTTATGTCGTATATGAAAGCAGTTGGGGGAGGGTGCACAGACTGCAGTGTTGACAACAACAGGAAATGGCTCTGGTAATGATGCTGGACTCTCAACCACAGCTAAAGGGAATATTTAATTTATGAGCTATGCAACTTTTAAATGGCATTAGGGACTGGAGGCTGAAACAGCTTGTGCAGTGATCTTTTATTAGGTCAACGTAGGGATAAAAAAGTTTTATGTTGTATCTTTGTAATTCAATCTGAAACATGGATAGTCTAACTTTTTTTCTTCTTTGTAGGCTGTAAGATCAAGGCACTACGAGCCAAGACCAACACCTACATTAAGACACCGGTCAGAGGGGAGCAGCCCGTCTTTGTTGTGACTGGTCGCAAAGAAGATGTGGCCATGGCAAAGAGGGAGATCCTGTCAGCAGCCGAGCATTTCTCCCTCATTAGAGCCTCACGGAACAAGACTGGCCCTCTGTCTGCTGTGACTGGTCCTGGGACCCCTGCTCTTCCTGGACAGACAACCATTCAGGTCAGTAAGCACGTGATAATGAGTCAATGTGTTGAAGATATAACACACACACACACATCCTGGTGCAATGAGTCACATAAAGAGTTGTTATTTTAAGTGTTGAGAATGTTTTCTGTCCAAAGGAACTTTTGTGATGTTTGATTTTTTTGTTGTGTTAAGCACTGTTAAGTCACCATTTATTCTTTTAACCCTACAGGTGCGGGTACCATATCGTGTTGTAGGGTTGGTTGTGGGTCCTAAAGGTGGGTCTTGTTTCTTTTCCATATCAAGATAGTCATTGTTTAAGGCAAAACAGTAGTTTATTGTGATTCTAACTTACAAATGAACCGTGTTATTGTGTTAATTAACTTGCATTGTCCTCTGTTTTTATTATTTTTTGAATTTATACCAAACAGTGAACCTTGTATGCTTTTAGGTCTGAAAAAGAGTGTTCGTATGTTCTGCTCCAGTAGCCTTCATTTTGCTGCCACTGTGTCTTCAACCCCTTGCCCTGTTGACATTACCACCTCAGTGTCAGAGAGCCCTGGGGTTGATTTGTAAATTGAAATGTAGTGCTTCTCAGCCATGTGCCACCAGGCTGGAGAGAAAGACAAGACCTCAGGTTTGACAAGTGAAGGAAACTTTGTGTTGGACACAGATGAAAAATGCAAAAGTTTCAAAAATTTGCAAATAACTTAAACCCTTTTATTTATTGGTAAACATTATAAATTCAGTGAACAAGTCAAGAAAAATTAAAAACTATGTTCACATTTTGAATTTGATGCAAGAAACCCTTGGTAAAAGAAGTTCTCTCTATTTGTTGCAACACCTCATTTATACAACATACTTCAAATGCTTTGGAAAAAGATGAGACCAATTTTTAAGAGTTTTGAAAGAGATGTTGAAATCCATGGTTGGATTTCAGCTGCCTGGCAGTTTGGGCTCTCTTTTGTCATATTTCTCCTGGTCTTGATAAACCAAATACTGCAGGCCAGTAACCTGACTGTTCTTTGAGGCCATACTGTTGTGACTGGTGCAAAATGTAGTTTTGGCATCTTTAGGCTGTACTATGCAGAGTCTCCCCCCCAAAATGCAACATCTGGATGGCAACATGTTTCTCAAAACCTTTATCTTTTGTTCAGGATTTAAAGTTTGGACTCTGGACATGGATGAAATTGTGGCTTTCAAACTTTGCCCTGAAAACAAGCTGGGTGGTTGCTTTATTCTTCTGAACTAAGAACATACATCCATGACTCCCCAAAACTCTGTCAGATTTGGATTTGTCTGTCCTCAGAACAGTTTCCACTTTTTCTCAGTCCAGCTTAAATGAGCGCAGACATTTCTAGATCAAGTTTGAATACAGCGTCATTTTTTCATGATGCAGTTTTAATCCACATTTGTAGATGTATCAATGAATCGTTTATACAGACAATGGTTTTGGGAGTGATTTTGAGCCCATTACTGGATTTCCACTTCAGATTTATGTCTGTTTTATCACAGCGCTGCCTAGGGGCCCCCTTTTTATACCCTTTCGTGTTACTTACCTGCTGTTAATTAATTGGAAAGTAGCCTTACTTTTATAGCGTTTATTGTTCCCGCCCCTCCTTCCTTTTGAAATGAGTTGCTGGCATCAAAATAAAAAGGAGCATACACATCCCATCAAATCAATATACATTTTCTGTTTAGTTTGAACATTTGTTACATTGTCTATAAAATAAATGGGTTTAAATCTGTTTTTTTTATCAGCTCTTTATTGATAACTGTGAATATTTTCGAATCGGTGTTGTTTAAAGTGAATGTAAACATCTGTCCGTTTTTACAGTTTAATGTTACATTGAAAATGGTTTCCACACCAGAGTGAAACAGCCTGCTGGTTGAGTGGTGTGTGCTTTAGCCAGATGAGTCACCGAGACAACCTGCAAATCATTTCTATAATTACTGCACAGCTGTGTTCAATCTATTTCTAATGCTGGGTGAAAAATAAGAGTAATTACTGAACACATTATCGTTAATATGGCAGCGCAGCCTTTTAGCAGAACTTGTCTTTGGATAATCTGTCAGTTACTAACAATGAGGTCAAGTTTGAGCTTAAAGCCCCATTAAAGCATGCCTCGTTTTTCTGTTTTCTTGTGTTAATGTATGAAGTGCCGTTTATACCTTCTGGACTATTGATTTTGTCTTCAATTGTCACTGTTAATGCAGCTTCTTTTGGGTGTCGTGTGAACACTCTTGAAAAAGTCGGACATTTTTTTGTGTGGATCTAAATTTAGCCCTGAACTCTTGACATTCATGTTAGCATTTAGCCAGAGCTTTTATTCTGTGTTATGCTGAGTTGGTCAGTCAAACAAAAGGGTCACTGGTCTGGTTATGTCTTTCAGGTGCGACCATCAAGCGTATACAACAGCAGACCCACACCTACATTGTGACACCAAGTCGTGACAAAGAGCCGGTGTTTGAGGTCACTGGGATGCCCGAGAACGTCGACCGTGCAAGGGATGAGATCGAGGCACACATCGCCCTTCGCACGGGAACCTGCGGAGGCATTGAGGCTCCTGGTGTGGATAACAATGACTTTCAATTCAATGGGACTGACGTCAGCTTTGAGAGCTCCGCTACGCTGGCTGGGCTGGGTGAGGCTGGATGGCTCCACGCTGGTGCATCATCACCAGGTGGTGCTGGTGGCGGTCTGCTACCACTGAGCATCAACGGTACTCCACGAGTCAATAGCAATATCAACAGCGGTGTCAGAATGTCTTCCACCTACCGTAACGACAGCTCCAGTTCCCTGGGCAGCGGCTCCAGCTCGGCTGATTCTTTCTACGGCAGTGGGAATGCCAACCGGATGGCTGATTTTAGCCCGACCTGTCCATTCAATGCCAACGCCAACAACAACAACAACAGTAACGGCAGTGCCAGCTTCTGGTTTGGTGAGAGCCTTCTCCCCGTGGGGTCAGAGGAGCTTGTCAGCCTGGGAGGTGGAGGTCCCTCCTCAGGATTTGACCCGTTAACCATCTCCACTGCCCAAGCATCGCACCCTGCTGCACAGCCACAAATCTGGAGCCCTTTTGTGGACCAACAGCCCCCCCAGACTTTTGATGCTCGTCAGTCTCAGGTAAGAAAATCAAACAGAGTGTATAGTTTATTGTCCTTTCCATACAGAGATAAAAAAAGTATCACTCAATGTATTTAACAGCTTTTTATTTTTTCATTCAGTGATGGCAGAACTCTAACAACTGTTGTCTTGACTGTCTCCAGACCAGTCAGCCTGGGACGCCCCGCCTCTCTCCAACCTTCTCCGGGACAGAAGCCCTGGAGCACCCTCAGGCGCAGCGTGTTCACCGGGGGGCTTTCGGCTTGGCAGGGACCCTCGACACCCACAGGTTCCCCTCCTACAGCTCGGCCTTCTCCTCTTCCAGTGAAAGCACCGCCTCCTCCTCTTCCCCTCCCGAACCCTCCCTCTCCTATAGAGCGGGTCTGGGATCAGCAGGGAGAGCACAGGAAGTGTGTATCCACTGTATGGATAACCAGGTAGTCGCCGCCCTGGTTCCCTGCGGCCACAACCTCTTCTGTCTTGATTGTGCCACCCACATATGCCAGGGTCCAGACGCTGTTTGCCCTGTGTGCCTGTCCCCGGTCACACAGGCCATTCAGCTCCGCAACATGTGAGTTCGATCCATTTAACCTTCAACGGCTGATGCGGGGTCAGCCACCCAAACACTTCCAACTTCGAAATAGTCTGAGGTATTTACAAAACTGACCCCATATCAGTGTCTCGGTGTTTCCTCGTTCCCGGTTTGTCCAGACAGGTGTTTTGTTGGCAAATATGGGGAAGAATAAGTGAATAAGGAATGATGTGTATTTCAGGCATGGGTTAGGGTCTTCAGCCTATTCATGTGCCTGTTATTGTGAAGTCTTCTTCCTGGGTTGATTGATTGGTTGATCAATGGGAGGGTTGGAAACCCTCTGTGTAGCATTGGGGGGAGGGAGGGGATATAGATATATATAATTTTTGCTCATCGTGATTACTGATTTACACTTTTTTTCCTCCCCAAAACATCGAGTTATATTTTTGCCAACCTGTATTTTATTAAAATTTTAAATGTACTTTGAATTTTATTAGATACACAATGTTGGCTTTTATGTCAGTTGTGTTTCTCGTTTGCATCACAAATCCATCTTATCCGTTTTTAATTTTTTTAAGATTTTTATTTTTTTGCTGCTGGATTTGTTTTTTGTTCCGAAATACGGCCCAGCCCTCTGCCTCTCGATTATTGTGCCCACACAAAGAGAAGAGCATGTTTACATATAGTGAGTTCTTTCTACCAGTATGTATGAATAGTATTCTCCTGGTTTGGAATTTGAATGCCTACTCTAGTTAACTGGATATAACTTACAAATGCCATATTATCAGGCGACTTTATCCCACAGAATTTGTATAGATTATAAAGAGGCTGGCGAAGTGTCGAACAGAATCTGATGCTCCAGCTCATAAAACAGAACATATGTGTACCTCTGATATTAATCACATTTTGGTACACCCCCCCCACCAGAGAGTCAAAATGTAAAGTTGCGACCTCTCATTGTCTCAAGTTTCTTTTAATCAGATCAGAAAAAAAGGTGTAACTCCAGGATGTTACACTTGTTCAGTATCGCCACGTTGCTTTCCATTTCTACTTTAAAAAAAAAAGTGTTTACGGTAAACTTGTGCCTGATTCTGTTTGGAGTAAACAAAAAGGAAAGACCGAGTCCAGTTGACTCACAGTGTTGCTCCGTCTTAAAACAAACTTGTGGCCTTCATGAAAGCCTATAATTTACTGACAACACTATCTACAAATCCTGAATTTAGCTCTAAAGAACACAAACTGACAGACTGAGGTCTTAATGACGAAGTGAAGTCTTTTGAATACACCTTGACGGATCAAAGATGATATAACACACAGATGATTTCTTTTGCTTCCATAATTCTGAGCCTTTGGCAGGTATCTACCTATTGCTTTATCTTAGCACCAAACACTTCCATTTAGCCTATTTTGTTCGAAATTCTTCCCCTTCTTCACTTTCCCCCCTTTTTTTTATATCTTAGTCCTTGTTTGGGAAGCCCGTGCTGGTTCTCGGTTTGAAAGATAAGCACAGCTCCTACATTTGGTAACATTCCTTCTCCCCTGAATTGTAGACACTTTAGTAAAGTCGATGAAAAGTTAGACCTCACCTGGGAGTCAAAAAGAGCTGAAATTCATATGATGAAAGACAGCTGTAACCTGGAACAAAAAAGCCGTACTGTAAAGGCGGCCTGCTGACATATAAGACATCTCAACAGTATCCTACATTTCACTTGAATGTTCTTGAACGTGTACTGCTCCACCCTGTGGCCGTCATATCAAAGCCATTTTCTCCTCTGTGAAGAAGCAGGGAACAGAATAACTCCATAACTTAATTTCTCGTCCTGTCTACCAGGCCTATGCAAAAATGGTCTCCGTTTGTTAATTCCTCTAGGAAGCACTAGATGTAACTAAACTCCTTGGGTTTTCATTGCAGAGCTCAAACAATGTTGGTCTTAAAATGGGAGACAGGCATATTCCTTTCGCTTTTTCTACATTTCAGACTTTTTAACCTGCTTTAATACACAAATAAGAGGTTTTCATGGTACACACTTTGCTTTTCATGTTTTACCATCTGGATTTGATTTTTTTTTTCCTGGATTTTTCCTTTCTCTCTTATCTCATTCATGACTTGATGGGACTGCAAAAACATTTAAGGTTTGATTTTCCTCCCCTTCTGTCTGTTCCTCTACCTGGAAATTTTAAGAAAAGGGTACAAATTGGTGGAAATCATCTCAAAACGTTAGCTTTAAACACCAGTGTCTCTGGACTTTGTTTTGACAGGAATAAATGAGTTGACAGGACATTTTTGAAGGGGATGATCTCAGATTGGATTGTGCTGACACTACACAAGGTCATACTGTTTCTTTACTGCATGGACATGAAACCCCCAGTCCCTCCAGCATTCCAGCTGTGAACAGTATTTGGGAGTTGTTTTTTTCCATCGCTTCGCTCTGTTTCCTCCACTTTCGTTCGAGTTTTCTCAAGGAAATGGAACCAAACGAATCTCAGAAGTGCAAAAAACCCCACACCTGCTTTTGCCCTCTCTGGTCTTCTCTCCGTCCTTTTTCATTTGACTTCTCCGCTCCGAGACGGTCAATGTTTCTTTGCTCTCTTTCTAAGGAAATGCAATATGCTGTCGGCCCTCACTTTATTGACATGAATCTATAGACATTTTTGTGTATGTATTATTACTGTTAATGACTGATGAATATACAGAACTTATTTTTATTTTGTTACATTTCATATATATACATAAATATATATCTATATTAAAATGTTTACAATAAGATTTCTAATTTTTTTTACTTTACTCTGAGTGAATGAAGAGTTGGACACCCAGAAATGTTGCAGGAGGAAGTCAGTGCTTTCTGCTTGTAGTCTAGTTATTAGTTTACAGTATTGATGATAATAGTATTGATAGCTGCCGTTTAACTTAGTGGAAAATGGAATGTGCATCACAAGCATGTCTTCATAATGTACCGCCAATGTAAAACGTCACACTGCAACTGTAAAAAGGCCAGGGATTCAAGCTGCCTGTCATGTCTGTACGCCACCAAATTAGAACGGTATACTGTAAAATGTATCTTAGATTATCTATATATAAATTCATATATTGTTAAGCTGTACCAACAGTTCAAAGTATTTGCTAATTTTACTACAGTTTTGTTATGTATATGTAGGGGGAGTCTTATGGCATATAAATTCTTCAAATTGAGTCAGGAGTTTAAAAGCAGACTATATTTTATAACGGCCTTTTAAGTTATTGCGGCCAAAGCACTGATATTATATATTTGCTGTAAAGAGAATTTAAGAGTTTTATTTTTCTGATATTAAAGTTACTTAATAAAGACGGTTTCATTTAAAGCCATGTTTGACTCCTGTGGTTGATTTATGTGACATTGTGTTTGTCGTGTTTCTGCTTTCGGCAACAGGGAGACGGTTTGTGCAAATTTCCCAAATAAAACAATTCTCCTTTTCTTATTCTGACATGTTTCATGAACACACACAAATAACGCTTTTCATCAGATACACAAGCTTGTGACGTAAATGTGATGTTTGCCACCATTTAAAAACTCATTAAGAGTACTAAAAACTAGTGATGAAAAAGGGACCCTGCCTTTAATCGTGGTTCTATTAAAGGTTATAATGTCACGGTGGCTAACATGTACCTCTTAAAATTACTGAATCTGGGTTTGGCTTGAAAAGTTGAACAAGGCACTGCACTCAGCGTGGTTTTTCATGTCATTTCTCCTCTGACAGTGTTCATTCTCAACTTCACAAATGACTAAGACTGCTACAAAGACGTACTTGTGTTGAGTTTGGGCAAATATTAAACGTGTGTTTTTATTCCTGCACTCTGCAGCCCAAATCCACACAGTGCAGCCAGATTTTGTGCCTATTTCGCCACGGCAACTCCTTAAAATGAAATTAAATCTATCAGCATGAGTGGTCTGTTTGTGCCAGTATACAGAGTGTGATTGAAAGATTTAAATCATTTCACCGTCACATAAAACATGTTAAGTACGCATAATTGGGCTAGTGGAGGATAGCAGTTGAATGGTAGAGAGCTGGCAACACTGCATGTCTATGACTGTCACTGTGATTCAGCCACTAAAAGCCCAGCTCATTCAGCTTTTAATAACGTGGTTGACATCATTTTTACAAAGATTGTAGGTGGTAGAGCTCTGCTGAAATGAAGGCCATTTTACAGAATTGATGACTTTTCACAGAATGAAAGCCACAGATATCCCCTAGAGCTGTGACAGTGTGCCAGGATTCACAATACGAAGACCCTGTTACTGATGGAGCTTAATGGGATTCAGCCATCAGAAGTGCTGTCTGCACCTGTACCTATTCTCACATGAAGTGGACGATAATACAGTATAGATACAGTAAGGTCTGACCCGGTAATGTGATTGAATAATAGGGAATCTATGAGCTAGAACACAAAGCAAAGCATCTGTGGGACTTTATTATGTGTACACCTGCGCTTGGTATATTAAATAATGTTGAAACTGTTGTTACCTGGACTTACTATCACAACGCTGGTCTTTATCCATAAGGCTGATCATCAATGCATCTGGTAAAAAAGTAATATACAGTATGTGCACATGCAGTTCTCATCTCTTTTTATTATAAGTATGAATGGATGAATACAGGTAATATACAGTAAGGAATGTTTGTGTACCAAATATACAGTGCCCCCTATTACACACCCCCTATTAAAAGTAATTTATGACTCAATTTCATCTTATGTTACTTTGTTTTTAGATTTTAAACCTCAAGTGTTTCCTTACCTTGAATTTTAAAATGGTGTTTCCTCAGTGCGCACATTCTTGAACTGAGCCCTTTTTAAGTTCATGCATTTTAATACACATTTCTATTGATCTTAGATTGTGGGGTGGGATTTAGGGGTTGGGTTGGGGTAGATTAGGTTTTTCTTTTTCTTTTATTTCTCTGCTATGTAAAGCACTTTGTGCTACATCTTTTTTGAATGAAAAGGGCTGTATAAAGAAAGACTGACTGATTGAATATCTAGATGAGCAAAAGTACAATTTCCAAAGTTGTGAAAAAGCTGAGTTTAACAAAACATTGTATTTACCATAAGATGAAAATAAGGGTGATATGGTAACTAAAATTTAGCTTTGCTCCCAGAACTTTAATTGAGGTGTACTCAATTTTGCATCCTGACATTAAATTGAAAAATAAAAAAAACTTTTTTTGTATGCAACTTCAAAAATCTTGTTTGCAATCAATGGCCTACATCTGGGGGAGTAACTTGTTGTATGGTCTGACATAGAAAATGTTGATTTTTAAAAGAAACTAAAGCTTTTCTGACTACTCTGAAGGGATGTACTCATTTATACTGAGCACTATAAGTACAGTGATCAAGAAGTACTGATATTTAGTCCAACAGAGAGATTCTGCTTCACTGTGTTCATTTTAAAGCTCCAATCAGGAGTTTTTTTTAAGGTTCGTTAAATAGACTGAAATTCCTTTTGATGCCTTTTCATGAGATCTGAAAGCAAACTAGACTGATGGTTTTAATATCCTAATTTTTAAACAGGTGCCGGGGGTAGGTGTCAGCTGAGCAGCTACAGAGGTAGCTTTATTTGTCAAATTTCTGCATAAAATATTCACAAAAAATTAAACATTTGAGAGTCAAAAGTAAGCAGGATGAGATTATTTGAAGCAAATACTGCTTTGTCTACAAACTAGAGAGTGCCTCACAGGAGCTTAAGGTATAAGAATAAACGTGTTAACTGTTTTGTAATTACATGTCAAATATCGACTTGTGAATGTTGGATGCAGTTCTTCATGTTTAACCACCAACCGTTAGTTGAAGAAGTTACACTCCTGTAAAAATAAGCAGGTCACACTTAGAGAATACAACTCCATGTTTAATATCAGACTCTCACATAAGAAATACAGGTAAAATTTATATCTGCAATCTGCCATAGTAGTCAACAACAGCCCTTCTGAGCTGTGTCTTTAGGCTTCTACAATAACTGCAAGTAATATAAAAAACATCTGTTCACTTTCGAGCACAAAAGAATATAACAGATAACGTCTCCAGCATCATTTCTTTCAGTAACATAGGACCATAAAATATCCTGCTTCCTGCCGTTTGATCATTGAATGCTTACTTCTGTCAATAAATCCCAAAGTGGACTCTCTTAATCCCTGATGTAGGGCAGACTTTTTCAATCAAATGGTACTCTAATAAAAGTGGAAAAAAAAAATCAGAGAGGACCAATGAAGAAGCAGTTGGGTAAGTAAGAGGGTCAGTCGTCTGAAATGACCCCGAATTTTACCTCAAGTTTGATGAACCACCATGACATTTTTGTACGAAACACAACACGTCCAGAGGCAGAAAAGGAATCTGCTGTGTGGCAATTTGATGTGAAAAAAAGAAGAAGCATAAAAGATGTTAGGAAACTAATCAATATGTGTTCCGTCAAAAAAAAAAGCCTGTAAAACCAGAGAAACCGAATGTATTACATGCAGCTGGGTTAGAGGAGAGGAGACGGAGGAGGGGAGGTTGTGCTCTGATCAAATCATTCATGTCAAACATGCTTTTTATACTCGTAGGACTGCACATAAATAACTGAAGTTTTCAGACACTTTTATTTCCAGTGGAAAAGTCGAATTCTTTCAGAACCTTTAGTAAAATTTTGAGTGGATCAGTTATTTCTGTGCAGCCTCTGTTGCCCTGATATATCAGCAACACAACACACCATCAGACCACATGTCCCCGTGTAAAGCAGGGTAAGTGAAGTTCTCTATGTGAAAACAAGAGCGATGGATACAAGGGTCTATCTGCCTTTAAAATTCATGCAAACACTGACATGCTTTTCAAAATCAGTTATTTACACAGATTAAAGGGGGAGAGACGGCATCAAAAAGAAAAAAAAAAAAACATTACAGATGTGTGTAAATGCCTCGAGAGAGTCTAATCTGGTTTTAAAAAGGTGGCTTTAGTGTTACATATGTTTTTAACACAAATGCATCACAATGTGTCCTCTGCTCAAAAACCTACACAAAAAACACAGCCTTTACTTTTTCATTCCCTTATTCATATCGCAGGAAGACCACCTCAAAATAAGTTTTCGAATTACAAACGAGAAAAAAAGTAAAGTGCTACAAATATCATAAAATTCAGTTCTTAAAAGTAACAAAATAAAACCATGAAAATATATCAATGCTGGGATACTGTCAATTTTCATACCTCTGTCAGTAAACTATACACAACAATACACCTGGATCAAGTAGTATATAAGAGGGCTGCAAGTCATAAGATATTTCAACACTATGATTGATGTTGTTGGGTATGCTTGAGATAAAAATCTATTGAATTAAAATGGATAAACATGTCCTTTATTTTCACTGAGTATGTCGGGGATTTTGGTTCGCCAGAAGATCAACCAACCCTGTTACACTTTTTCTATAACAGTCACATCTCAGACTCCTAATATCAATTGCCCGTACCTTCCCTGTTTTCTTACTTTAATCTGGATTAATCACAGCTGTTTCCTCTAATGCTCTCAGGTAAAGTAAGGAAAGTCAGGAAGCTCACAAGAGGCTTCCTAAGATACACGGCATAAAACAGGACGCCCCTTCAAACTGTAATAGCTGAAACAGACTGCTGAAAAGTGACCCATAATGATGAGTCAGCGTCTCATCTTCACTTTCACCCTGTTATAACACGAGATTTGAAACGGACACAAAGCCGCCCACAACTGTTTGTATAATTGATGCTTCTCCTCTTTAAGGTTTTGGGACTCCATGCAAAGATACATCTGGATATTAAAAGCGAAACACGCCCGACGTCTTACGCTGAATTTTCAAGGATTATTCTACATGATTGGGATTTCACACCTGTTGAGAGTGGCTAAAAACAGACTTTTGTGACTTACACTTCACCATATCCTCTCTTCATTAATTCATGGAGTCTTTTTTTTTTCATGTTTCATCTTTCAGGGGACTGCATCAGCTTTTACCCCAAAAAGATCCACAATCAAATGCTTTACAGGCTGCCCTGGCAAGAGGTTTGAACAAACGAATCACATTAACGCTTGAGTCAAGGGTTGTCAACTTTTGATCTGATACTCCAAAACTTAAAAATCAAGTATGAACGGGGTCTCTGAGTGAGTCAAGACCAACACCTCGACTGGGAACTCCACATTTACTCCAAGTTCCTGTTTAATTGACAGTGTGTGACTTATCATGGGATTGAATTAACAGACACCACCAAGCGGATAGGGAGTCTCCGAGGGTCCAAACATGGACTCGATCATTTACTTAACTTTGTTTTAGTACAGGGGTTGATGGTTGGCTTGGTGGTATGTCACTTCTTTCTATAATATTTGAACAGTGATCCTCCCCCGTCGAGCACAGCCGCTGATTTTCAGCCACTTAGCTGGCTGAACTTGCTCGACAACAGTGGTAACAGCTTGAAGAAAAGTCGACAAAACAGAAACCAGCAGCTCTATAATGACATGAACTGTTCAGTAGATTCAAAACCAGATGTATTTGATCTTTGTGGACCTCAGGGGGCGCAGAGTAATCTTTACGACTGCTGTAAATACTGTTGTGTCGTTTTCTAGCCGAAGTTCATAATTCCAGTCTTCAAAAGTCAAAGCCATGTATCAAAAGCGCAGATAAATTCAACTTCAGTACATGGCTTTGGTTCATTTTAGTGTCACCTTTGTTTCAACAGCACAAATAGGAGCCACAGTGCATGAAGTTGCCTCAGACACACTCGCAAGTGTTTCCTTACTGTGAGACAACTTCAGATGTTCAGCTGGAGTTTCTATGCAAACCAGTTCAATGAGGAAGACTATTCACGCTAAGTTGAAGTGAGGTGTTGCAGTTCAAAAAGAGCTCAGTCCAGAGGTTGCGGGTCTGCTATAGGCATCGTGTGCAGAACTTCATCCAGTAACTGTAGAGCTCTATGCAGGTGGATCTCGATCCAGCATGGCGTTTCCTTGATGCTCTGACGAGGGTAGTCGGGCCCCCAGCCCTTGACGAAACTCATCCTGAGGATACACAGCCGACGGAGGTCGTCTACGCCGATACCAGCTGCTGCTGACAGACCTGAGAGGACGAGAAGAGACGTGGTCATAGTCAGGTTTCAACTGAGGATTCAAACTCAAATAAAGCCCTTCTATTAACCGCTCATCTTTAATTTAAAAAATGAATAAATCCAAGTAGTGCTGGGTGGTATGCTGGTATATACTGCGTGACGGTATAAAAGTGTCTACCAGTAGAAATTTTGCTATACCATTTATACCAGAGAGAGAGAGCGTATGTCTGCTGCATCTCTCTAAGTGAGTGTGTAGTTGTCTGCGCTCTCTAACAGGAAAGCCCGAGCACATCGTTTTTAGTGCTTTCAATATATTCATCAGCGTGTCGTGTGGAATTGGTTCACTCTGATTGATAGGTCAGGTTTGGGTGCGCTCCCTATAATCAACAGCGTGTCCAGCAGACTGCTTGGCATATTTTAGACGAACAGGAAACAGCTTCACTGGTGGTCGTCATGGCCAACGCAGAGATTAGCGGCAGTACTGAGCAAACGGAGGCAGCCCGACCCAACCAACATGAGGAAGAGGTGGAGGAACCTCGTTCCGAAAAGGGGTGCGAGTTGCGACATCAGTGGTCTGGATATTCTTCAGATTTAGAAAATCTGACAATGATCAAAAAACAATACTATGCAAAGAGTGTTGTCAGGCTGTCGTTGCTGAAGGTGGAAACACCAGCAACCTCTTCCACCACCTAAAGATGAAACACGCCAAGCTCTATCATGAGAGCCAAAAGATGCGTGATGCACCTGCTGCACCAAAAACTAAAGCTGCAGCAGCTCCTCTCATACAAAAGAGCTTGGCAGAGTCTTTCGCCAAAGGTACGCCACATGATAAATAAAATCGCCAGACTGGTCTGACACTTTCTTTGCATTTGTTTACAAGTCCGAGTTAAGAAATAAAAGGAAAATGAACAAATGTGACAGTATGGTTATTATTAAACCATTAAATGAATTTACAGGGGGGAAAAACATACCATGATATAAACCGTTACCATGATATGAAATGACTCATACCATGATATAAATTTTTGTTCATACCACCCAATACTAAATCCAAGTTAAAACAATAACTTCGGCAATAAAATGAGCAAACATTTGGTTCTTTAAGGCAGTCCTCATTCATCTTCAATTTTGACCTTGTTGTTCCTGATGAAAATCTATTTGCGTGGTTGCTGCTTCCACACTGACATCACAGTGTACTTACTGGTTATTAGGTTTACACTAAACTTACATCACACAGACAATACACGTGAATGTACATCTTTATTTGTGGTATCAGTGTCTTACTTATGGCTGGAGCTATCCCTCCTACTGAGCCCGGTCCAGGTATATTTCCAGCCACAGCGGCTGCTTGAGCTGCAGCTGCTGCCTGAGCGGTGGCGGCTTGCTGTTGCATTTGCCTGTGACACTGACGAAGGTCAAACACCTGGTGGGAGAGAGCAGACTGTAAACACTGAACATTCAGCAGCAATTAACCCCCCACACTGAGGAAACGTAACCACCACAGTGGGGATTACTTATTCTCATTAATGAGAAGAGGTTGAGATACTGTTAGAGTGTGGGAAACTGTGCAAGACAAAAAGCGCAGAAAGCCTGAGATGGCTGCATGAACAGATGTTTGAAGCTGTCACTCCAGAGTTTACCAAGAGAGGACAATTAACATTTCATAAAATGTCACCCTTAAGTGATGTCCTCTTTCTCAGAGTCCACAGAGCCATGTCCTTACCTTGATGTAAGCGCTGGGGTAGATTTTGTGCACAGCGTCTCCAGGGGCTCGCCCTGCCTCTCTGTCAAGGTAGTAACTCTGCACAAACACTGCGTGGTCACTAAGGCATCGTACCCACACGTCTCCCTCGCCTTTGCACTCTAGCTGAACCCCTTTGCCGATGTGAAGCCTGGGTGAGGAGACAGCAGGGGAATAAAGACAGCAACTGTAGCATTATTTACACAAAAATGTATTGTTTGTATCCTGTAATACACACAGAAATGTCGTGTTTTAACATCACAGTTACCCTTAATATGCTACAAATCTTCTCTGTCTTTATTACATCCATCTACAGTGTTAACATTATTTTTTTAGCTGCTCTCTTAGACTAACACAAATCTCATAACAAGATATAAAAGTGCCAATCAACTTTATATTTTTAGAGATTTATGACTGCATCAACAGATTTGAGAGTTTTCATGGTCACCTTGCTCTCTCAATGGCCTCAGTGCGATGGACGTTGCTGAGCTGGCCCAAACAGAACCGGTCTCCTCCAGAGGGGTCAACATAGCCATCCACTGTTACAATGGGGCAAGAGGAGGGCACTTTAAATGTCTCCCCCACCTGAACATCCATCTCGAAATAGGCAATGGAGCACCAGTAGTCAGGAGCTGTAGGGGAGCGAAATCAGAACACATCAGCATTGGTTATCTTTTTATCCTGTTAGAAAGTGTCATAGTTTTACACATAAGAAGACAATCAGCATTTTCCATACACAAAACCAGATGACTACAGTTGATCACATATGTTAGTGAGTCTTAAAGTGTGTTAAGTCTCTGTTTTCTTACCTGGGTGGTTGGATATCGGCGGCTGAAAGGCAAGCTCATTATGTACCGGCCCTGAGAGAAACAGAAAGAGCAATCATCCATTGAAAGAATTATAACAGTCAGATAAGTGTATAAAATATATTTAAAAAAAAATAAAAGATGTGATTTTATTAGTGGACAGATATCCAGTTGGAGTTGCTTCTTACAGTAGTGTGTGGGATGTGGCATCGGAGGGTGGTGCTGAAGATGACCGTTGGTGTGGTGGGGTATGTTGGGGGTGAAGCTGCTGTTCCTTGACCAGGTTGAGCTGGCACCTGGACAAGAGAAGAAAATAAAAGTCAGAAATTCACAGAATGACAAAAAAAGCACACAAATATAAAGGTCACATTGATAAACTGGTACACAAACACACACACAAAGAAGAACTGTTTTAAAATGTTCATGATTTTAATGAAAACAGTTCTCAAAATGGACAAAACAAGACTTAAGACATGCTAAAATGCAGACTACGGGGACACAATAAGAATATAAACATAATTCAGATAACTACATTTCAAAAGTAACTTACTGCCTGATCCAGCAGCGAGGGCAGGGAAGGACGATGTAGAAGCAGAAGTGGAAGCCTCGGCAGGTGGAAGCAGGTTGGGAGTGGCAAATGGTTCAGAAGGGGCAGGGCGGCTGCCTGATGGGGGGTGCTGGATGGTCTGGATGGAGTGCCCTCCCTCGATGGAGGGTAGACTCTGGGGTCCATCAAAATCATACTCATCTTTCACCATCAACGCTGAGCTGGTTCCAGACGGAGTCAGTGTCAGTCCTGATAAGTCTGTGGACCATGAAAAAGGACGAAAATGTGAAACAGAAATCACTGATAAAACCTGATTCATATTTGATCTGCTCGCTGATTCACTGAAATTTTTCCTGTTTTCTCCTAATACGACAGCCAGAAGAGAGCTGTATTATGATGCACCTTAATGACTGTTAATACAAAATCTTAAGGATGATATTATAATGTCCATTTACAGCAACAACAACAAAAAAACTTGTTTAATTATGACAAAATCTATTTCACAGATTGTTTTTTAAAGATACCATCTGATCTCACATCACTTCCAAACATTAAAAGACACACAGAACTTAAACTTGAAAATAAAATCTCTGTAAAGTTTGAGTGGACTCCATTTAAATAAACTTCCACTGATATTAAGACAAACTGGAGATCCTGACTTGTTCCTCACCTATGCCAGGGGACACCACTCTCTCATAGTGATAAGGATTGACACACACATTGTCACACTTGAGGTCGAAGGCAAACTGGCAGTATTTGACATGCTTCAGTTCATTCTTATGCAGGTCAGGCCATCGCCACAGCCGGGCGTAGATTACATGAGGAAACCCTTTACGGCCAGCGACCTAGGGAAAAACAAAAACATGGGAAAAGAACAAAAGTGCTGAATTAGGGCGTCAATAACCCATCTTTACAAACCAGTCAAGCAAAGTTTCCACTGTTGTGATGAAAGGCATGATTGAACACTTACACACAAACTTCTGATCGTTGCATTTTCACAGCCAGCAGTTTTTATACCTACAGCTGTGAATCATTTATCAATTCATCTAAAAGCTTTATGTAGATATCTCTATACTATTTATTTTCTTTACACTTTATTGCATATGTTCACTCTGACATGTTCATAAATCTGTAATATATACATGAAGTAGTAGTGTCGTACCTGTAGCCGTCCATCAAGTGTCCTCTGGATGGTCACACACTTGCTGGGATGGGCGCCGTTGGTAGTGATAGCTGTGATTAAGGAGTCAAGCTCGTCCTTTTTCTCCTTCAACTTTTTCACCAAGCTCTCAATGGCTCGTTTGGCAAATGTCTCGCTCTCACCGCCCTGCCTGTGACACATGAGGCTGTGCACGATGCTCAGGCAGGCGTCGTTGCTGGTAGGTGTGTTGGTGATGGACATCTTGTCTCCCGTGTCTGGATGATACTTCTGAGAACGTGTTTGTTGTTCATGCAGCTTCACATAATAAGGAAACTGGATATAGGACTATCTTCAGGCAGGAAGGATAAAAAGATCTGAAAAGAGAGGAGAGAATATCTTTTATGAGGTTTAAAAAGATGTTGATTAAACTTAATAGCCATTGTAAAAAAATGTCATTTGTGGTGATGTTATAAATTGTTAGAATAAGAACACTTTATAGGTCTCTTAACTATCTATACAATATTCATATGTCAAGCACCTAGGCTTTGCAATTTATGCAATTTGTATGATCGGCCGTAATGTCTTAATTAACTGATGCGATCAATGGAATAATTGTCCTTTTGAAATGTTTTTCGAATTAGTTTGCAGATGGTTTGTGTTTGATCTGTTTCATTTACTCCAGAGATGTTTTACTGCATGTACATGTTTGTTTGCTTGTGACGATGTTGCTAAGTAATGATTCACGCTTCAGGAAACTTTATTGTCCATCACATAGTGACAGGCTCAAAACAAATGCCACAAAAAAACACATTTAAACCAATGAGATGGTTGTTTTTGCTTTAAACAAACAAACAAAGCAAAACAGTCAGGTCTCATTAGTTTAAATGTGTTTTTTTTAATAATGTCGTATACATCAGATACCAGCAAACATGTTGGCAGTGCAGAAATTCTTCAATGTGAACTAGAGATAAAACACAAGCAAGTGGTGATACCGCTCTAACTGAGCTACATCGGGATGTGTATTCCCATATCAAGAGCCATGGATGCCCTTAGAGGTCATTGGTGTTTAACTGTTTTATCTCAGTCAGTCTGGGGTAAAACTGTCATACATTGGCAAAAAAAATGCTTCAGAGTACTTTGTTAAACCCAGTAAACAGTAGATAAGTGCATGCAGTAGACATATTACTCCCTCACGTGATCCGTTACTGGTTTATTCAAACTGACTAATCGGTGATCGGCCCCAAAAATCCTGATCGTGTAATACCTACGAACACCTGTGAGTATTTTTCAGTTGTAAGGATTACGAACATAGGTAAGAGTATAACTACCAGCCTGTTAATCTACTCGTGCATAAGTACAAGGTTAGGGTTTAGATTAAGGTTAAGGTACCGAGTAATTATTTAAGACCTAGGGAGTTGTTGGTGTCATAGTAACATATATCCTTCAATTTATCTCAAAGCATATTTTCATAAACTGTTGTAATATCACCAGCAGCATTTGTGACTCATGTACATACGTATATTTTTCTTTTTTCCTAACTCAACTCTAAGCTCCTTTGTCCTTTAATGTCTCTTTGTATGTCTGTATTATGCAACTGTAAATTTGATTTAGATGCTACACCTACCTGAATTAGTTATTGAATATTTTTCTAGCTTTGTTGTTGTTGTTAGTTTTGCACTTTTTAGATGGTCCTTGCATTCTTGAGTCATTCTTGGCTCTACATGGAGGCTTATCATAAAGCAAAACTGAGGATTTAAGTGATTGGAATGGGTAAAAATGGCTGAAACAAGCAACATTTTCTGAGAGGAGGTACAATACTTTTTAAAGAAACTAATCAACAAAAACTTGATAAGTGTAGGTAATCTGAATTGGAATAAAATCTGTCGATTTAAGTTGACACTCAAAAAAAGCTACTCAATTACAGAAACTTAAGTAAATATATCTGCTTTCCACTCCTGCTACAAGAGATTGTAAATAACTCGATAAGCTTTATCCACACCTCTGTAAAATCGTTCAAACAAATGGCTGGTACTTGTTGGTCAGATTATTTAGCAACACGACAGAATTTGTAGCTGAGATAGCTGACCTAAAGATGTTATCTATGCTGCATTTTAATGCGAGCTATCTGTTTCTGTTACTTTGCAGTTAAACTTCATTCGTTTTCGAAAGGGGAGAATTAAATCACACCGTGTTTTTATTTTAACTCTGCCTGACTGGCAGATGGCATGATCCAGAGACACGCAAATTCGTCTAACGTTACGTACTAGTTAGCGAAGTTATAAACTGTATAATTCAAAATTAGGCTTACAAAACATCCATGATCACGAATTAACGGCATCTCAAACATTAGCAGCTTGGTTTCGAGTAACGGAGGACAGTTTATTTCGAATAAAAAGTGAAGTTTTAATAGTTACAGTTGGGTTTTCTCCATGGTTTGCTAGCGGCGCCACTCTGGCTGGAGGATCAAAATACATCAAGTTACTGCAGCTCGACCGAACCTACCGGAAATACATGTTTCCAACAGTCGAACCGGGATCTTAGAGATCACGGAAACTTAATAATAATGCGTAACTCACAGTATATTTGATGGAAAGTTCCCCACACTAAGCTATCATGTGTGTTTTTATTTTATTCTGCTGTTGATTCACTGTGTAACGTGCTCCTTGCTCAAATTTGGTTTTATTTTGAAAAGCTAAACCGGATGTACTTGGTATTTGACAGTTGGTTTTCTCGTTGTTGCTACATGCTAAACAACGCACCGAAGATTAGCTTTTATAGCAAGATACTTTGAGTATACCCTGGCCACTGTTATAAACAAACAATTGACTGCTCTGTTTAAATACGTGCAAATGAAATAACAAGGCACCACTGTGAACACACCGATTGGTAAGTAACTGCTGTGAGGTATATACTGCACAGTAAGTAAAGCTTTTAAAATATCGAGAAACATGCTACATTATGTTAGCTTATGTACCTCTGAACCAAGTTACCTTCTCGAAGGGCCCCCCGGCTGAGCTGTGCAGGTCCTGTGTGCCTCCCGGGTGTTCCTCATAAAACTAAGAGCCGCTTACAAAGAAAAACATGCTTGAAAAAAGTTATATGAGTTACATCCTCACGACAGAGAGCGGCTACTGTTAGAATTAAATCTCAGATTTCGTGTCAAGCCCCGTCCCACTTCACTCACTACACACAGTACTTCCTTCAGTGGCGGGTTGCGCATGCGTGAAACAGACTAGTTCATCAGGCGTACACACGGTTCAGTAGCTGTTTGATACATAAAAACTACAATCAAAGTATTATTATCTATATTCCTCAAACCACACTGATAAATGTAGGGAAGACCGGGGCTTGTTGTCACACCTTTTACACTATATATTTCTTGGAATCAATACATCATATACAAACAAAATGTGTACCAGATTAAAGATCAAAAACTCATGTATATATTTCGTATTCATGTCATTTTCATATCCTGTGTCAGTTATAAGCAATCAAAGAGAGAGTGTGAACATGTGACATGTTGCCCCACCATTGGGTAAGTTGTCTCACTACATGGGGTAAGATGTCACAGTGGATTTTGCAGCTAATAAAACAGGGACAAAATTATTATCTAATTTTTTTTACATGAAAGTGAACATCAAAGTCAGGCACAGAAAATGTTTATTATTGCGCTAGAAAAAGTCATTGAACAAACATTAAGATAAAATATAATGCAACAAGTTCTGGAGTTTGGAGAGCTGTCTGACTGTATTTCGGCTGGGGTGAATGTTTTGCAGTACCGAGCTAAGGTATGATAGTTGACATTAGAGTCCTTTATTGTACTCCAGATTGATTTATTAGCTAGGGTCACCTGTCTGACTGCCCTCAGCATCATGTCAGGTACTGCACTGCCATTTTCTGTTTTTCTTTTGGAATTCCTGATCATGCCTTCCTGCTTTCTCCTCTCCTTTGAACCACCCTTTTCTCTGTGAAACTAAAGTCAAAAATTTAATATGACAACTACTGATGAGCAGACTCTCTATGTTAATTTTAATCCCTTTTAAACATGTGACAACTAACCCTAAAATGACTGAGATATGTTGTCCCAAACTACCATGTTCGCTAATTCTAGCTCTAGCTTAAAGTTAGCTTAAAACAGAACAATGACTGAGGTATGACAGGATGCCTTAAACTCTCCTCTAATAAGTCCACATCTATCACTGCTAGGATTTTTATCTGGGAGAAGCTTATTTTAAAATATATAAAGTTAATTTTTTTTACTTTGGGTTGTGTGAAATGGTTAATTGGCACTCATCTCAGCTCACAATGTGCTCTTCTCTCCTTAGACAGGACATGACCTCTGACCGTGTAAAGGAGTAAAACAACTTTTTAGTTGCGCCCTCTGGTGGCAAAGATAATTGCAATATGACAACTTACCCATGTGACAACAAGCCCCGGTCTCCCCTATATTCATATCTACTTCACCAGTTATATTGTATTCAGTATTTGTATGTTATCTTCTGCTATATTTGCTATTTATTCCTTTTTTTCTGGACAGAGAATTACCTTTACATCTTTGTCTTCACGCTAATAAGCTGTCTTTTATTTCTGATAATACTATGTGTTGGAACAACTGTTACACACCTATTTCCATCCTAGAGATTTACAAGATATTTCTGATTCTGATTCTCCAATTCTACTTTTATCACTACTGCCATTACAATAATGGCACCATGTGTTATAATTGCTTTCTTCCTTTTACCATATAACCTACAATTAACTGCATAGCAATCCCGCCACTCGGCTGCAGCTTCAGCCTATTTATTTCTGACATATGTAAACCTCAGGTATTTTCCCTGGTAAACTGAGTCTTAATGTCCTTTCATAGTCTGATTCAAGCTGAGATCTCATACCTACAGAAAGATAGTCATTCTGACAAGTAGCCTCTTGTTTTAGCCTCATTTCCTTAAGTGGATTCTATTTTCAAAGAGAAGATATTTACAGTAAAGTCAGAGAGTTCATGAATTCATGGACTGACTCTGATTTAGACATACGTATTATACAGAAAGAAAAGCAGCTGTATCTGCTAGATATTCATATATACATTCAATATTGTGTTGTTCATGTATCAGTCTACTAAATTCACTGTGCAGCTAAATTCAAGAGGTACATTCTCTAGAGAAGATTACAGAAGATTTCCAAACAAATATCAAACAGAAACTGCAGCACCAAATATAATGTTCCCTGATCCAGTCTAATGTTGGTATAAATAACAGCACAGAAAAAAAACAAGACAGTTTATTTCAGCTGCCTCACAGAGAGCTGCTTATCACAAGGATTATTTTCTTCTCTATAGTTAATGAAGTGCTAATGAGTTAAGTGAAAAAGCTGCTGTGATGTGTGGTAGACTTATAAATGTTTAATTTCCCCTTTTCATTTTACTCGACAGCACAATACAAACATACACTCTCTTTCTATCACAAACATACAGGCTGGAGTTTTAACACCCCATTGGTTACCATTTTTTTTTTTTTTTTCAGTTACAGATGTGAAAATTTCCTGCTGACAAGCAGCACAACGATGAGTAATTATCAGCTCTGGTAGCTAATGTACTTGGCATGCTCACATAATTTGACTTTAATTGTCTGTCATCTCTGCCCCCTTTTTGTTCTCCCCTTTCTCTCTCTCACTCCCTCTCTATGAGCTCCCTCTTTCATAAAGAGACAAAGCCTTTGTTTGATGAAGTTGAGTGACTAGAATTTTTAGATGGTTCAAGCACAATGCCAAGAAGAGAGCTGAAAATGAAGAAAAAAACCCCAATAAAAATCTTGACAAACTGCATTAGAGAGAAAAATCAGAATAATAAAAATGAAGACTTTAGATAAAAGGTACTGAAAAAGAGAGAGGAGAGGTGTAATCTTTGAGTATGGATGCTTGAAATATAAAAATACTGACCAGCAGGGTGCAGTAAACACCAGCTTTAACATCATGTTGCTATGTACTGTGGTGCTTTGAGAACGGCAGAGGCCACACGCTGCATGGTGTGGGAATTTTGAGAGAGGTGAGTTTAATGCTTAATTTGATGCAAACATAGAAAATGATTATCTTTTTCATAGAATGAGGTCAAGTGTTGCTTTAAAGTGAATTAAGCCTCAACAAATTTATGCACTGACTTAAGTAAAACAACATGTCTGAACCCCACTGTGTTTCTTTTAACCACGGTTTATTTTCATTTAGAGTACGTGTCAGAGGCGTAACATGTAGAAATGTGGATTCAGCAATATCTAGTGGTAAAATTCTGTAATGAAACCTCCCCTTGCTCAACACCTCTTGTCATGTGATGTTTAAGCATGATCTCTATTGGACAAAGTTTACACCATCAAAACATATACAAACACAAATTCTTTAGTTCACAACATCAACCACTCTTCTTCATCTGACAATCAATGTATGTCACTCAGCAAGTACACCAATGTGTGCATTAAAGTTACTCTGCTTAGTCGTACTGGTGAGACATGGTGCAAGATGCAGGGTCCTATGTTTTTGTGGATGGGGACCTGTTTCAACATAGATACAAAAAGTTCATTAAGTTTATAAAAACAAAAACATTTTTATATCTGGATAATTATACACTGATTTAAACACATTTAGAAATATTATCATCCACTTGTACTGAGTCTGTTCTGCCACATGTTGCTTAATTCTAAACAAATGCCTTATCACTCTAAAAAAAAAAAATCATAACCAAAAATTGATCCCTCCTCTGTTTCCCTCCTCCTACTCAATTTCTAATTTAAGATGGTAAAGATTTGATAGTTACATCTTCTTCAGTGTGAGCATGACACAGCTTTCATTCCTATGATGTGAATTTGAAATACTCAGGTAAATAGATTGAGTTGGAAATGGCAACCACAATATGTACATGACACAGAGATTTCCAGGAAGTTTAAAGTCTTAAAAGCAGATTGAATTAATAAATGTTTACAGATTTGGAGATGCTACATATATTTTGCAGCCAAAGCAAAAGTTTATCAGTCTCTGCAATCTTCTTCCCTCACAGCACTCTACTGTTGCACTTCCTTATGATAGTCATGAAATATTTTAACCTTGAAATGCCTTTAAACCCATGACAATCAAATGAATAGCCTAACTCTTATTCAACAACCCTGCGAATCAAATTTAATTCATCCAAACTCCCAACAGACTCAAAAAAAAGAGACACAGGAGCAGCCTTTTAAAATTTCTGACAAAATCTAACCATCAGCAGTATTTCGTGTAAAGATCATAAAATTCAAAGAAGCTGCTGTCCGTATGACTGCATGAGATGTAGACGGTGTTACCTCAGCAGAAGTTTGTTTGGGAGTTGTACAAGCCTCCACTGAGACATCCGAATATCTGAATAAACACAAGAGATACACAAACAATCTGGAGTTTCTCTTGTTCCTCACATGACTGATAGATATTTGCTAATATTCACTGTATGCAGGTGACACTCAATCTTTCCAGTTAAGTCGTGTGGCACCCGGGGCTAATTGATTAACAACACATACACAGACCAGCTCAGGACAAAGATTTCCACAGCACAAAGGGACGCTGTGATTGCTTGAAGCTGATTTACTTCAGGAGTCTCGGCAGTGATGGCGAGGTTGATAAGACATTATACATCACCTTGACAACCACCCCTTACAGGCAAGACACATGACTGCTCTGTGTGTGTTTGTGAGTGTGTTAATGAGTGTGTGGGCCATACACTGTACAGCCGTCTGCAGTCACAAATGTATCAAAGAGACAAGCAGGACAGGAGCGTGAGTGATGTGGCATGGCCTAATGATGATCAGCAAATAGGTCACTCAGAGAGGACCAAAATTATTGATTTTCAAGTATCCATGATCTACCTTGGAATAATATTTTAGTCCACTGTAAGAGTTTGGAGGGTGGGGTGGGGGGGTAACGACTTTGCATTAAGTAAAGGCTCAAAAAGTATTTCAATTTCCTTTCCAGTGTCTGAGTTTGTGGCAGATTCTTCCAAAAGTCATTTGCATTTTTTTCAAAGTTTCAGAAAGTGTTGGTCAAAGTAGAAAAGGGTTATGATCCCTGGGTAGCAACTGATGATGTTGTAGGCCTTTACTCTGGCTAATGTTAAAAGCAACAGTAGTTTTAGATTCATGCACAGTCATCACACATAACACAACAAACGTCATCACACAGTCATTTATCAGGCTGTGACTGATAGGACAAACAGTTGTCAGA